GCACGAGTCGGCTGCCTGGCGGAGCTGCGGGCGCTGGTGCGGCCGCTGCGGGGCGGCGACCCCGCGGCCCTGTCGCGCCGGCGGCTGGAGAGGAGCCGCCAGAAGCGGGAGCGGCGCTGGCAGCGGCGGCAGGAGCGGCGCGCGGCCCGCGAGGAGGCGGCGGCCCGCCTGGCCGAGCGCGAGGCGCGGATCGACCGCTGGCGGGCGCGGCGCGCCCAGGAGGTGGAGGACCGGCACCGGGTGAGCTTCCTGGAACGCGGCAGCGGGGCCCCTTTGCCCCGGACTGTGCAGGAGCTCTCCGTGGGGCTGAACGCCATCGCCGGAATGGCTCCTATAAAGCTGGGAGTCACGAGTCGGCTGCCCGCATGGGAGTGCGGTGCGTTTGTGCCCTGGTGGCAATTTGGCAGAGTGCAGCGGGCGAAAGTGCCTTGTTTCTCCCTGTTGTTACCATGACACGTTGATAGGGCAATGCTAGTTTATGCCCCTTGGCCTTTTATACAGTTAATTCAAGGATGCAGTCAGTCAGGACCTTTGCATGCTCTATGATGATGCTACAATTAGAGAGATAATTGCAATATATCCTGTTCTAGTTAGTTGGGTCAGGGTAGCAGCAACAGGAGGCAGTTCAGTAGCTTCTTTGGGCCTCACAGCTGGAATTGCACAGCTAAGCTTAAACTTAACAGCTTCCACCACAGAAGTGCCTTCTGCCAAGGACAACCTTTTGGTGTGTTCAGCTAAAGACCCAGACTAGATGACATCCCCCTTTGTTAGCTGTGGCCTGACTCTTACATTCTTATCTGTATTCTTCTTTGTGTATTCTTCCCATTTAGGAACAAGAGCTTAAAGCTGCTGCAGACAGTGTGTTATCTGAAGTAAGGAAAAAGCAAGCAGACACCAAACGCATGGCAGAAATTGTACGTGGCTTAGAAAAGCTTAGGAAACTAAGAAAAGAAGCAGCTGCCAGGAAAGGTAAACTACGTGGGTTTTGGATGCCCAAATTGCACATGACTCTGTGCTATTTTTGTAGTTGTGTATATTCTGAAGTGTTCCTGGAAAGAGATGTATTACAATGCCAGTGTTTTAATCAGATTTACCTTGCTTTATCGGTTGTTCCTCACTTCATCCAATAAAATATGGGTTAAATATATGGTGTGGTAAGCCCTGGAAGGCTTGTACGGTTAAAACAAATGATTTAGAATAGTGTCCTGTCCCCTAGTAGTTAGAAGTGTATGCTTAGTATCTGGTAGACACTAGAACTGTTTGATTTTCTGAAGGTTTTTTTTTTAATGCTGATTTGATTTGCACCCTACCAAGAAAAATTGCACTTTTTGTGAATGTGTCAGTTGACTTAGCTACTCTATGTAGTTCCTCCCTTTCTGCCCTTGGACTGGGAAACAACCAACAATCTTGGGACAAGGGAGTAAGGAGCAGTTCAGCAGGCAGCTGACTACCCTGTGCAAGCAGGCAGGGAACAGAATTCAGATGGACAAGGTTGCCCTGTTGGAGAAAAAGTACATGTAAGAATTCTTACATCCTCTATTTAGTTGTAATTCCTTATTTTATGAAAGGGAACTGGGGCATTCTTTTGGGTCAAAAACTAGAATAAAAATACAATGAAAGGCTTGAATTGTGTGATGAGGTTGTGGGGGGTTTTTTGTACAGGTGTTTGTCCACCACCTGCTGCAGATGAAGCCTTTGAAAATGAAGTCCAAAGCTTAAAGACCCTGATTAAAACACGCACTGAACTCTATGAAGCTGAAGAACGAGCTTTGCGGGTCATGCTAGAAGGAGAACAGGAAGAAGAAAGAAAAAGGGAAATGGAGAAGAAACAGAAGAGGGAAAAGGAAAAACTCTTGCAGCAGAAGCGTGAAATGGATTCCAAACTGTTTGGGGATCCAGGTAATTTTGACTGTGCTGTAACTAAAGTGTGTGTGTTTTCAGTGGGGTGCTAACTTGAAACGCAAAGGTTTTGTGCTTTAACTGTGGATCTACATTGGGCATAGTTTATTTTTTAAAAAATGGATTGCAAAGTGTGCTAAATTACAATTTAGGCATTCCTTTCCCCATTTCTGTTTTTAATGTATATATCCCTCACAACCTCAGTCAGGATTGCTTTATTTAAAAGTAGGGTTGATCATACGCACTAGCTCATAATATTTGACTTCCTTTCTTGAATAGTTGTTAACTGATATTACCTTTTGTTTCTCTGTCCAGGTCTATTTCTTTAATTATTTTCTTTGTTTCATAGATGAATTTCCCCTTGCCCACCTTTTGGAACCCTTTACACAATATTATTTACAAGCAGAATATTCAGTGCCAGCACTCATCCAGATCAGGTAAGAACAAGCTGAATTACAGTAAAGAAAGCAATGTCAGTTACTCGTGATTTTATTTAATAGACACAGCAAATTCTGAAACTGCTTATCTTTGTTTGCTTAATGATTCAATGTGAATTCTGATTAGAGAGGTTTATAATAGCAGCTACTGTAAATAAACAGCATTCTGCATAACTTGGCACCGGAGCCACCAAAGCTAAGGGATGGTAGTTTTTCCCCTATACGTGAGGAGTGCTGCCCATTCATGTGAACAAGAAGTAAACACTGCTGTTGAAGACACTGCCAATGTTGTTATAGTAAGTGGTGCATAAGTATTGTAAGTGAATGATACACAGAACCTGTCCCTAACACTTGTCCAACCTCCACTGACAAGATTCCTTTAGGCCGCAATGGTGCATTGCACTTTCTGCAATATACGGTTCCCATTTGTGTCCCCCATGTCGAAACTTGAATTGTCTTAAGCACAAAAATGGACCATGGTGCTCAGTATGTTGCTTTTCTATTTAAGGCATGAATGGGATCGGTATCTGGTGCCTGCAGATCACCCTGAAGGAAATTTTATCCCACCAGGATGGGTCCTTCCCAGTCCACCTTCCAGTGACACTTGGGCCACAGCTGTCCGATGATGTCTTCACAATCCCACTGAAGTCCTAAACAATAGCAGTTCATGAATGATAACACATGCCTTGTAAATTCCTTTGAGCTTAAAACACTTCATAAAAGTTTCACTGGAAAGCAGACCTGCTGGATACCCAAGACCGATAAGAATCAGATTTGCAGCTGATTCAAAAGGCAAGTATAGTTTTCTGGAACTGTGGCTTGCTTAGGATTGGTGCTAAAGAGGCCTCTACTTTTTCTTTAAGTTTAAATGTTTGCTTCCAAGGAGTGTTTCCACAATACACAAGGAGTGTTTTATATAAAGAGCCGCTGGTGGCGGATATTTTGGGGTCTGTGGAGCCGCTCTGCACTTTAAAACCAGAACACACTTTTTAAGAATTTAAGACTCCCCTGCCTTTATCTTAAAAAGTGCAAAGTGACATTTATTTGCTGCAAAGTTAACAGCGTTGTTCCAAAAGCAGAGAAATGAATTTGTTGTGGACGTGTGTACAAGCAAAACCAAATAACCTGTACTATTAACTGCACCATGATAAGCCAGAATACAAACCTGAGGCATCTTTTGGATAGTTGTGGCATATGTTTTTCATTTTCTGATTTTTCAAGGGAAATCAAAATTAATTATCCTGAAGCAACATCAAAGATTGTTTGTGAACACTTAGGAATGTTAAACAGGTTTTCAAGTTACAGATCCTGTTTTTGGACTCTGTGTTTATCTTGGTCTTACATACAGTTAGTTAAGCGGATTGACAGATGTGCTTATTATCCTCTCCTTTCCAGTTTAGTTTTGTGCTAGAACACTTAAACTGGAGCAACACGGAGAGAATTAACAGCGGTGCTGCCACTTTGTCCCTGCAAATTGCACTTGATTTTTTCATAGCCATATATCATATATGTTCTCAGCAATGCATTCTTTTTCTGTGTTCTTTTTAAGTGAGGAAACTGGAAAAAGATCGCTGGAATATTTTTGTCTAAGAGCACACAAGTTACATCAAATGTTGGTTTGGTGTTGCATACACCTTGGGCTTCTGTGCCTTTGCTTTAGTGAGATACTTGAATAGAAACCCAGTTTACTATCCCCTCCTATTTATTATCTAAGATAGTATTGCTCTATTTTATATTATCTTACGTATTTTTACCTATTTACTATCCAGTTTATTAGTCTACATTATTCTACTCAGGCAACTACCATTTGCAATCCAGCTTGGTGGGTGAATGAAAAACATACTTGGTCAGCTTAGATAAATGGCACACTGTTTTCCATGAAAACAGCATCTCTTCATTCAAGTGGAGTGTGAGAGAATGAGTGAGACAGTGTGTGAGCACAGGGATCATGCATGTAGTGCCAAACCATATTTTTGCCTGAATGCAAACCAACTTTGACTGTTAAAAGAAAAGAGCATCTAATGCCCATGGCCTTCTAAAATGACCTTTATAAATGTGGCACATTCTGCATGGATGCTGTGAATTCTGGGTGCTGAACATTAGAGGATCTTGCTCTCAATCTTCTACAGTTTGCTAGTGATCAAGGTGAGTGGCTGCCAGATTATTCTATATTTGTATGTTTTTGCAGGTCCATCCAGCACCTGGGAGCTACCAGTAAACGTGTCTCCTAAGAGAGCTAGAAATCTGTGATGAACACTTAACTATAGTTCAGACATAGCAACTAGACCCATTTACACCAAAACTAGCAACTTGTTATGAAAACATCTAGTTGGGTAAAAGAAATGTGTAAGGCCTATTTTCTTCAAGTTAGCACCCCTAATGCAATGTGGCAAACTATCAGAACTGTATTTTCTAGAGCTATTAAAAAATCACTTGACTTGTATTTGTACTTCCAACAAAAATAAATTAACTTTTCACTTGGTGTCCGTAGCTGCTTGAGGTCTCATAATGGTTCCTCTCCCACATTAAAAGTTCATTGTGCACTTGCGGGGGTTATGCTGCCCCCTCGTAATGGCTATCGGGCAAGAACGTCTGGTGCCCACAAATGATGATTGGGAAATCAAAATATCTGGATAAATCAGACCTGAAAGCCTCTACTTCTCTTCTCCCACCCACACTTTTATCAAAACCATACTTGCCTTATCTGATTTTATTTTTATACTATTTCTGTACCACTTAATATAAAAACCTTAATGGTTCACATTAAAATGCAATTTAAGAAATAAAAGCAAGATATAAAAATAGACAATGACGCTTTCATAACAAAATGACAGTAGAAGCAGTAACACCTGCTGTAGATGAGGGCCATCTTGTGCGTCCCTTGTGCAAATCGGCACTTTCAGCGGGGGTTTGAAATCTGTTTCCGCTTCCTGCCTGACATGGGAGAGTATTGCAAAGGATGGCGCGCTGATGGAACGACCATTAGGACCTCATATTGCAGACCCTTCTGAGCGCATATAAGAGAGGGGTAGTCATCCTAGTATGAAGTCATTTTAAGGGCTTGTATGTGAGCAGCAAAACCCTAGACATCTCTCAGCAGCTAAAAGGCAGCTGTGGCAAGTTTTAACAGGTTTTATGCATGAGCTGAGCAGCCTGGCCATTCTGCAGTAGCCACAGCTGCCCAGACAGGCGCGAGGGCAGCCCCATACGGAGCACGTGAGGAAAGCCTCACCCTGAGGTTACCAGTGCCCAGGAATGGGTGCTGGCTGGCACGAGTACTGATGAGTACCCTGGGCCACTCGAGGTTGCCAGGGCTTTCATGCAGAGATGGACCCAGGAGCACCTCAACCCACCTAGTCTTTCAGAGGGGGCACAATCCAGCCCTGGACAATGAACAGTCCAGTTCCTAGACTTGGGAACTACCTGCCTGTCTCTGTCATGTACAAGTTTGTACCAAGTAACTCACATGCATTCTGAAGCAAATCCCCTGAATTAATCTGAGACCCACAAGATGGAAAGCCAATTCATACAAATAGCTCTTAACCTAAGTGATTATGCTTCTTCCTCTCTTGGAAGACTTGGTGATACACACTTAAGCCCTAAGCAGCTATAATCATTAGCTTCAGAAAAGAGAGCCAGGGATTCACCTGACATCCTGTGCAAGCATTTAAGGAACCTAGTACAGTACCTGTAGCAAGCACAGTCCTGCCCCTGCCTTCAGGACGAACAGTGCAGAGTGGCTCCTTTCTAAGGTAACCTCAATTTTGCAATGGAAATAATACTGAGGGGGAGGCGGCTGCAATTGGGAACTGGCTTTTCCAGAATGGAACTCTATACTAGGTACAGAATTGCATCTTACAAAGTGCTGCCTAACACCATCTTTCTGGTAGCTGGCAAAATATTTTGATTCTCCCAGGCCTTTAGTTTTTGCTGTTGTTTTAAATGACTTCCTTTTTGTGATACTTTTAGTACGGGTCGCTTGAAATCACTTGGAAAACAACCAAATGAAGATTGTTTTAACTCCTGCTGCTTTTAATGGTGGCTTTTATTTCTTTTTTAAATTCTGCTGCTCATTGGATTTATGTGGATTTTAATTTTATCTGTGTTTTTATTGTATGCCCTCTGAGACCTGCTGACTAGAGTGCAGATAATACGCTTTGAAAATAAATACAGGTGTTCATAGTGTGAACAATCTTGGTTAAGATGTAAAGAGAAAATAATTTATGGTCATTTTATGAACCAGCATGTCCAGTTCCCATGACAAACAGACACAAATCTGCATGTAAACATAGAAGATGTAAAAGTAAAAGACATGCCCTTATTTTCCTGTAAACACTTCAAAAAGGTTTTCATTTTTCTAAAACTAATTATGGACAGGAGGATGTGATGCATATTATTTTCACTAGACATTTTTGGAGGGCAAGTTCACTTCTTCGGCTCAGTGTACCTTAGCAAAATTTGGTATTTTCTAGTGGCAGGTTTCTTAATTTTCCTGCAAGTGGCCCTTCTGAAAACACAGCTTCTCATAGCACTTTCATATTTCACCATTAATTCAAATTAACGTAGAATAAAGGATGCCACTCTTCCTGTCCAGCCTTAATTCTTACCACTTCATATTTTGTTTAGTATAAAATTCTTAACCATTGAGTATCTTTTAGTTTGGAAGTGCCATTTGTTGCCTGTTGCGAGGGAAATCATTTCTTGGCATAGCCATTATTAAACTCTGTTCTCTTTCAGTCACCAGGTGACCAGAAGTGCTTCAGTACATCTGGAAGCAACAACATGGAGCATTTAGTCCATAATTTGTTTGATGTAGTTGCAACTTGCATGTAAAGTGACCAATAATACTGTATCTCAATTATAGTTAACATTTCTAAACATCCCTCAATCAGCTGAACTGTACTGGGATGATTTTGTCCTGCATGCATTTAAATTTAGGTTAGGCCATGTGTATAGTTTTCTCTGGAGACATAAGAACAAGTTTGCTACCAGTTCTCAACATTTGTCAGATGTTTGGAGTGTTTATGTAGTACCTTGCATTTTAAAGTCAAGAGACCATGTGGCATTGGACAGTCAACTCCAGAAAAAATAGAATTAGGGCAGTATGCAGGATTAGCAAAGCTGGAGGGGTGGGCCCAATCCTTGCTGAGCATTCTAAGAGTGCAAATGGTAAAATGAGCTTGGCATGGGAAACTTCAATTTCAAACAGGAAGAAAGCTCAGGGGAAATTGGAGTTGCTGTCTTTGTTGCTTGTGAAAGCACAGAGTCACAATGGACGACCAAGAAACAACTGTATTATTCATAATTTTCAGTTTCAAATCCAGCCCCACCTTTTGGATTTAGAATGATCTTCTCCATAGCAGCTTAAGTAAAATAATAAAGTAGGATTGAGCCATCCAAAGATTGAAACACACAATTAAAAGCACAAATAAGTCATAAAACCGGGCAGAGCAGCACTGTCCTAATGCGGCTTGCCCACTCGAGTTGCACAAAATGCAAATACACTTTCAGCACTTGCCTCCTCCCTGCCCAGCCCTTTCTGACTCACAACACTTTTCTGTATGTCGGCCTGCATGGAACCGCCTTTCACGTCATTGCAACAGATGGTCAAAGCCCCTGCTAGGCTTCCAAAAGCACTTCATGTGGATTGTTGTTAAAGTACATGTGCAGCAGTACAGCAGAGTTGATCGCTGTCCTTCTGGCTTCCCCGGACAGCCTTGGAGACACAGTCTTTGCATTATCCTTTCAGTAGTGATGCACTTGCTGAGATTATGACCGCTTAGTTCCATTACGTGCAGAAAAATAGTAAGTGGAGGACTACCTGTTTCCTTCTGGTTAAAGGTTATTGAAGAGGAGAAGCAAAGTTGGATGTGTTGCATAGGTTAAATCAAAAGAAGCTCAAGTGTTCCCAGTTTTCAGCAAGTACCAAGTCAGCTTAAAAAGTGGATGATTCAGAATAGGGGAAATAGTATTTACTGAACCTACACAAATTTATTTGTAGGTATGCCATTCGGCACACCACGATTCTAGCTCACTAGAGTGATGCAGATACCTAGGAAATGCATGGATATACAGTGGTACCTCGGCTCACAAACTTAATCCGTTCCACGACTCTGGTCGTGAGCCAAAGTGGTTGCGAGCCAAGTAAAATTTCCCCATATGGGTCAATGTAAATAAGGTTAATCTGCTCTGTAAACATTTTTTTAATCATAAAAATTTGAAACAAAGTAACAACAAAGTAACAAAAGACATCTCAGTAGAGAACACAAACCTAGGTGGGGGGAGGTTATTGTTTGGAGGGAGGGCCCAAACGATAATCGTGCGATAGCGATCGTGCTGGGGGTGGGGGATGGCCGCGATCGTGCTCGTGCGGGGGAGATGGCTGCGATCGCGAGTGTGCTGGGGAGACGGGCGCGATCATGGCCATCTCCCCCCGCCCCCGAGCACATTCATTGTTCTGCCCAAAAACAGTTTTAGGGATTTGTTGATTTTCCCATTAGAGTCAATTGTAGGCTTGGGAAAATGAGGCATGGCAAAGCTCTAAGCTGCAGGGAAGCTACCTAAGCCCTGCCTCATGGCCAGGCCCTATACTTCAACATCAGGGGTTACGACATTCGAATAGGTAATTTCACCTCCTTTCTCTCCTTTCCTTTGGGACTCCCATTGAAACCACCAGCTAAATAATTAAGTCACTGCCCTGATTTGCACAAGCAAAACATTTTCCGTAAAAAAACAAAGAAAAAATCAGGACAAGCTCTAATTTGACTGGGATATGGCAGCAAACTACTAATGAGTTGCCCTTGATGGAATGCTCCACTAAGCCAAAAGTTAAGTTTCTCACATTAAAAAGGAGGAAGAAGGGTAAGTTAGAGCAATTCTTCCCAATCCGCTGCTATAGAGTATACAAGGGTTATATTTGGAGCACTCCTTCCTGTGAGCCCCCATCTGTGTCTGAAATGGTACAGTCCACACCCAGTTCATCCAGTTCTGTGAGAAATTAGCTTTGCCAGCAAACATTTGAAACATGTCAGAAAGCCATGCAATTGCCCTGGTATGTTTACCAAATTCGGATAGCAAAAGAAGTCTTCTTAGCATGCTGGGTCATTCGCCCAAACATCCCTATGTAATGCTCACGGAAAACCTTTCCACCTGAGCTGGGCTGTTGTATTACTCTTGGCATGAAGTATCTTTTGCATTTCATTGCAGCTGAATTTCAATGGCCCTTTTTAAAAAAATTGGATAGAATCCACAATCAAATTTTCCTGGGCAGGTCACATCCCTTCAGCGCTACTCCACTGTTCCCATTCGTTTCAACTGGGTTGTGCAGAAGGCTGAGCTGCAGGATCGCAGTAAGATGCCACCCCAAGTGCTGGTGATGAGCTGAGACAGAAATGTTAACAACTCCGTTCCCTCTCTCCTCCTTTATTTCTCTTAGAGTGTAAACATGGTTGCTGGGAGTTGCCTGGAAGACGTTCCCTTCAGAATGACCGTCAGCTTCATAGATAGCTCAGTGGGAGAGGAGAAAGTCCTGAATGGACCCGAGTTGGAGATGCCCAACTGCACCAAGCTCCTGATGTGCATGATGGTAAATAAGTTAGCCCCATCCTTGCGTCAATATTAAAGTAACAACAACACTGGAGTTAACAACGCTGATGGCTAATAGCTATCTCCCTTTTCTGAATTAGCAGAAACATAAAAGTCTAGAAACTTGCACAAGAGCAATTCAAGTTAGGATCCACTCCTTTTACCATAAGGAGACTCTCTCTGATGCAGGATCTCCTTTCTGTGCGTGTTTTCTCCTCCTTCCACTCCTTAGAAGTTTGTTCGCCCAGACCAAATCATGGTGCTCTGTTTGAACTTTGCTTCTAAGTGCATAAGCTGATGGCTAGAAGAGCGCCTAATTTGCTTTAGTGCATCGTTGTTCCCCTTAGTGCACGCAAGTCAGTCTGTTACAAATTCACTTTCCACATGCCTGTTTGAAGCACGTTTTCATAACATGCTTCAAAACATGCTTTCAGAATAACATGCTTTCAGAATGTTCTACTTAGCATCTCCTGGATTGCGAATATGGCCAGGAGGTTTCAGATGCTCAGAAACCTGGCTTTAGAAAACCAACACAGTCTTTCTTATCCCTGATAGGTTCCGTATTCAATGCATTCTCACCAGTAGGGAGCACTGTTGTGCTCTTGAGACGATTACCATATATTCAGTCTTTAGAGAGCTGAACAGGATGCCTCACTGAACACATAACATGCAGCTGATCTTGGCCATTTCTCTTAACCCTAAAGTAAGTGTGGGGCCTGCAATCTGGACTGGAGTCGGCACACGTGCGGTCTTCCAACTTTGCCACTTTCCCCCCTAAATCAAGGGGACTGAAAGAAATTCTATTCGCCAGCATGCGGTGCTGTGCGAACAGAAAACGCAGGTTTGATCCTTGCCATTTGGATGTAGCCATGACAGAAAGGCAAGATCAAAACTGACAGTCGCTGAATCAGCGTGGATTCCCACATAGATTGGCCCTGCAGTTGGCTGGGTTTTGCAAGGACAAAGAAAACATTGGTTGTATTTTCAGCTTGCTGCAGGCTGAAGCAATTCAGCCTCCTGTAGCGAGCATCTAATTCAGTGTGAACGTTTCTTAGGACAGAATGTGAGACCCAGCCTTCCACTAGCAGCAAGTTGTTTCACGACTTGTGGTAGTCAGTGCCCCAAAACGTAGGTATGGGCTGAAAAATAAATGGCATTTTATGTCACAGACGAGGGAGTGACAACACAACCTGGGAGCCCCTCTCTGAAGAGAGCTTGGCAAAAGCTGTTGAAGAACTTACACATGACTGAGAACGTGACTTGTTTGAAGATTCCTGACCATGCTGATGGAACCTGGGCACACATAGTTGGTGCCTGCAAAGTCTCTCCCACAGCTTTCCCCAAAGCATCTTGAACTTCAGCTCCCATCATCCCCAGCCAGCAATGGTCATGAGTGCTGGGAGATGTAGTCTGGAGGGCAGTAGGCTGGGGGCCAGGTCATATTTTCTACACACAGAGAGCATTTGTCCTAGCTTTAAAAAGGACTTTTTTTCCTTTTATAGTTCTACCCTACGCTATTCATGGATATTTTAATGAATATTCATCACTCAGGGCTGTTTGCATCAATAAATACCACAATATTAGACCAGCGTCAGTGATACACGTAGAAGCAGGCAGTTCGGATAAAAATATTCTCTGCCTGGCTGGACAAAAGCCTGCTAGAACGGAAACAAAGACTTTATTTATTTATTCATTTATTCATTATTTATTTAAAACTTTTTAAGACAATCCTTTACTGTAGTCTCAGGATGGTTTAACAGTAAGGCAAGAAATAAATTAAAACAAAACACAGTACCCTGATCAACTTCTAACATAGAGAATATGAGCTGCCAGGTTGCTGACGGGGATGGGGCGTTATGCTCACATGACTCCAGTCCTCTGTCAGCTTCACTGGCTTCCCATTGAAGCCCGGGCCCAATTCAAGGTGTTGGTTATGACCCAGAAAGCCCTAAACGGCTTGGGTCCGGGCTACCTGAACGAGCGCTTACGTCCGTATATGCCCGACCGCCCCTTGAGATGTGCGGGAGAGTCCCTTCTCCGGGAACCCTCCGTGAAAGAAATTAGGAGAGTAAGTACTTGGAGGAGGGCTTTCTCTGCAGTGGCACCCAACCTATGGAATTCACTCCCCAAAGAGGTCCGCCTGGCACCGTCATTACTGTTTTTTTGGCGCCAGGTAAAGACCTTTTTATTTAAACATCATTTTAATTGTTAAAATATATGATTTGGCCAGGGCAACTTCCTCTTCCTTCTCTTTCCTCCTCCTATATTCTTTATTTACTTATTTTATACTGTTAATTTTAATTTTATATTATTGTATCTCAGTGTATTTTTTGTATTTTTGTATTTATTGGTAATTTATTATGTTCTATTGTATTTCAATGTATCTTATTGTGTTGTAAGCCGCCCCGAGGCTTCGGCAAGGGGCGGCATAGAAATGTTATAATAATAACAACAACAACAACAACAATAAAACCCATATTAAAATAACAATCAAGCCTTAAAATATTGGGAAAATAAAAAGGGTTTTAGCCTGGCGGTGAAAAGAATAAAGTCATGGTGCCAAGTTAACCTCTCTGGGGAGTGTATTCCACAATCGGGGTGCCACCACAGAGAAGGCCCTTCTCCAGGTAACCACCCTCCTTATCTCCTTCAAGGAGGGCTCCCGGAGAAGGGCTTCTGCCCCAGATCTTAAGAGATCTTTTCTCTTTATGGAAGGAGACGTTCCTTCAGGTAACCAGGCCCCAAGCCATTCAGGGCTTTATAGATCATCACCAGCACCTTAAATTGGGCCCGGACTTCAACTTATAGCCAGTGTAGGCGATAAAGGTGCAGCATAAAGGACCTGCTGCTCCCTCTTAACTACCTGGCAGCTCTGTTCTGAACCAGTTGAAGTACCTGGACCAGAGTTTACTGGCCACTGGAAGGTCGCTGAAGAGCGCCCACCCAAGCCGCCCAGGGCATGGTTGGCTGCACTCGCAGAGGGGACCTGCCCCTTGCTTCAGCTGCCCTGACACGAGGAAGGGCTTCCCCGTCAGGTCCTGCACCAGCGCCAGCACCAATGCATTCAGGCCTTCGGGCAGCCTAAGACCACAAAACAGCGCTCCCCTGCTTGGATCCCACCAGATGCCCTGGACTACCCCTCCCATCATCTCTGAGCACTGGCCCTGCTGGCTGGGGCTGGTGGGAGCTGGAATCCAGCCAGATCTGCAGGGCCGTTGATTATTTTGCTCTCACAACCCTCATTGTGTGGCTGGGCCAAGAAAATACTGATGTTCTTCTTCATACGTTTTGCCAGCCCGACTTTTCGCTAGAGAGAAAGGTGCTGTATTGGGTAGACTCTGCGTCCCAGCAAGAGAGTTCCCGGGATGACGTCGCCGCCGGTGTTGCCCCTACTGCTCCACCCTGCTGGCTCCTCCTGGTAGACCCTAAAGAGAACTTTGCTGCTGGGAGTAGCAAGGCCAAGGATGAGGCCCCCGTCCAGGGAGCTGTAACCCTGGGCCCCGCAACCGGGAAAGGGAGGCAGGCGGGAAGAACTGGCGAGGGCCTGGACCCTGAGGAGCAGGGGGGCTCTGAAGGCGAGGACTCATCCCCGACCACATCCGGAGAGAGCGATGGAGAGGAGCCGCTCTCGGCCAACGCCAGGCACATTCCCAGCACGTTGCCCCGGTTCCTAAGCCTGCCCCAGTGCCGACCAAAGACCTCGCCCATGCCGCTGGCTGGCCCCTCAGAGGGCAGCTGCCCCAAGCCGCCCCTGCTCAGACAGCGGCAGTCCATGCTTTTATTTCACAACGTGAAGGACGAGTGGAAAGGGGCCAAAGAGAAGCTCTCCGCTTTCATGCACCCTTCGAGCCACGCTCCACCGAAGCCCACCCTGGCTGCCCGCGCTTTCTCCCTCCACCAGCGCTCACGGAGCAGCAGGACTCTCCGGTACGGCTCTCCCTCCGACGTGCCCCTGGCGGGAACGCTCACCCCCACTCCGCCCCACCGCCGGCCCCTCGCTGCTGCAGGATTCGTTCCCCCGATCCGGACGCACAAGCCCACAATCGCAGTAAGAGATGCCGTTGTCACTTATTCGACATGTTCAAATGGCTGGGATGAAAGAAATGTCTAAGTGCTGAATGGGGCATGAGAAATGCGGGGAATGCCTGTTGGAAAAGCCATTTCGTAGCCTCGGGGAGCGGCAGGCTCGCAGGCAGGAGAAGGGCTTAGAAAGTGGACAGCTGGGCAAACAAGCTGAGCTGATTATAAAGAGGAACGAAAGCACAGCCTCCACTGCAAAGCCCGGGGCACCATTCAGAGCTTGGGGAGGCCAGAGGTTGGTGGGGCAGAAGCTGATTAGCCCCCTGCATTTGATTAGAAGGAGCAAGTTAAATTATGCAAATATAGGTAATGTACCAAGAGTGCAGCCTAGCCACAGGTGGGCACACACACCAGTTGGTTCCTCTGTACTCGAAGTATGTGTGAACGGGCTCTGGCCAGGGGCTGCTTTTGAGGCGACGTGAGGGGCTAAGAAAGACCTTCGTGCAGCCTCGTCGGCATGCAGCTGCGCCAGATTTGCTTGCTGCAGCGCCAGGTCCTTCGGGTGGTTCAGCCCAAAGAAAGAGGGTCTAGGCTTAGGGTTATTTACATGCACCTGCTGGCATTTGGAGGTGATGGAGCCTCTTCAGGGCTACAGAGCAGCTGCCAAGCCTTCTGTGGCTGAGTCTGTATTGTCCATTCAGTGCGTCCTTCTGCTGCTCCTAAAGCCTCCAAAGAGGATCAGCCCGGAAGTGGCAGGGAGCCAGCCGTGTGGCTGACGTTTTCTCGCTCACACGCTTACGCTCTTGAAGAGCTCAGCAGTCATCCGGCCACCTGCGCCTCTTCCCTGTGCCCTTAGTTCTCCTTGTGTCCATCCCATTTAAGATCACATTACATTTCTGTCACACCCACAGCTGATTCTCTCCCGCAGTTCACAACATTTTAAGTCACCCATCCAGCTTTCAGCCAGGTCTGACCCGGCTTAGCTTCCCAGGATCGGGCACTTCTGGCTACAGGGAAGCCACGTTCACAAGCAAGGGGTTTATTCAGCAGAAGGAAGCTTAGAACTGAGCTGTCTGGTGTGTCACATGCCGTTTCTTGCACTCTGCTGAATGGCTAGGTGTTAATTGCCCGTTTTAGCTTAGGCCCCACCTCTGTTAAGCGTCAGAAGAACCCAGATAGCTTCCACCAAGGAACCATGGGAAGAGCATTTTGTGTGTATGCTAAGAATTCTGCAGGTCCTTGTTGTCCTCAAAGTTCACAAACTTCTAACTTTTGTCGAGGGGAACCGCTACGGAGTCTGCAGTATAGTTGTTGAAGGGAGTTCATTGAGCCAAACTTTTGCACTGAGATAGTGGGACGCATCAATTTGTACCAGGCTATGTATGGTTGGAACAACTAGATGTAGATTCAGATGCCAGGAAGCACTTCCTGGCAGTCAGGATCCCGAGGGAGTGGAATGGGCTTCCCAGGGAGGTAGTTGAGGCCCCATCGGTGCGGGTGTTCAAGGACAGGCTGGACGTGCATATGGTGGGCATGTCGTGAGCGGAGCCGGCTGGAGCCGGGGGTCAGACTAGGTGGCCCGGGAGGCCCCTTCTGACTCTCTCTGATTCTATGTTTCTTCAGTGGAGAACCAGCAGGGAGTGGAGTGGGATGTTGGTAATAAATGGCCCTTCCACAATTTTAGCTTATTGTCCTTAGGGCAAATTTAAATGTGTGGCTTTTAGGCTATTATGTGGATAAGTATTGCAATCAAATTGTTCTGCATAGAACTGTTCTTTATCCCTCTTTGCTGAAAAGTGGCTTGGAAACCCTATAAAGTAAGGAGTGGTGTCATATATAATATATTATAATCAAAATAGATTGGAAACCCAGAAGTATTTTAATATGAAGCATTTGTACATCCATAGGATGCGATACTATTCAGAAGTAAACCCAGTGAAACAGGACTGTAAGTTCATAGCCTGAATACCTTCACACCCAATGGAATTTATCTGGAAGAGAACCCTCTGAACCCTTTTGGCTGGCTTTCCCCCCCTTTTGCACATGTGACTCTTCCTTGAATCCTTCCATCTTGCACATTCTCAAAACTGCCACCTCGACTCCTAGCAGTTACTAAAATTCCCTAAAGCTGGAAGCCAAATGTAAAACCAAATAGTGTTAACTCAGAGTAGTAATTCAAATAAATATGACATGATATGTATTTTAAACTCCCTACATGTAGAAATCTGGCCTCTGGGGAGAAGCTGAGGCTAGAATTTATCTACTTGAAGTACTGGTATTCTGGAAACTTCCAAATTGCAGAATTGGCAATTCCATCTCACTGACTGAGTCACTTCCATCAGGTTTGGAGATGTGTGGGGGAGGCATCAAGATTTGCATTGGGCCTGTGGCAAAATACTAATGAAAACACTTAACCATAATCTGAAAATACACTGGTGATACCCATGTCTATCAATCATATCCCTGACTGATTGATTGATTGATTGATTGATTTAAAACATTTCTATGCCGCCCCATCGCAACAAAGCCTCGGGGCGGCTCACAACACATAAATAAATACAGAAGTAATAAAATAAATACTAAATTATACTATAAATAACACTCCCCAGTGCATTCTCAGCTAATAATTAAAAAAACCCTAGTTAATAAATAATTAACAGTTAAAATAAGTTTTAAATAAAATATGTCATTTTGAGTTTATGTATGTATGTACACAGGCTTATTTCTCCATCGTTACCAGCCTCATCCCCCTGGCCAGGGTCACTCAGATTTGGAAAAGAACTTCAGAAAGAGATTTAAACCGGATGTTTAAAGAGAAGACGGCAGAAAACCAAAAGAGGAATTGTTCCATGTGCAGGAATTTTCCTGGCTTCTTTTGTGGTCTGCTTAAATTCATTCTGATATGGTCAAGGCTTGAAGTAGGTTTTCGGAACATCCACACTCCCTTCGTGTACTCCCGAGTGGAATAAGGAGCCTTCGTAATATCTTGTGAAGTACCAGACATCGCCTGGAAATTAACTAACATTAAGCCCTCTGTTTGTTTGTTTGTTTGTTTGTTTCAGTCCCTCAGTCCTTATTCTTGCCTCCCACCCACTCGTGGGGCCCAGCAGCCTCTTGGTTCCCACGGAAGTCATCCTGACTCGACAGCTGACCTGCTTTCGGCACTCAGCCAAGAGGAACGTGACCTCATCGAGCCGGTTTTAGCCCTGGGCTATCCGATACGCCGGGCGATCCTCGCTCTCCAGAAAACGGGGCGACAAAGCTTGGGGCAGGTCAGTGCAGGCCGTGCCCTTCCCCTCCCTCGCCCGGCCGGGGGACACCTGCCCCCCTCTGGAAAGTGCACCCCATCAAGGGCTGATGTGGAGCTGATGCGGCATCAGTTGCTTTCATATGATATCGCCTCTCGGTCTGGGAGAGTGTGGGGTCCCCCTTGTGCCCCCTGGATCTGTGAGCCTCCGCTTCCACCTCTGCCCCACCAACCACAGTGACCCCACCCGTCCCTGAAATGACAGCAGATCCTCTTCCCCTGCTGTGACTCCCCCAGGGAGCTTCAGCGGTCGGGAGGGACTGACATGCAGCGATAACAGGATCCCACACATAGAGCTTCTTCTGCCAGGAGTGCACCTGACTCCTCGCCTGAAGCCATCCGTGCGGGCAGCCACGTCCATGTCCTGCAGGAGATGGGTTCTGTAAGCCAGGTGGAACCCGCAGAGACCTTTCCAGCATGGCCAGCCCATAGCAGAGTTCTCGGTGGAGTGCCCTGCGAAGAAGCCCTTCTGTGTCAGTCTGTCCTGGCCCCACGTTCTGTCATTTGGGGAGATATCAGCCCCCTCAACCATGCTGCAAAGGAGAAGGATCTGGGGGTTGTTGTGGCGCACACGCTGCATATGAGCTGACAATGTGATACAGCTGCACAAGGGGCAAATGCTATTCTGGGCTGCGTTAACAGGAGCATCACGAAGCTCGTGGAGTGCTAGTTCCTCTCTTCTCAGCACTAGTCAGACCTCTCCTGGAGTGTCGCATTCAGTTCTGGTCAGCTAAGTATAAAAAAGAAGCAGAAAAGCTAGAAAGGCTACGGGGAGGGCAAGATAGTTGATCCAGGGACTGGAGGCAAAGACCTACAAGGAAAGATTTATTTATGTATTTAGAATATTTATATGCCGTCCTGTCGCGAAGGCCTCAGGACGGCTTACATAAATAAAATAATATAAAACATAATAAGATTGAGGGAACTGGACATGCTGAGCCTCAGGAAGAGAAGATTGAGGGAACTGGATTGAGGGAACTGGACATGCTGAGCCTCAGGAAGAGAAGACGGAGGGGCTACAGCAGAGCACATTACAAGTACCTGAAAGGTGTCACAGAGAGCAAGGACAAGGTCTCTTCTCCCTCCCAGAGGGCAGGACAAGGAATAACAGACTGAAGTTCAAAGAAACCAGGTCTAGACTAGGCTCCAGGAAGAATTTCCTCTCTGTCCGAACAGTACGACACCTGGGGAAGTTGTGGGCTCTCCCTTGCTGGAGATGTTCAGAAAGTGTCTGGACAGCCGCATGGGGGGATGGCGTGACTTGGTCACTCAGGGGGTCCAGCAGGCCTTCTGGCCCCTTCCGACTCGGCTACTTCTAGGGCTCTATAATAGCATGTCTGGTGGAATCAAGATGATGATAATTCTCCATCTACATGTAGCCATTTTACTGTGGGCCCCTGGTCCCTGTTGTTTTCTCGATTGTCAACAAGCAAGAAGTCACTGTTACTGCCTTTCATGAATGAAATGGCAGGTTCTCCCAAGCCAGGTGCTCCGTTCACCACCCGCTTTTCTCCTGTCTTTTCCTCCTCACGGGATTTTCTGTGCTGAGAACAAAGATGGGGGAACCATGGGGGGACTTTGCTGGATGCCCTGGGTGGTCTGCAGGTGCGAGGCGCTGCAGTCAGGGCCGTGCCCGGAAAGCCCAAACTGGAGCCACGGCTGAGGAGGGAGCTTCACTCCGGACCTGCCGAGTCCGCGCCACACGCCGCTGTCCGCAGCACCGGCCCTTGCGTGTGCACGGGGTGCCCTTGGGCCCGCGCTGGACAGAGGGCCTCGCCTCCTTTCTGCTCACTCCCCTGCGTGGGACTGGGCAGGGGACACCACTGGGATTCATGCTGTCGGCCACCCAGGCTCACGGGGAAGCCCAAAAATAACTCGACTTTCAAGCGACGGCAGACGCGCCTCAGTGTCCTGAAAGGACCTCTTGTCACCCCAGCATAGCCTTCTAAGGGCCAAAGCGGACATGGCTTTCAACCTGTGTCTCGCTTTACTCTTGAGTAGCTGCAGGGCTCCCAGGCTAGACTGGGGTCCTAGTGTGGCAAGTAGCAGAGCTTTTAAGATCCAGATCAAATTCCTGCTTCCTACTTCAGAGTGACTCTTCTGAAAAATGCTGCTAGATACATATTTAGCATCACGTGCATTTTTGCCTCGTGACTGGAGACAGACATCAGTTGCGTTTTGCCGTCTTAATAATGGGAGATTCTGGGCAGCCCACGCCAGCTCTTTGGCTTCCTTTCAGGAGCTAAAATTTCTGTCAGCTGCAATGCAGGAACCTCAGCGTTCCTGGCACCACGGCAGGGGACCCTGAAAACACTCCCCTCGGTCTGCGACTGCATTTTCCATTCCTCTGCGGAGAATAAGTTCGCCAGTGGTTCTTTGCACAGGAAGTAGCAGTCATTGTGGCTGCCAGTGTTTCTGTTTGTTTATCTTCTTGAAGCACCAGCTCGTTGTAGGCCCTTCATAAAACTGGAGAGAGGGATTGGAATTACCGAAAACGAACACCCAAAGCCCAGTATTTACATGAAAAAGTGAATTTGCTCAGCTATGGGAAAACTGCAGGGAACGAGTTATAAACAATCTGCAAGGCTCCTGTTGGAATTTCGGTATATCGCTCTTCCTGATCAGAAACACACATAAACCTCCAACGCTCGGCTGGGTCTTGAGGAAGTGCTGAGATCTTTCTCTCAAGAACCAGGAGGACTCGAACAGTTCTTTTCCTGGTTAGTTAACACCCTGGATTTTGTAGATTCTGTTTTGTTCGAAGGCCAAGGGTGCGTTCTGTTTGCAGCACATGTAATTCCGTAATATACAGGACTTACTTTCAACCAACACTGAATACAACCTTTGTGATGTAATTTGGGAGTTTGGTTCCCAGTTTGCAGCACCTAATATGGCTGGAATGGGTCACAGGATATTCTGTGGCCCATGGAGATGCATCCGATCAACTTCGCCTTGGCAGAGAGATTTTTATTGTGCCCGGGTTCTCTCCGACGGGGAGGAATTCTCCCCCTTGCGCCCACCACTTCTGGTGTCGTTATTATGCATCTCCCAGCTTTCGTCCAAGGAGCACAAGGCTGCCAAGATTGTGCTTCCCACCAGATTTGCTCCCGCAACTATCATGTGGAGGAGTTTAGGCTGAGAGGAGGTAGCTACCCCGCAAGCTCCATGGCTCCATGGGGTTTTTCAGAGCTGTCTCCGCTGCCTGCCCGGAACACTCCAGCACACCATTCCCCCTCCCAGCGCCCCCACACGGCTCACGGAATCCAGGAGCGGGAGAGTTGGGAGGGGCCAGAAGGCCGCCGGGGCCAGCCTGCTGCGGTGGCAGGACGCCACGTTGCACCACCCCACCCAGGCGGCTGCCCACGCGCGTTTTGAATGCCTCCGGCGAGGGAGAGCCCACGGCCTCCGCAGGCGAGCGGCTCCGTCGCTGCACTGTCCCGCTTGGATGATTATTTCCACCACGGCCCAGGTCGACAGGCTCGTGCTCCATGTGTCTGAGGAGCACCAGGCTGGGGGAGGCTGCGGTGACTGCCACCCCATCCCCTGGCTCTCATGCTGGCTGTTTGCGAAAACGCCCTTCGGTGCTCCAGTCGACTCTGTGCGGCCCGCGGTTGCGTGCCCTCGTCCATGTGGGAGAACCGGGCAAGTGGACGGGTGGGTGAAGCCGATCCAGGAGAGGTTTAGGACGGATCAAGGGAGCACGTCTGCACACGGCGTGGAGTCAAACTGTGGAATCTGTGCCCATTGGAAGTGGAGATGGCCGCCAATCTGGGTGGCTTTCAAAGGGGACTGGGCAGATTCAGGAGGGGAGAGGTGATCCATGGCTACTAGCCTTGCTGGCCATGGGCTGCCTTCTTAGCCCCTTGGCCTGCATGTGCCCGTTGCCGAGGAGCTGGGCAGGTGGAGGTCCTGCACCCCGCCTGCTGGAGGGATCCTGCGGGCGGCCGGCTTGTGCAGAGTGCTGGACCAGTCGGACCTTGGGTCTGATCCAGCAGGGAGGGATGTCCTGATGTCCTGGTTTAGCATGTTGGTGGGAATCTTTCTGATGGACAGTACCGTGTTAGTCAACCCTTCTTCTTTTCCCATGCCAGTTTCTCCGCTACCTTAGTGCCTGTGACAAGCTTTTGAACCAGGGTTATGAAGAGGCACAGGTGGAGGAAGCCATGGAAATGTTCCAGAACTCGGAAAAGAAGGTCAGCACCACCCTCTTTGGGGGAAATGGTCTCACAAGTCCTTCTTGCCCTGGCAAGCTGGGAAAGCAAAAAACTTAAAGCGCAGGCTCCCTGATGGCTCAAGAGAGCCGCCCTTTTCCAGACATGTGGGCTGCAGAGAGGTGTTGCCGGCATTCGGGGCTAGAACCGGGGGCTCTGCAAGGCTCAGGCCAAGACGCAGCATTCCCCGTCCCTCTGAAACCTGGAAGGGGGAGCGGGGACAGAGAGTCGCTCTCCAGGTGTTTTGGTCCTCAACTCCCAGGAGTCCTTCCCAGCAGAACCCGCAACTGGACACCCTGAGAGCTGAAGCCCCAGGCACCTGGAGATCTGCTTTCTGTCCACGCCTGCGCTAGGCCAGCCTGCCCCAAGTTGGTGCTCCCCAGAGGTTTTGAACTACAATTCTCACCGGCCCTGCTGGCTGGCTGGCTTTATGGGAATTGTAGTCCGAAACTCCAGACAGGTAGCAGCTTGCAGGCTGGGTTAGATTCCATGACAGCCTTTCCCAGCCTGTTGCCCCCAGATGCCTTGGACTGCAACTCCCATTATTTCCGGACTGTGAGTGCTGGCTGGGAATGATGGGCATTGCATCAGCACCAGGTCGGGGAAGTCTGCCCCGCTTATCACCCCCTGTGCCTAGCCATTTCCTTTAGAAACAAGAGGAAAAGGCATCCTCTACCCCCACGAATCGCTTCATTCTTGCTTCTTTGACTCACAGGCTGCAGAATTCCTTCACCTCCTGGCCCAGTTCGACGACATGGGCTTCCCGCAAGCCGACATCAAAGAAGTCCTCCTGCTGTGCGAGAACCACCGAGACAGGGCCCTGGAGGAGCTCATGCTGCGGACACAGTGAGCGCAGCCCCAGTTCGGCTCTAAGAAGGGCAGCGAACCGCAGGGCGCCCGGCCTCCTGGCTCGGAACTTGCTTCGAATGCAAGACCCTCCCTGGCGCAGCCACCCTCGGCCCCGTTCAGCTCCCGGTTCCAACTTGGCACGCAGAAGTCCTCCGGGGACCGCATGAGCAGCTCAGGAAGGAGGAAGTCAGGCGGCCGCCTGCCGCTCTTTTTCCCTGGCTCCTGGCACAGACGGTGCTTTTCCGTGATAGCACCTCCACCTTTCTTGGATGAGGGTTCAGCTGCTCCTGGACTCACTCCAGAGGTGGCTTTATCGCTACCCCTACCTTGCTGGGACCAGAAGACAGGAATGGGAGGCTGGGCCCTGCGCCTCCCAGCTCAGCCCGTGGCTGACCTCACCCCAGCGTCAGTATGAAAAAGGTGTAAGAAACAAGACAGAACCCCATGGTCCCCCACACGGGCCACAGGAACCCAAGCTGCGCGATCTGTGCGCCACGCATCCACCCACAAGCGAATCTGTCACGCTGACAGACAGAGCCAGGACCCTTGCAACCGAAATGGCTCCCATAATTTCCAGCCTCAGGATGACTCTGTAGAATAACATTATTGAAGCCTGTTTCAGTTGCATGGGCAATGCCTTGATTTGTCTGATGGAGAAATCGCATTTTAGCGGCTTCTACTTGAAGGCTGTCTGGTCCTAAGTGTTGGCTGGAAAGTGGATTGAGCGCAACCGAGTCCTGGAAGGGTGTGTGCGCGCTTGCTCTGCAGCACCTCCAGTTCCCCTCTGCCTGGAGCCTGTTGGCCTTTCACGACAAGGCCTGCTGTGCTGGAATACCAGGACTGGCTTCCGCAACTGGAAGCCCCCCCGCAATCAAGGGCTAGTACATTGCACACACAGCGCCTCGGGGAAGGCAGGATCGATCGATCGGGTCTCTGCTGCAGCCACCTTCCCATCAGTCTTCTGCCTCCCCCACCTCTGTTTGCCCTGTGCTCAGGTGCACCACCTAAGCCCCCACACTCACCTGTCTGCATAGCAGGGATGGAGGGCAGAGTCCTTCTATTTGCATTTTAATGCAGACTCACCCAATGTGGAGGCTGCACCCGCAAACCTCTGTGTGAACAAAGAAAACTCTGCTTAACCTTCCAAATGTGCAGTTCTCTGAATTTCATAACAACATTCTCCCATCAAAAAGTGCAGGCAAAAATTGTACCATAGGGGCTAAAACATTCAAAAATAACATGCACATATCAGGGGGGAAATGTTTCTTTGATGCAAAACTGCCTACAAAATCCATGTATTTGGAGCACCAAAACTGTTTATGAGAATTCCGGGAAATTTTAAAAGGAGAATTCTTAAAGTTTGGGATGAATTGAAAATTGGAGAAATGAGAGAAAACAGAAGCGACAGATTCAGCTGTTCCTATTGCAAAGGATTCCATGATTGCGCTTGGCTATAATTACCTCAATAGCTGTGTCCTAATTAGAACTCTGGATTTGAAATAAGGAGGGAAAAAACATGTTTGCAAGTAGGAGCAGTTCTTTATTTGCCCCACGACTGCGGACAAATTAGAGTTGTTCCCTTAGACAAAACTATGTACTTATCTGCATCTAGCGTATTTGTTTTCGCCAAGCTTTTTTTTAAAAAAAGGGAACTTGTGTCTCATATTAAAAGAAACAGGTAAAACAACTCTGAGAGCAACAAAACAGAAGAAAACAAGCATCCTTTGTGGTCCTGTAGGTACCTGATACAGCCCATTTTTTTCCTCAAATAAAGGACTCACTTCTAGTTTGTGCGTTCTCTAATTTCAGGAGAAGGTGAATGGGAAGCACAGACAATGTTTCAGATTTACCAGCCTCTTCCAGCCAAGGAGCATATCCAATTTTGGGGAGGCACCTGGGGGCTGCGTTCTGCTGTGGTGCGGGAGAAGCAGCTACAAGGCGGGGAAAATACGAAAACAGGGAAATGCGAGCATCGGTGCAGCTGGAAGCTCTTTCTGCCAGTAACAAATCGGGGAAGGGGCATTCTGCCATTTTAGAATGAGGGAAGAGCTTCAAATCAAGGTCAGCTTCCCCTCGCCTGGTGTCATTCAGATGAGTGGGACCGCAAGGCACATCATCCCCTTGCCAGCAGAAGCGTGGGGCACCAGGTTGGGGAAGGCTGCAGAAGACGCCTCCGTGGACGTGGGAGCTGCTTACTCAGGAAAGCAACGTGGGAAGGCAGAGCTGAGAGTAGGGGCATTTTGGGCCTGGCCTGGTGTGCAAGGAAGTAGAAATGCGCCGTCACTTCTGAAAGCACAGATGAGATCGGGGACGGATTCTGGGGCCTCCCCAGAGGCTCTTCGGAAAGGCTTTGCCCGTGGCCAGGCCACAATTCTCAAAGGACGGGCCGTGCTAAGGACATCGGTGCTGCAGCAGCCTTCTCAAAGAGGCAGACTTTCTGCAAGAAGAACGAACTCTGGGAAGAGACGAGAGGAGCGCAAGTGGATGGAGAAGTTGCATGAATAATCCGCAGTGAGCACACACAGCATACGTTTTCATCAGATCTTCCAGACGGAGATCTCCCAGCACTCCCAGTCCAAGACCTTGTGCTGCAGTTTGGTCTTTTCCTCCTTTACAAATGTTTTTGTGGGAAGAAAAAATACAGAAGAATTCCCGGGGAATCATCCTCTTCTACACATAACCCTCCCATGTTTTTCATGGCTTCTTCCACCGTTTTCCTTAATGCAGAAAGTCCGTTCAAGAGGAGCTGTAAAATCTTTCCAACTTAATGCTAGGAATCGTCCATCTGAAAGCAAAGCCCTTCCAAGCCATGGGCTTATCAAAGGCTGTTTCCAACCCTCATCAAGAGCCTACTGCAAGCCTGGCTTTGGTCATAGACCCTCAAGGAAACACCTGGTGCTTAGCAGCTGTTGCCCTCTCCTCTGAAGAAATGTGTATGAGTAAGAAGGAACAGGTTTGCAAAGAGGAAGGTTTGGGTGCTGCTGTTTCCCCAGGGACTCGGTGGAATTAGCTGCTCTCATCTGGATTTAATTCAAAGTGGTTTAATGCAAATCAAAAAGAATGTTTCGACCCAGGATCTGAGTCACTCTGTGTTTATTGTGAAGCCCTTAATTCCCTAACGAGGGTTTATTTATAGCCCTTCTGAACTTGGAGTGCTGGGAATATAAAACCTACAAGCACGCACACCGCACAACTTGTTTATATGATCACAGAAGACCTGGGCTCACTGACTAATCGCTCTTAAGCTCCAGCAGAGAAGAAGGGGAAGGACGCCCAGGGGCTCAGTCCATAGGCCTGAGTCCTCCCCCAGCAGCTCAGCCGAGGCTGGGGAAGGCTCCCCACAGCAGAGGCGGAGCCCGTGTGGAGCAAGGGGGCTTCCTAAGAGGCTCACGAAGAGGTCGTTGCTTCGCTCACCACAGTTCGGGTTAAAGCAGCAGGTGCTCAAGCTCTCTCAGACTGGAGGCAAGCTGGATTTCAGATGCCCCTAGGGCGCGTTCCAGGGCCGCGGGGAGGGCAGGCAGTGCCGCAGGTGGCAGGGAGAAGCTGCGCGCGGGCCTGCAGTCCTGGCCAGCCCCACGTGGCCGCCGGCAGTGCCCCTTGCCATGCTGTGGGGCTGCTGGCCGGAGCTCAGTGAGTGCTTGCAGGCTCCCTCTGGGCTCAGCATGCTTTGCAAGGCCAGGCCGCGCGTGGGGGGCAGTCTGCAAACACTCGTGGAACTCCCCTCGTGCCACCAGCATCGTGCACGACAGCCCAGCAGGAGGAGGGAATCTGCGAGCAGCATGCGACTCCTGGGCATGCTTACCTGGAACTCAGACCCATGGTCGCAACAAAGTGGACCGGAGCCTGCAGAGCTGAGCCCAGGCAGCGTGACATTTCCCCACCCCCGGAACAGGCTCGACACCCATTTGCAGCCAGAGGGTGGGGGGTAGGTCCTAAGAAGGTGATCTGGGGATCTGGCCAACAGGCAGGTCAACGATTCCGTACCCCTGGCCTGGAGGTACTTGGCCAGTCCGATTCTCCAAGCCCCGCATGGCACATTCGAAGATCCCAGAGCCGACCCTCTCTCCGTCAGTCTATAACATTCCCTCCGGGCATCACTGGCCTTCCGTGGGTAGTCGGCCAACAGGCAAGTACTGCTACCATTCTGGAGAACTGGACTACCTGCTGGTCCCCTGAAAGCTGCCTGCCAATGGCACACCCAGGTGTGGCCATGAGCCAAGCAAGCCGTGGGGCACTCGCTCCCGGGGCAAAGAGGTAGCCCGGATCGCCCCAGTGGTCTCCTCAAAAGACATCCGTATGCATCACAGTGTTAGCACAAGCCTGGAGCCAGTTTGGGTGCGTCCCAGGACGCCTGGGAAAGCGGAGGCGACGCCAGTGCTTGAGCAAGGGATGAAGGGCCCCCTCCGGGTCTAAGTTGCAATGCTGTGATCCGTTCTCGGAAGCCTGAGGAGGAAGGTTTGCAACGAGCCGCTCCTTGGAAAGCCGGCCCGCTCCTTTTTGAACTTCCACTGATTCCCCTCTATGCTGTACAGCAGGGTCAGCATCTTGTTGACCGTGTAAACAGTGTCCCCTCTGATGACGGCAGTGAAAAGGGCCCCTTTGCTGTTCATGTACTGCCCGGGCAAGGCCGTCCACTGCATCGTGGTGAGGTTGAAGCGGTCGATGGCGCACCTCAGGAAATCATCGAACGGCCCGTTCCGCATGATGTAGAGGTTATCCCGGTGCGCCACCATGCAGTGTCCATAGCTCTGCTCCCTGTTCAGGGTTGAGACGGGCAGCCACTCGTCCTTCGCAGGTGCATACTCATAGATGACCGTGGTGTCCAGCGGCTTCCACAGGCACACGAAGATGCGCCCCATGGTCTGGGCGCAAGGCACGGCTCCGGCCGCCTGGGGCAGGTCGGAAGCGAAGCTCCAGGTCTTGCTGGACAGGTCGAACTTCTCCACGGACTTCAGCGGGGTCTTCTCAAATTCCCCGCCGATGGCATACAGGTGGCCTTCCTGGCCCGTCAGTGTGACGTCATAGCGGAGCTGCTGCGGGCTGGGGAACTCGCTCCAGCTGTTGCTGGCAGGGTCATAGCAAAAGCTTTGCTCCACCACCTGCTTGTTGTACCCGTACACCCCTCCCACAATGTAGACCTTGTTATCCAGCGTGGTCATGCCTGCGAGGAAGGTGGTGGCAGTCAGGGGCAAGCAGGAGAGGGTCCGCCACTGGTTGTTGTCCTCATCCAGGTAGCAGATGGTGCGCGAGACATCCTCCAGGAACTCGAAGGTGGGCGTGTGAGCCCCCACCGCCACAAACGTGCTGGGGAGGAGGGACTCCACGTAGCCCAGAAGGTCCGGGGGCAGGCAGTCCAGGTCTTCCTCCAGGTCGGAGTAGCTGTCGCGGATGTACAGTGCGGCGCTGTGGAAGAGGTCCAGGAGGCCGAACACGGCCGCTGCCTGGTAGAGCAGGAAGCAGTTGTCCGAGTTGATGGAAGCGATCAGGTACTTGGCCACGGCTTTCACCTGCAGAAAGGAGGCGCACTCCACCAGCTTCAGGTTCTCCTCGCAGCTCAGCAGAGGGTGCTCCCCCTGCAGGATCTGCAGCATGATGGAGAATCCCACGGCACTCAGGTCCCGGACCTGGATCTCCTTCTGTGTGCTTTCTCGCATGCCTGATTGGAAGAGGGCCCGGAAGTATTCGCTGTGCTCCACCAGAAGGCTCTTGTCCACAGAAAAGGACTCCTCTTCCATGTGGATCCGCACCCTTTCGGCAAGCTCTGGCTGCATGGCCCCGGCCGAGGTTGGCCTCTTGCGGCCAGGATCTGGTCCTCACTGGCCCGTCTGCAGCTCCCTCACCGCAACGGAGCAGCGAAGAGCGGAGCGTTCGGTCCTTTGGGCAGCAAACTCTGCAGTATAAATACCTCCTTCTAAAGATAGCTCGGGCCCGTGTGACCGGGCAGCCGCAGCACCCAAGCCTTTCCAAAGGCAAGTTGCAAACTGATATGAGCAACGTTTGCCCAGCTCCGGAGCTGGGGGGCAGCTAAAATAAAAGCACCTGGAACTGGCAGGTTCGTGGAGGTCACCTTCAGTGGAAACGGGAACACGGCCTGAGGGAGAGGGCACCACCAGCTCCAGAGGGCTCTGCAGGAGGGGCATCGCAGGGCCCCAGGGCCCTCTTGGCAGGCCTTCTGCTGCACAAACCCGCTCCCACAGTCGTCCCCAGGTCTCCTGGCTTCATAATCCAATGGGCCAGCATTCCCACGGGGAAGGGTGAGTCGCCCACCCTGGGGCGTGTGCCTGGAACGGCCGTGGGCCACGTGCCCCTCCGCCCCGCCAGGAGGCGGCCCCTCAGCACTGCCCCCAGGAGGACCACCCCTCGTGCTCGGCACAGCTGCTCCTCAGCCCCGGACCGGCATGAATTGTGGGGCGGGCCGCTACTCCAGGGGGCCCTGCCAGGGGCTCTCCCGCTGCAGCAGTGGCGCGATGCAGAAGGGGCTGGCCGAGCGCGAGGGGTCCCCGGAGAAGCACCGACGCCTCCCCCTGGGGGGTCCCCAGAAGCACCGGCCTGGCTAGCCACTGCTCCAGAAATCCAGGCCTTTCCCAGGGCCGCTCTCCAGAACGTCGACCCCGGTGCGTCGCTCTAAGGGTGCTTGGCAAGGCATCCGACGGGGCAGCACCAAACGTGTTCTGCTGTACAGAGTGTCCTCCATGTGTTCTTCTTTACAGAGGACTGTTCCCTGTTTGAAGGACTGTCCAGGTCCAAGCATGGTTTAAAGCTGCAAACCTTCAGATGGAGAAAGGGGTCAAGGTCGGCCATTGCGCTCCTGGGCAACTTGCTGGCCTCATTCCGTCCCAGTGTGGGCAGGTGCCTGGCATCTCTATTTTAATTATAGCCATTATTCCTACTCGTGCATTTATTTATTTATTTATTTATTTAGGAAACTTCTATGCTGCCCCATTCGCCAAAGCCTCAAGGCGGCTCACAAACATAAATAAACTTCCTTAAAATGATATAAATTAACAGTATTTATGTGTTTGTGACCTGACTTGTACCACTTAAACCCAAGGAGTCAACCCCACTCACGCGTCTGAACAAGGGTGAGTCGAACAAAGATCGCGCATGCCCCACACAAGAGGATACGGAGGTCAGAGAGCCCTCTGCGAGATACCCAAGCGCAACGGCAGCCTGGCACATCGGTCCCAAAATCTGTGAACAGCGAGCCCTGGCTGATCTGGCTGGGGCAGCCTCAGGGTCTCAGGCCTTTTTTTTCGGGCAGGAGAAACTTGGGCAGGAATCCTGCAAAAGGAAGCTGTGCCATGGGATGAAACGTGCAACATTTTCAACTGAGAAATCCCACCCTAAAGATGATGTGCACAAAGCTACGAGCACAGACACCCCCTGCGCCCTCACTCCAGAACCGCTATTTAAGGCTGCATACATTCAACACAACTGCAACGATATTCTGAGGTGCTGATCCAAATGCAGCCGTTCCTGTCAGACTCTGGCATTCAGGAAAGGGCAAGCATTAAGGCGAGCTCTGCGCTTTTCCTCCTGAATAGCAGATAGACAACACGATGGGAATACGTGCGTGTACACGGGCTTGCAGGCCTCCGAGCGCCAAGCCTGACACTGCACAAGCAGGCCCGTCCCTCTGGGGTCCTGCTCAGGACTCAAGCCTGCCCTGACTGCCCCGGATCACAGGATGCGGCCTCAAAGCCACCCCCTTTCCCGCTTAGCCCAGTGCTTCCGAGCCAAGCGGCAGTGTCTTTCCCAGCACACTGTGGGGATCCTTCTTCATGGGTCCCAGACACGTGAACTCCCAGAGAGTCACGTGGCCTCACCCCAACAAGCCACAGCCAGAAGTCGCTCTCTGCTTCCAGGAATAGAAAGCAAACACGCACGCCGGCCCAGGAACACGTAGTTGCGTGACGGAAGAGCAGCCCGGTTGCCCTAACCAGACATTTCTGCTCCGCCACTTGCAAGGGCTTCTCTGCCCCGGCAACAGGCCGTCAGAGACGTTTCCCAGGACTCTGTTTACAACGATTTAGCTCTCCTAATAGCCGGCGAGTGCTTGCTTAAAATAAATGGATAAATAATGGGATGAGACGGAAGGGCTCAGGGCTGGCCTTGAAGGAGCTTCTAGCGCAGACCGGGCGAGTCGCTGAAGTCCAGAGGCCCATTAAGGTCTGCGCATGTAGGTGATTCCATATGAGCTGGGAAGCAAATTAGCTACAACAAGTTGAAGCAAATGAGATTTTTTCCTGGAGGAAGCTGGAAGGCCACCGCAGAGCAATTGCCGTCCATGGGCCCTGCAGGGTTCCGGCATTTGGCAGGTGTCGAAGCCTACATCCTAACTTCCTGCAGCATTTGCCAGTGGAATTGAGCTTTTTTAAATTTTCAACTGTGCACATTGAAAAGGTATTTCCATCCAGCATTGGCACTGTTGAAGGCTACCAAACCTGGACCGTTGCACAACCTCTGCATGTTTAGAATTTTTGAAAGTCCTGCAGGTCCAGGGCCCAAGAGAACTCAAGAGAAGACATAACACTCCAAGAGGAAATGGTGCTGCCATCCTGTACCAGCTCAACTGAAGGAAGCTCACCCAGTCTTCCTTTTGAGTAGATACGCTTTGGGGAAACATTTCTTCTTAAGCAGGGATGTAGAACCTGGATCCTCCAGACATTGCAGAACTACAACTCTCCCTAGCAGCAGTCAACATGACTAATGGTCAGGGGTGGTGGGAGATGTAGTCTAACAGCACCTGGCAGGCCACACTTCCCCACACCCAACTTTGAGTCTAAGCAATTTTCCTCCCGTTTTCCGCTTCGTTCTCTCCTTCTTCCGCCTCCCTTATCTTCCCTTCTTTCTCCTTGGGAATTTGCATCCATGGTGAGCTTCTCCTCTGGAGCTGGGCCCCCTGCAAAGGCCCTCCATGGAGGAGCTGCACCATGTCTGATGGGACCGGGCTCCCACGGCTTTAAAGGTCAGAACCAAAGCCTTGGACTGGGCCTAGGCAGGTAAAACTGAGCCTCAGCACCCCTGCAACTTGCTCTGGATTGAGTGGCTCTCTTGCCCAACTTTTGAGACCCAGTTTGGTGCAAATGCTGCCATATTAAGGGGCATGTGTGCGATCGGGTGGGGGAGGAAAAGGCCCCCTGGCCACCCTTTTCTGAATGTTTTCCACAATGCTGCACATTACTTTTAACGCAAGAGAGACTCCCAGCTCGGAAGGGCCTGGGGTGCCAAGAAATGGAAGGATGGGTTTCGTTCAAGGCAATTTGGAGGAGAAGTGAATTGACCGCCTCTGCCTCCTGTGCCGTGTCGGCGCTCGGAATGATGGCTGGGTCTGGAAGTAGAAACAGAAATCAGCATGTGCAGATTTCACGCAGGTGTGTCTGCTGCAGGCCGAGTGCCAAATCCCATCGCCCCGACTGCGAGCCATCACTGCTGGGGATCTGAGCCAACAGTTAGGGGGGAAGGAAGCCCTTGGCAGGCTAGGGACCTCTGGGACTGCTCCCAGAGCAGATTGGGGGGCCATGGCTGGTTGGGCCACCATGAGGCAGCTCTCCAAGCGCTGGACTAAGTGGAGAGGGCTGCTCGGCCTCAGCTCCCCAAGAGTGCTTCAGGAGGGAGGCCCAATGCCAACCATAAGTTCCTCGCCTCCAGGTTCTAGGGCATTGTGGGAAATTTAAATGGCAGCCAGACCTAAATGCCTCCCAGCTCTAGGGCGTTGTGGGAAATTTAAATGGCAGCCAGACCTAAATGCCTGGGTCACAGACCTAAAACCATACTAGGAAGACAGAGGGAGCCCAAGGCAGGGGTCAGCGGTGGGCCCTCCCGAGGCTTCTGCATCCGCTGGGGCCTCCTTTTCTCCAGAAGCGGAACCTCTGGGTCCCTACAGCCTTGGAAACAAGCCCAGATCCCTCCCCCCGGCAGCCCCTGCTTTCAGATGAGCCGCTCAGGAGCAACGCACGGTGCCCAGGAGAGCTCCCAGGGCCCTGCTGGCTGATTCCACTTTCAGGCTGAAGTCAGGAAGTCCCATCCGTCCCCCCCTCCTCAGGGCATCTGAATATGCCTTTTCCCCTCCAGAAGGAATGGCCCCCGCCCTCACCCTGCCCTTTGCCGATGGGAAATTTTGTCCTTCAGAGGCCAGGAAAGGCAGCCGCAGCTTTCCTTACAAGGAGTTTGGCTGGAGCTCAGCTGGCGAAAGTGACGGGAACGGGAGTCTGCGCCTCATTCATTCAGGTCAACTCCGAGTGACTTGCAGCTCTGGGGAAGACGGAGAGCCGGCTCCCTCCCTGCTTCGCTGCGGGGACCCCGGAGGCAGGGACCTGGCAGCCCAGCGGAGAGCAGCCACGGCTGTGTGGCTCTAAACACCTCCGGCTCTTTCCGGACTACCTCCTCTGCCAAGCTCCCAGGAAAGCCCAGCTCTGATCGGAAGGTGAGCCGCTGGTTCAGTTTTGCTTCTTCTCCCGGGGAAGCAGTGAGCAGCTTTTCAGTGGGCTTCTGACAATGATGCCTACGGCCTCGTTTATTCCAAAATGGAGTGCATCCCTGTTCCTTTGGGAACCCTCCTGCTCATGAGGAACTCTGGACCTCTGCCCCAAAGTCTTACGCGGCAGGCACTGCCGCTTTTCCACAGGCCGGTGCCAGGCAGATGGGGAGCTGCGCAGTGCCCCCGGAGAGTCGCTCCGCGGCGAAACGGGGCTGACTGGCAAGCCCTCCCAAGGTGGCTCCGACGAGCCTGAGGCAGCCAGGAGGGGCTGAGGAGGGGTGGGAGGAGGCATCCGGCCCAGTCGGGCTTTGGCACCACAGATGCCTCTGCTTGCACGGGCCTCTCTGGCTGTCGCAAAACGCCCAGTGCCCGGCTTGTTATTCCATTTGTGAGAACACACGGACATGCATTCTGCCCGGGTTGCCTCTTTTGTGGAAACATCAGTGCCCTGGAGAGAATGATTGTCTGCCCCACCCTCTGCCGAGCATGGGTCTGGTCCGAAGAGATGGATCTGCAGTCCCCTGGCTTGCAATCCCCAGGCTTCTGTGTGTGGGGATGACTGGGCACCCTGTTCACAGAATCACAGAAGGGCAGGGGCCAGAGGGCCTCCGGTCCCACCCCCTGCTGCTGCAGGACTCCAAGCTGAACCATCCCTGTTTCCGAGCTTCCCAGAGGCCCTGAACTAAGCACCGGGGGAAAGAGACACTGGGCCAGATCAAGCTCGGCCTGACCCAGCAGGGCTGTTTGCCCGTGCTTATGTGCAACCCAATTTCAGACTGTGAGTCCTCCCTTGCGATCCTCCGCTTCCTGCTTGCCTCCTTTCCTCTCGGTACTAACCATTAACTGTAAGGTCCTCAGGGCAGAGACTGCCCCGCTTGGCTTACATTGCGAAGCACCATGCTCATGCCCCATGGAGGCACGGACAGTGCTGCTACGTTGTGCCGACAATCAAATGCCGGGGAATCTCCTCAGTCGGAGGCTGGCGCAGTTCTCTGTGTAGAGCTGCAAAGCTGCTGGGATGCCATGCAGGGAGAACCGTGGCTCTGATTTGAGCAGGGCAGCCCCTGCACTCGTGGGATCTAGACAGTCCAGAGTTCTGGCAGCTCTCATTTTAGAAGCCAGCAGTTGGACCAGGCTTGCTGCTTGTCCCGGTTTGGCAGGAAAGGGACGGAAAATTCGTTCACGACCGCACGAGATGGAAAATACCCTCGGATGAGCCGGAGACTGCCTGTCAGCCCGGATCCCCCCAGATCTCTTATTCTCCGCTTACTTGCTGGCAGGAATTGCTTGTGCTGCAGTCAGGGGAACTTCTGAAGAAGAACTAGCTGCGTCTTGGGCGAGGCTCAGCTTTCTGGGGCGGCCAGTGCCCTGCTTTTTGCCCAAGTGCTGAACCTCTTCAGTTATGCAGCATCTCTCAGGGGCCTCATCTTCTAGGGGCTTGATGGACCAAAGAGGCAGAACCAAAATGCAGCATCCTTTAGTTGAAACGTCTTACTGCCTTGGGAGAAATGTTTCAGCATTTCTGATGGGAAGCAAGGAAAAGCGATGGGACCAGCCATCTAGGTGGATTCCACGCTCCGGGTAGGAAGCACCAGGTCCTCTGCTTTGCAAAATCCAGAATCTGGCTGTCTCGGTCTGCTGCACACCCAGGGAGGGCTGGGCTGGGCTGGGCTGGGGAAGGCCCTGGCCTAGTCCCGGGAAGCAGCTGTCCGGGAGCATAGGGGCAGTCCTGAAACGGGGCCCAGCAGCCTGGCTCTGTTGCAGGCAGTGTCCCGTGTTGCCAAGCCGGCTTCTGAGGCCAGCGAAGTGCCGGCCAAGCCCATTGCCCGGCAGCATCAGGGTGGTTTGTGTGCACCCTTCAGCCTGCGCGTCTCGTGCCTTCGCTTGGCAGAAACAGCCGCCTTCTGCCTGTGGGCACATCTGCACCTCTCGTGTGCACGGACGGCTGGGTACGTTCACGCTATTAGGAACACGAAGTGTGCAGTTGCGATTGTCTGCACACACTCGGTGAAAATAGCTTGAGCTTTGCCAGCCAGCCTGTTCGTGGGCGGCATTTTCTCTTGCTGAGGCCTGGTGGGTTTGATCAAGGCTTCTCCAAGGAAGTTAAAGAAGGAACCAAATGACGTGCGGCTAACGACCTTCCCCACACTGTCTGTCGTTTCCCTAGTCCGAGGATGTCGTCCATGTTTGGCAAGCCACGGAGCGCCTCCTGCGCGAATGAGCGTCATCCCTGCGGCCTTCTCCAAGAGTGCAGCGTGGCCATCTTGGGACTCCGGGGAGCTGGAAAGTCAGGTCCGGAGGTCTGGGGAGGGCTCTGTGGGGTGCGTGGGGGACTTGGCCCAGGTCCGGGGCTGTCACCCCAGCGCAGCCATGTTGGCCACCGTGGCTCCAGCGGTGCCGCCCGCATGTCCCCACCCAGAAGCAGAGCGGCTCCTGTGCAGGCGGAGGAATCGGCTCTGTGCCGGCTGGAGGAGGGGTCACAGGTGGGCAGGCCTGTGGGGAGCGCGAAGCCTTGCAGTAGCCCTCCCCAGGCTGATGCCCTCCGGATGCTTGGACTGCAAGTCCCAGCATCCCTCAGCCAGCCCTGAGAGTGGCAGCCAGCAAGGCACCAGGCTGGGGGAGGCCGCTCTCGTGGGGGCGATGAGCACCTGCCGCCCGCTGCCGCTCACGGGGCGAGGGGGCTTCTGCTTAAGGCCCGGGGCCTTTTCAGCCTCCACGGCGGGACCCCGGGCCAGCCGCGGCGACGTGGCCAGAGAGCCGCCTTCTAATCATGCCGAGCCCTGAGCTGGGCGCCCCCGGCCCACGAGCCCCTGTGCCCCACATCCGATCGTGCTGCTGCGTGACCAGGCCAGCATCTGGGAGCCCGTGAGGAAAGCGCTGCCGGAAGGGCAATGGAGCCCCCCCCCCCCCGCCCCAATAACAGCTCAGAAACGGTCTTCTCAAACAGCCTCCCAACCTCGTGCTCCCCTCAGTCCTCAGCCACGACGTTCGTAATGACTGCCTGCTGTCCAGGCTGCCTGGGGCTGATGGGTGTTGTGTGGAGCTGGTGGGGAAGGCTCCCGAGCCGTCAGAAAGAAAGAATGCCAGGCACCAAGAGGGAGGCAAGGTCGAGCAGGGCCGCTGGGGCGGAGGGGCCATGGCAAGAACCCTGGCGGGGGCTGCCCAGTGTCGGCACCAGCCCCGAGCGGCAGGCGTACCGCTTCTCCAGAGGGCAGAGCTTCCCTTGACACAACGAAAAGCAGAGAGCGTGTCTCCGAGAGGAAGGCGGAGAGGAACGCCCAGGTTCACCCAGTGCACGGACCTGTCCTGGGATGCTTTGCTTTGTTGTTCCAGCTGAGACTGATTCCTGCAGGGCAGCTTGTCTGAGAACAACCAGCCGTCCCGGCAACCCAGCTCCGGCTTATTGGGAGTGCTGTGGTGCCTCCAAGGGGGTGCTGGGTCATCCGCCCCGTTGTCTTACTCGGCGGGAGCCAGCTGATCGGCCAGGCTGGGCTGGTGGGTCATGCAGAAACACCCGAAGTCTTGGTGGCCAGCCAAGTGGAGAAGGAGATTCAAATTCGCCGAGCGAGAAGCAGTGCGTCCGAGGGCAGAGGACACCGCCGTTCCTTCGGAGGGTTCTTGTCTGCCTGGTCCTTCCAGGTGCAAAAGGGGGTTTGCCTGACGTCGAGACAGCACTGGAGAGCAGCCTCCCCAGCTGCTACCCCTCAGGGGGAGTTTCATTTTCATTTCCTAATTGATGTATCTCCAGTGTTTTTATGCTGCTCCATGTTTAGGCTGATTCTGGAGCAGCAAGCAGTGAAACAATAAACAGATAAAAGGATAGAAAGAATACATTCAAAAGGCATCCCAGAATGAGGCCTGGCCTGGCATTCCCTGCCTGGCCACCCGAAGCAGGGAAAGCCAAGGAAACGGGGCCATGAAAGCGGGATGTGGTTGTAATAGGATGTGCCTTGCGATGGGGTTTGCCTGCCACAGACAGGCTGATGTCCCCCAGCAGAGGATTCACTGCCAGTAACCAGCCCCACAGAGTTTTTGCAGGATTCCATGCAGGACTGTACCACTTGTGCAAATAGGACACGCTGGCTCAGTCCTCGCAAAAATGCTAACTGCCCCCTTCTTGCTTCTTACAGCGCTGACGGTGAAGTTTCTAACCAAGCGGTTCATAAGCGAATATGATCCTCACCTGGGTAAGGCACCTTTGCCCCGGCTGCAGCTTCCAGACCCCTCTCCTCACATTCCTTCCACCCCTGTGCCTTTTCTCCCCTGACAGCGGAAACTCACTTCTCCGGGACGTGGACCAGGGCCGCCCCCCCTCCCCCAGTCCTGAGTGCTGGAGCGAAGCGACTGCTCTGCCACAGCACGTGCGTTTGGGTCCCAGGTGTCCTGGCTGGGGATCATGCAAGGGGTGGACCCACAGCTCTTGGGGAAGCCCGCTTTCCGGCCATCAGGCCTGGAGGAGGCAAAGAGTCCTTCCCATGGAGCCGTTCTGCAGCTGCCCGGCCCCAGCAACCAAACCCCATAACCCCTGACCGGGGAGGGGGAGCTGCCGCCCACGGGCCCAGCCTGGCCTGGGCCACATTTCTGCACAATTCTAGGGGTCACTCGAGGCGAAGCTGCACGCCAGCCAGGCTGCCTTCTCTCGGCTGATTTGCGAGCAGCAAGCAAAATCCCTGACCCACATCTTGGCTGTGTCAGAATCCCGGAATCTCAATTTGAGAAGAGGGAATAAAACTCGGGTTCGTGGGAAAGACCAAGCGTCCAGACCATCTAGGCGTTATTGAATTTACCCCAAGGTTCCCGCGGTGCTCACGATAATGCATGCATTACCGGGCAGGCAGAGATGAACTCTGCTGCCAAGCTTCAATACCACTACAGGGCATTTATAGGTACACAGGTACAGGGCAATTGATGACAGAATGCAGAGATTACAATAAGATTCTGAGGTCATCACAGGACAGATAAAGAAATGTCAGTCAATCACACTGTAACAATGAGATTACAATATTTCTAATTGCCTGTATTGACACTTTAGTTGAGTAACTTGAACCCATCTCAGGGTCTGCTCAGACATGCAAATTCAAGCTACTAGAAACTATTCATGATAAGCTCAGACCCCTATCTCGACTCTAAACATTCTGCATGATCAGGGGACATGAAGCCCCCTGGGCTATCAAAAGATTATTGTAAACTGAATTCCAACAATGACTATTTACAATGTATATTTGGGCTAAAATGGCCTGTCTACTGTAGCCCACAGCTAAAGGTGAGAGAAAGGAGCGGGGAATGCCATTTTAAACAGTGACAGCTTGGTTTTGAGAAGGAGTACAGGATTTGATCCCACAATGCAAAGGCACACAGAAGTAATGCTTTTCAGACAGGATTTATCCAAATTTTCCAAACAGCTGCCATTAAAAATAGAAGGTCGGGATGGTGGGGGTTTAACCCTCACAAATGTGGTAGCTTACGCCCCACAGATAGAAACTGGAGCATGAGAGGACCTGGCCGAGCCCCTCAAGGTGGGCTATAAGCAGTCCTCACGGCAGAGCGTTTGGTACCCCCCAGTTGCTGGCAGGACCGTCCGCGGCAGGAGGGCTGAAGTGGGGGCAGGGAGCACAGGATGTACCGATCCTAAAAGAGTTCATTAAGAGCAGGGCAGAAACAATGGCCCTGATCCTTGAGCCCCTGGGAGACCTCAGCAATCCTCACTTCTGCCTTCTAGGGAAGGCTTGTCCGGAAATGTTCCCAAGGAGTTTCAACTGCCAGAGTTCTGCTCGCTCTGTTGTTTTGCCATTATTTGAAAACAAGCTGCCAAATTTAGAGCACATACCAAGGAAAGCAGAGATGGAAAATCCAGATTGTGCAGAAGGGAGGCTGTTTGGATCTTGAAAACCCTCCGAACTTTTTGCTTATGATATTCTCTTTTACCCTTTGTGGGCCGGGAGATGGAGCCCCCAAACTGATGGAGTATGTGGGAAAAAAGCATCGCAAATGAGGCGTTTCAGTGCAGTAGCCAAACCGTGATGTCGCTCTCGGATCTCAGCCTCCTTTTCCCTGTCTTGTTTCCCGCCTGACCTTGCAATTTGTGGAAGGCAAAAGTTTGCCGTCGCATCTGAAATGGGACACCCATGGTTTGCACAAGCCGTAACTGGGTTCCGCCATCCTTTGGAACTGTGCTTTGCACAAAGAGGTTTCCCATTCCCATGTAATGGCAAACTGGTGGCTAGCTGATCGGATCGTGCCAGTGTGGTGGAGTGGTTAAGAGTGCAGGACCGGACTTGGGCAATCCGGGTTCGAGTCCCCGCTCGGCCACATGGAGCCCACTGGGTAACTTTTGGGCTGGTGGCAATTCTCAACCCAGCCTACCCCACAAGGTGGTTGTTGTGGGGATAAGACTGAGAGCAGGAAGAGGAGAACGTAAGCCACTTTGAGTGTTTAGAGTTCAAAAGCAGGACATAAATCAGATAGATGGACAGATAATAATGCCACCTAGCCCAGCGTTGCCATCCTGATTGGCAATATCTCCCCAGAGCTGCCGGGCTTTGAAGCTGGGCTGTTCAGTATGGAAATCATAGAGTGTCCCACTCTAATTCCCTTTTCTAATCTTGTCCCAGTCCGGCCCAGCAAAGGTGAGATGCAGCGCAAAAGCTCTCTTAAGACCGCCCCCCACCCGATGAAGGACAGACCGGAGTGCAACGGTCGCAAGGTCTGTTCCGAGTCGGCTGCAGAGGTGGCCCGAGCCCGTGAGTGGCACAAGTGGGGAGGGCACCAGAAAGGTGGGGCTGCACGGAGAAGGCCCTCCAGCCCACGTGATTTCGGTTGCCGCCGACCTTAGCGCTCGTGCAGGTAGGAGGTCCGGGAACATTTGACCCAAGGCAGCCTGCTCCGACCTGCTGCTCGCCGTATGGACAACTCCCGTCCTCCCAGCACGCACATGTGCTAGGAGCTGTCGTCCAACAAAGTTGTAGGGCACCCGCTTGGGAAAAGCTGTTCCAGGCATCTGCCCACAGCCTCCAGCTGACCACGCGAGGGGCGAATGCAGGGCTCTCCGGGAAGGGGAGCTCGGCCGCCCCAGGAGAAAGGGCGGGTGTCCCCCTCCCACACACGCCACACATTCTCCCCGCCTCAGCATCTGGGAGCACAGCTTTTTGGCAGTTGCCGACTCCGGCACCAAGCCTGTCTTCTGCACAGCCTTCACGGAGACAAACGCACACCCATCACTCTGCGCTTTCATGGGTTTCCTTCAGAAAGTAGCAGCATTGCTAAGATATAGTCGAACCTTCTGAAGAAAATATGCAGGATGCCTGCATGTAATCTGCCTCCCCCCCTTCCCGCTCCCTCCCCAGAATTCCTTTTCTCATCTGGACGGCACACACAGCTCTGTTTGAATTCACAAACCTGCAATCTGCAAAGTGTGTTAGCTCTGGCAAGGACTGTCCTAAAACAAATAATTTCAAAAAGAATCAGGCCGGGCCAAAACTTCACGCTCACTTTAAACATGCGCTGCCATTGCTAACTATTCCTGGCATGTTTTTCCACTGCTGCATTCAAGAAGTCAGAATTATTTTTATAGCAGGAGACAGCAAGCATCACAGAGAGCCTTTGGGCCAATATAGTGGAATATACGCTTAATAAACAAATCTGCAAACAGTCATTAGGGTCCGAATGAAGGCCGCATGTGAGCTTGCCCAAAGGCAGGGTAGCTTGAATGGGTGATATTCGCAAGCAGGATCTGTTCCTCAAACTTCCAGGTAGGGGGTGTTTCCACGTATCTCTAGAAGGCACCACGTATCTGTTCCAGTGTACATCCCTGAGTGGCTTTTCTCCTCAAGGCAAAAGACAGAAGAAGCAGTATGAAAACGCAGGCCTGTCACAAGCGGAGAGGAAACCTCCAGGCCCCGGGAAGCATCCACAAATAAATCCAGGTGATGGCACGAGGCAGGTCTTCTTCCGTGAACTGGGAAGACGGCGCCGTGCATCCCGCATTCCTCCTTGTTCATGGAGCTCTGCAGCAGGTCCAGGTGCCATTGGCCTCTTCCGGGAGTAGCTTCCGGGGTTCTCCCTCCGCTCTTCCACTTCAACTCCCTTTTCCTACTAGAAAAAAATGCACCAAAAAAGAAAAGCCTTCACATAGCCGTGCTAGGAGCCCCCAGTCTAAAATCCACCCAAACGGGGGAAAGAGGGCGATGCCGCCCCGCTGTTTCTGTGGAAAGATTTCCCTGAAAATACACAACGAGAGTCACAGAGCACGCGGGAGAGAACCTGGGGCAGGAAAGGCCCTCCCTCGGACCGCGAGATGTGCTTCTTGTTTTGGAAAGTCGCTGTTGATAGAACCATGAATGTCACCGTCTGGATGGGGGCTGGGGGGGTGGCGCCCCCGGTGCAGAGCACGTTGCCAGGGAGGGATGCTTGGGCGGGCTAGCAGCTCCAGGCGGTGGGTTGCCTCTCTGCCAGAGGGACCGGTTGCTGTTAGCATTTGTGTGCTGCCACAAAGTCTGGAAGCTGCAGGGAGAGGGCAGGAGCTGCCCTAGTCTCTCTGCCCTTGTCTCATTCCCTGGTGTCGGAGTTATTTGCTGCCGTCTGCGCAAGAGCCCCGGCCTGGAATTTTGGCCGAGGCACCTCCGGCCCAGGGTGCAAGCTGGGTTCCTTTCCCAGGCAAGCCCCACTTCTTGTTGGAGGGGCAGCAGCTGCTTTTGAAGGTTACAAAGTGTGGCTCATCCCCTGTTCCATCCGCGGGAGGTGAGGGGTTCCACCCCATAGGCCCTTGGCCAAAACCCTGGAGGGACACTGCCAGTCAGAGCAGGTAACACCAGCCTAGGAGGACAAGGGGGCGCCCGACTTGGAGCCAAGGCAACTGCCTTTGTTTTTTCTTTCTTGGTGTATCTCAGGAGAGCTATGAGCAAAAGACGCAGGGCGCCAAAGGCTCCGTCAGTGTGTCGGGGACAAGAACACCCAGATACAATCTTGCAGACATTCTTGGCAGGTGGCTGTTCTGAGCCGAGTCCAGAGCCTGGGAAGGGTGAGAGGAGAAGGCGGGGGAGAAAGCGCTTGGGGTGGGTGAAGACTCTTATCGGAAGGTCTCCGAGGGGATTCTTCAAGCCCGAATGCGGAGTTTTCGGCAAAAGACGAGGATTTAAACTACCTTGATATAAAAGGAAACAAGCAGCCCATCTGACTAGCCACTCTAAATAAGAAGCAAGATTCTTGCTTTGCAGGAGATTCCCAGCGTTCTCTTGTTTTGGTCTGGGGGAGACTGGCCAGCAGACAGAGGTGGTGGAAAAGAGCCAGCTGTCTCCGAACCTCCACCCCACAAGGGGGAACCCAGTGGGCTCCCCAAGGAGCCAGGCTGCATGCCAGGGGCAACTCACGTGGCTGCAACAAAGCGTCCTTCCTGGCAAGACTTATGGCACCATGACACCGAATTTTACGAGGGGTCCCGGCAGTGTCCTCTGCTACTTCCAACCCCACCATCTTTCCCTTCTGTTGCTTTTCTTACTGCAGAAAATCTGTTACAGAGAAACCCTGTGGGATCGTGCATGCTGCCTCCTAAGGGGTCCTTTTCATGCTTGGCTTACCCACTGGAAAAAACCTTTCTCTTCCAGAGGACACTTACGCCTCAGAAGAAATTGTGGATCAACAGCCAGTTCTGCTGAAGGTTATGGATACGGCCGACCAGGTACTGGAAGGCAGCGTTTGAGGCACACGGGAAATGGCCGCTTCCCAAAGGGTCCCCGGGGATTGACAGAGGCACAGAGCACCGCTGATTATGTGGCGCGATGCTCCAAAAGCCATGCGCTTGCACAGCTGAGCTTCCCCCGCAGGCGTGCACTGCCTGCACATCTGCGATGCTCTTTCCCACCCAGCTGTAGAACGTCTGGAGGCCGATGGGATGGCCATGAAGACAAAGATGAGGACGCAGAGCGATCCTTTGTAGAAGGCCCAGTCACCGAAGCTCGTTGGGCAGGTCCCAGAACAGACAAGACAATAAAACACCGCACAATTGTTCGACCACACAACTGTTTTAAAGTGCAGACAGGCCCCTGTGGAGAGACCTCACTGGTGGGGAGGGCCACTGAGAAAGCCCTCCCCTCATGGCTGCTCTCTGGGACTCCCTTCGAAGCGGCACTTGGAGGGGGAAGCACTGGGGGTCCCTCAACGAGGGGAAGCCAGGGCAGGACTCAGACCACACCGCCGGGCGGTGGAATCCCTGCCTCTGGCTTGCCCTCGGCCGTGCCATGCGCCCTCTGGAAATGTGCCCAGCTGCCAGATGCATCTTTCCCAGGTCTTTCTTGAAAGCTTTCTCTGCATAGCTTGAAAAAGCAGGTTGCCTTATACACCGGATGAGCCAAATGGCCATCCCAGTTGAGGGACCGGCAGGTAAACAGCAGAAAGTTTCTTCCAAGGCAGAGAGCAAAGCTTGTCTTAACGAACAAGGAAAGGGGCAGCCCGTTTCTGACTGCCCCATTTGCTTCCCTGCCAGGATGCGCCCATGAACTGCGAGCGATACCTGAACTGGGCCAGCGCGTTCCTGGTTGTCTACAGCATCGACAACCGGCGAAGCTTCGAGGGCTGCCGGCCGTACCTGGACATCCTCACCCTCCACTCGAAAAACACGCAGAATGAGGCGCCGGTTCTCCTGGTGGGGAACAAACTAGACATGGAGCAGTACAGGTAGGTGGGGAGGGGGGGAATCAGGGGATAAAAATGCACACACACACCCCTCCTGCCAGCTCTGCCACGTTCACTTCCCCCTCTCTCTCGTTCAGTGAAGCCGTTTGTCATAAAATTGCTAATCCGCTCCAGGCAGCCTCGACATCAAATCACTCTGGCAAAAAAATAAGATCAAACTGAGCTGCAGCCAGTGAAGAGAGGGCTGCGCTCCTCACCCACCACTCTTTATTCACGGTTGTTTACAGATGCTTTAGATAACTGGGGATCCTTCCAGTTGTGATTCTGCTTTTTCGGGGCCCTTTCCATCATTTTTAGAACAGGGGAAAGAGGGTATTATTTTAGAACTGGGGAAATGGTGCTGTTTTGCCTTGTGCTTTTGAGCTAAGCCGCTTAGCCTAGCTTCAGCTCGAGCAGACGTGCTCAAACCACGTTCCGCGGACCCTGTGGCTCTGCAAAGGCCTTGCAGGGGTTCCACGAAAAATCTCGGAAACCAAATTTAAAACAGATTCTAAACAAAGCCACACGAGGCCAACCATTCAATTGTCAGTTGGCTTCCAAGCAGCAAACAAGGAAATTAATCACGTCATTTGATTACTGGGACTCTATTGTGTAGTGTTGGGAACAATCGAAAGAATTCATTTGGGATATTACCGTATGATCTCTTTATTAATTCCTTCTATCTAAGATGTTTTCTCTTTATTTCCAAACCTACTCCTTTCTGCAAAGCACTTGGGCAATAGGAGCAGATGAAAGAGGGGAGGACGTTGTGGGTTCACAATGGCGAGTAAAAATCAGCGACGGGGGTAGGGTTTCGTGGGGGAAAAATGTCTTCGGAAAGGTTCCACGGCTGGAAAAGTCTGGGAGTGCTGGCCTGGAGGTTACGCAGCAGAAAAGCAAGCAAGCAGGACTGTGGACTTTGACCTCATGGAGAAAAGTCCCCAGAGGCTTGGTAACAAAGGAAGAGCAGGGCACTCCCCCCCCGGACCCCCCCCTTGTCTTCGATCCCCAGAAAAGGGCACGTTGCCCGTTCTCCCTTTTGCTCCCCCTCCCTCGGGCCCAGAACTGCCCCTCGGGGTCCATGCTCTTTTGCACATGTGCGCACGATCCAAGCTTTCCAGAGAGAACTGCATCTATAGACTGCCTGCCAGCAATGGAGATTCAGGATGTGGCCCGTGAGGGGTGGGGGTCCCATAGCCATCCTCACCCACCTCCCTTCCCCGGAAACCCCTCGTTCCATTTCCGAATGCCTTTCCCAGACAGGTCACCAAAGCGGAAGGGGCCTCTCTCGCCGCCAAGTACGGCTGCTTCTTCCACGAAGTCTCGGCCTGCCAGGATTTCGAATCCGTGCAGCACGTTTTCCACGAGGCCGTCCGGGAGGTGAGGCGCGAGGCCGAGAGGCACCTGCCGGTCCGCCCCTTGTACATCTTCGAGGAGAAGCCCCCGCTGCATTTCGTCACGCCGGTCCCCGTGGCCTCCAAGCACGGCCTGGCCAGCTGCACCTACAGCACGCTCTCCACCGCCAACTACAAGGAAATCCCGTCGGTGGCCCAGGCCAAGCTGGTGACGGTGAAGTCCTCCCGGGCGCAGAGCAAGAAGAAGGCGCCCACATTGACTCTGCTGAAGGGGTTTAAGATATTCTAGCGGGGCAGCCGGAGGAAGCGGGAAGAAGCCACTCGGGCCTGCGTGGAGGCTCCGGCACGATCCAGCGGCCACGTTTGCAGATGGCGGACGGGCCGGCCTTCCGGACGGTCCACACGGCCGCTCGCTCTACAGCAAAGCATGCTGGGAGAATCAGGGACCCAGCCTGGGGGAAGCCAGGGACCTGTTCCTCTGCAGACCACCCCACTGCCAGTTTTCCTCGCGGCTGGTTGCGGGATTTGCACCCTTGCGCGTGCGAGTGGCACCAGCTATTCCGGAGGGCTTTGCTCCTGGGTGGAATTGCTGCCACGTCGCCTTGGGGATATTTCCAGCTGCTCCGTGCACCCTCGACGTGCAGCCCGGATGCCAACCGAATTGCCCGACGGAGCCTCTGCTGGGCAGGACTCAGAGCAGCAGGCCGGAGGTGCCCAGCCGAGACGGGGTCACTTGCACTGGTGGCAGAGCACCCCATCCTCACGGACACGCAACGACGGAGGCCAGCACTGGGGACCCGCGAGCCCAGCCTTCCTCAACCTCAGCGCACCCCCTCTGGGAGATCCGATTCGCAGCCTGCTGAGAGCTCCTCACAAGGCCTGCCAGTGGGAAGCCCGAGTGCGGCGCAGGGGTGGACCCTGCCTTCCCTTGCTGCCGGTTTACAACTGCACAGGCCGCCGGGGCACCGGGCTGCCCATTCCCTCCTGGCCGCTGTCTCACACGGCCGGGTTGCGCCACTGTGCCTGGAAGCAGCAGTGAGAACATGCAAAGGCGGGGGGGGGGGGCGTGTGAAGGGTGACGGGCTGTGGACAGGACGTGGGTCACCGTTCAGTAACCGCTGCTGGCCACGGATGCGTCGCCTGCCCGCTTCTTCAGCACTCACCGTGGCTGCGGATCAGCTGCAAGCGGGGCCAGAACAGGGGGGGGGGGCGCCCAGCAGAACATGCCCCGGTAACAGCGGGGGTGCCCGGGGCTGCCTGGCCCACAAAGCTGTCCCTCCCCACTCCCACCAGCTCTGCACCTGGCTGAGCCCCCCCCCCCCGCCAAGTGCTAGCGAGGGGCTGGTTGGGTCCCCCTAGGGCCAACCCGCTTGGCCACCCTTATTTTCTTAAACGACCACTGCCATGGCAAAACGAGCCAATTGCCGTCGTGATCAAAACGAGCAACCACCACTGATGGCTAAAAACCTGGTGATTACAGTCGCCCCTCGTTCTGGGGCAGCTGCAGGGGGCTTTGATGGCCAGAGAAGAGGAGGGCGAGGCTGAACCTGTTCAGGCCGGTCTCTTCCTTTAGAGGTTAGTCTACACAAAGCCCGGGAACACCGAGGACCGGACTTGCTGCGTGCAACGCAGGGGCGTTGCCTTGGCCCGCTACTCTTGGGAAGGCTGAGCGAGTCCCCTGTTTGCACAGCACCCACGTTAAGGGGCGCCCGGCATGCCTTTGTCCCGAAGTCCTCGACGTGCTGGGGCGGGCACGGGCCGCGTTTTCCCGCGTCCGCTTGGCCCGCTTCCCTCGCGCGCGCGCGCGCCGCCCCCCCTCCGTGCCGAGGTCGCGTCCTGGTTCTGATCCCGGAGGACGCTCTTCTCAGGCAACCGCCTTGCGCTGTTCCCCCAAGGTTACAAGCTCCCCTTGCACCCTCCCTTGTTTTTCCACTGCTGCTTCCGTCCTCCTTTCTTTCCAGAAAATTTCCACGGAAAAGGAAATGATGGAAGGGGTACGTGTTGCCACTGGGGCGGTAATGTGAGGAACTGAAGTGTCCTTGCTTTTCACGCACACACCCGGTTTCACACTCACACACGTTTTCCCAGGCACAGGTGGAAAAACCTCCTGTATTCTCTCCAGGAGGGAAAAACACGTGTGACCATATCACACGTAGTGGAAAGGACTTGGGGCTAATGCTTCCAGATACAGAATGGGGGGATGGGGGTCCCTTTCCCCCCTAGGGCAGTCCCCACCTTGACTTCTCCCACGAGGGCAGGGAAACCCGCCAGATTTTGGAGGGTGTGGTGTGGGGGGCTGCAGAGACAAAGGAGAGGGGGACCTTTGGCACCAGTTGGCGCAATGCTAGATTCTGCCCTCGGCTGGCACCCTCCCTCCGAAAATCTTCATCCGCACCGAGGCATGGACACTCTGAATCCAGGAACATAGGTGCGTAACTGCAGGATCCGTCTGCCTTTGTCATGAGAGTGTTTTAACCATAATGGGGACGGGTGGGGAGGCAAGGCATGGGAGGAACAGACGGGAACGGAGGGAAGGCGACTCTCTCTCGGTGCGTGGCGGGTGCCGAGGCGCGAAACGGCCGCTCTGCAGCGCCTCTGTGCCTGGGCGGAAGGGACACGGGGCCCCCTGGTGGAAGAGCGGCCACCCGTTTTGCATCCAAGATCCTGGCGGTGGCGTCTGCCCCTCGGCACGGCGCGTGCAAATCCCGCAGGGGCGCCAGCCCTTCCCCGCCCGGCGCCGTCATTCGGCGGAGAGGGGCAGCTGCCTCCGGGGCGCCCTGTGCTGCCCCGAAAGGGCGGGCCATTCGGCTTATCCTGGGGGTGTTTTGTTCTGTGACGCGAGGGAAGGAGAGGCGGCTGTGCGGCTCGCTGCCCCCAGGGACCGGCCTCGAGGCCGAGTGCCCCCCGGCAGGCCGTCCCGCGCCCAGGACTGGCCCAGCCCTCCCGTTGAGGCGCAGGGGAGCGGCCTTGCCGCCGGGGCCAGCCTCCCTGTCGGCCGGGGAGCGGCAGCGCTCCTGGGAGGCGAGTCCGCCCTCCGCGGGGGACAGCAGTAGGGGCTCCGCGCAGATCTGCCGCCGCCTCGGCCAGCGCTGGGGCGGCCGACCCGGTCCCCGCGGCCCTCGGCGGCGCCATGGGGCGCCCTTGCAGGGACTCCCCGTGTCCCCGAGTTCCTCTAGCTGGAGGCGGGAGAGCGCGGCGGGATCCCCGCAGGGCGTCGCTCGGAGGCCAAGCCCACCCGCTGGGCGGGGGCGCAGGGGGCGCCCGGAGCCTCTCGGGGAGCCAGGGGTTCCGCGCCCTGCTTTGGGGGTGGCCGTGTGGGGTGCATTTCCTGCGGCCACCACCCCCCCCCCCCGGCTTTCTGATCGGATCGCCGCCCTGCAGAGCGACGTCTTCAAAGGCTGGGCGCGCTCGCGCTTCTGCCCTGTAAGCAGCGGCCACGGGCGGGACACGAGCGCAAGGGCTTCTCTCCCCGCCACAGTAAACCGTGGGAGCTTCCCTGGAAATGCAAGGAGTGGTTTCCGGGAGTCGAGCTTTATTTGGGATCGTGGCAAGGAAGGGAAAGTAACCACCCCTTCCTCTAGCCGGCGGTCCCTGGGTGGCCCCAGGGCTGCTGCTGTCACGGAACAAGAACAAGACTGGTTTCGTGGCCATCCCTTCATGCCTGGGAATGCAGCCCCACAATTTTTAGCAAAGAAACTTTCTACCTTCCCTGAACTACAACTGGCAGTACTGGCGGCGGGGGGGGGGGGGGGGGGGGGGGCAGAGAGAGATTAAACCAGCAGAAATCCAGTAATAGGGCAGCTTTGGTCTTTGGGAAGACCCAGTACTTAATTCTCCGTTCATATGGCATAACAGATCAACAGAACCTTGGTTTGGCACCCTTTTTGTAGTTTTTTCTGAACCATTCTCCGTTTCTTCTGATTTTATGGTTGCATAACCCTATAAAATAATGTTTTTCTAAAAAAATGTTAAGAAAAAGAATCACAGCATTTCATGATGAAAAAAATCAGCTGATTTATGTTCCTTTCCTTTTGGGGCAGCGTAGAGAGTGGGCAAAGTGCATTGTGGGGTAAACACACTCTTATCTTCTATCCAGCTACACTTCTTGTCACAAAATGTCCGTTAGATTCAGTATTTTGCTCAACTGTTGTGGAAAATATTTTAATAAAGGAAATGTGGGGAAAGCCAAGCGTGGGATTTTCTTCCTTTCCGCTGGTTGGCACCATAGCAATTTTCCTTCTTGGTTTAGGGTTTGATTTATTCGCCTGGGCCCTTGAAATAACTTAAATCATGCACACAGGTGTGTCCTCTTGCACATTCATTGGGATAGTAACCACTGCTCCTGCTCCCATGCTCACTTGTGTGTGCAGAAAGGAGCTGGCAATTTCAGTAAGGTTAGGTAAGTAACCTTAAGAAAATATCCAACTTCCAATCAACCAGACTGAAGTATGACAAGGAGCTTAAAAGGTACAGAGTGGGAGCTACGCTGCCTTAAATGTTTTGGGGAAATCCTCTGAAAAAGGGTTGGTCAGACTTTGAAGGGTGCTTTCAGGTAAGCCGGCCAATGTAACAGGAAATGCTGTTTAACATCTCATAGGAGGCAGCCTTTCTTTTTAGTCAACTTGAGTCGGAAGATCTGGGTTCAAGTCCCACCTGTGTTAGGTATACCTGGACCACAGAATTAAAATGTTGCACAGGTGTGGGCTCAAACCAGAAATTCACTTTCTCCAGGGAACTCTGGGAACTGTGGAGGGGGGCAGGCATTCCGGAACGAAGGAACCTCTGGGCCTTCTCCAAAGCCCAGTTCCCAGGGTTCTCTAAGAGAAGCACTGATTGTAAAAACTGATATAAAATCTGTCAACATGTTTAGTGCAGAGACACTTCTGTTTCTCGGCTCCCGGGGTATTGTTGGAGCCCCTGAAAAAACTACAAAGCACTTTAAAATGATAATTAGACAGACTGTTTGAATCTTGGTAGGTTCCATATCACAGGTGTAATATGAAGGCAGATGCAGCTTTTCTGTTTGCTCACTTCCACTTGACACGCATCGCTTTGAGACATGATTTCCAAAACTGCAGGTGGTCCTGCAGTCCTGGCCATCTTCCACTGCAATGAAAATTATCACGCTGGTTGTTACACGTCTTCTTCAGACACCTCTGGATACAAGCTCGTGGTGGTGCCATCCTTCCAGTGGACCAGCACCTGGTCTTCGTCCTGTGGGTTTGGATCCAGATGCTCGGCCGCACTATTTAAGTTGCTACTTTCCTTCAAAGTCACAAAACCTTGCTTCATTTCTGCATCAGTCAGCTGGCTCGCTTTGCTTTGGTCTCCCTGCAGGTATGTAGCTTTCCTGTTTCTAAATGGATGGGGAAGGAAGGAAGGAAGGAAGGAAGGAAGGAAGGAAGGAAGGAAGGAAGGAAACAGAGTAATCTCAGATCAATTCTGAAGATGTCACAATAAATATGCAAATACGTAATCACTGCCTGGTGAGATTTTGGAAGCCAGTGTGGGACTGAATAGGATCTGCATAAGCAAATAGACACTGCGGGGCTTCCTCCAAAGAATGCTGGGAATTGTAGTTCCATGAAGAAGGTACTGGGAATTCTACCTATAAAGCTGCCCCCCTTCTGCCCAAAACAATAGTTCTTGGGGATCCTGGTAAGAGAGAACGGTCTAAAGCAGAGGGTAGACGATGCGGCATTTGGGGGCATGTGGGGGAAGTTGCTGGCCGCGGCTGCCCAGCCCAGCTGCTCCCTCCTGAGAAACTTTTCCGCCCCACCCTTCAAGCGCAACTTTTCCCTTACTTGTTTGCCTTGATTGTCGTTCCCAAGAGGACAACGCCTATGAGCAGAACCATAAACGAGAGGGCGAGAGTGCTGTAGTTCCACGCAGGCACTGGGGGCAGTACAGTGGGGAAAGGCAATGTGAACGAGCAGCTCCGTCGGGAAGGCCTCTGACTCTGTCCCAGCACATCCCGCCCCTCTGGCCAGGGATGCCAGTGCAGCGGTGGGAGCTGCACCTGTTACACATCTACCTGTCATTCTCAGAAGCTTTGGAGGCAAAAAGAGTGGCCCTCCCAGATCAGTCCGCACAAAAGCATCATCACTGGCTGATTGGCCTCCTCTCCCCTGCCCCGCAATGCCATTAGTAGCCACCCCACAATTGAATGATGCCCTAAGCAGGGAATCTGTAAGTGAGCATGAGTTGCGGTCAACCAAATTCCAGCCAAAGCTGGTTGTGCTCTGCGCCTGTGTGCTTTGAGGTTTTCCCCTTTTCCCAGGCACCTTTGTGCATATTTTGGTGTGTGTTTCTGTGCACACTCAGTGCAGCACACTCTGCAGCGTGTGCCTTGTCTCCCAGCAAGTGCATTTATAGGCTTCATGCACTTTCGGGGGCTCTGCAAGTCAAACTGAAGTCTGTACATGTGCAGACGTCCACCCCGACCGTGGACTGAGGCCGCGCTTGGTCCGGACCGTGCAAGCAGGGCAACTCAAACCGAAGCAAAGTTTGCCCACGTTCTTCAGCAGCGCCCCGTAGGTGGTCGGGTGCTGACCCGTGCCGTGCAAGAACCTACTTTCATCCGTCCGGAAAAACCACAGCAGCTCCTGCAGCTGCTCTGGAGACATCTCGACATGTCCTTCGAGGCTTGCGCTCCGCTCTGAGTCACCCTGCGGGGCTGAGTTTCCCGAGGCCAGGACGAGATGTCCTCCCAGGTCCGTGCTTCCTGCAGCAACAGGGGGAAGCCAAATGAGGAGGCTTTAAGCTCGAGCTGCGATGTTTACTGGATGCGACTAAGCTGTTCTTTAGCATGTAAGGCTAGTCTTGCTCAGACCAGGACTACTGGAATCAGTGGGCAAATGAACCATGCTGAAGGGTCCCTTTTCTGTCTGCACATGCAAAGGGGGCCACGTTAACTTAAGCACCTCAGTGTCGATGGGGCTGCTCGAAACAGGACTAAGCGACTAGAAAGCAGCCGTGGCTGCAAGCGCCCGGTGCCTCGCCTCTTCATGCAGGGCTGGTTAGTCCTTGGATGGCCAGGCCGGAAGCGCAGGGTCCTCAAGCGGCCTCGCTCCCCTCATCCCTCCTTCCTTCCTGTTTGCTCTGACTTGAAAGCGCTGCCCGGTTTGCTTCCAGGGACTGAGGACCCGAGGCTCAATAGCCGCTGAAGAGTCTAGAGGCGAGGCGGGTTTCTAGCCAGCTTTGTTTGGGTGAACAAAGGGAGCATGGAGCAGTCCAAAAACTCAGATGTGGTCAAACAAGTCACAGGTCTTGCTCCGACCACAGTTCCCATCCAAAGGCCCCTTGGGTACTCCTGTCATCCTTCTTCTCTTGGTCATTCGCTGGGATTTTCTGTTCTTTTCTCCCCGTGGTCTTCCTCCCAGGCAGCCTGCCCTGAAGATCACTCCGCGCTTAAGCTCATCTGTGCCACAACTGAATTCATCTAGCTGGGGCTCCTCTCCAGCTTTCCAGGAAACCCACCCCCTCCCTCTTTAAGGGGCCTTCAGCCTCAGACCCAACGAACGTGGCTCTCCGGCGTCCAGACTGCGCCTGGCTAGGACTGAGCCCTGCAAAACATCTGCTCTGCTACTGAGCTGCTACAGATACCCTCTCCAGTCATCTGCAGCCTTCAGATAGCTGGGAACACAACTCCCATCCTCCCCAGCCAGCATGGCCATTGCCCAGAAAAGTTTGTTTCAATGGGGCTTGCACGAGAGACCTCTCTTCTTGTCCACCCAGCCCCAGCCCCCCCAGAAGTGCTGCCTACGTCTCTCGGTATCTTGGAGGTGTGCTCTAAGGAGACCCCTGTTCAGCGTTCCACTGGGACCCCCTGTTACTTGTGGAGCAATGCACTTACTGCACACCAACAGGCAGAGGAGTGTCCAGAATGTCTTCATGGCAGCTGTCGGAACCCTTCGAACAAGGGGGACGGATGTTTCCCCACAGCTGGAAACTAGAGAAGGGAAACCAAGACGCTCACTGACAGATTCCTGACATTCGGAAGACGTCCAAGACCCTGGAAGGCCATCTGCGCACCCATCCGGTGCTCTTGGGTTCCACCCCTTCCGATCAGAAGAACTTGGGCTGCTTGCAAACTGCACCGTAAACATTCCGAGTGCTTCCAGGTGAGGTTTTTATGGCATTGTCTCCCCGCTTCATGCAAATAATTTTATGGGAAGCAGAGGCAAGATTGTCTTCACATGTTTTTCCACCGCTGCTTCCACTTTTTTCCTTCCTAGAAAAGCCCATTAACCAAAAGAGGATGGAATACCTGTGCAACCCTTTCTAATGGCTAATACCAAGACCCATGTGTCTGAAAGCCTGACTTCTTTCAAAAAGAAGTGATCTTGGCTCACTCCTGCAGCATGAGCCCATCCTTTTTAAGAGGCATCCTTGGCTAAATGCAGTGGTGTCTGGGCCAGAGGATGCAACACCCGGCAAGCAGATTCCTGCTTTTCTTCACCTTTTCCTTTCTGGCCAGAGCTGTATATACAATTTCTAAGTGTACACTGCATATTTTAAATCAGTCTTTAAACGTGCGCTTTCTCACCTGTATATTTCTAGTGATTATAAAATAGCATTTAAATGAAAAGTAGGGAAGAACTAGGAATTGCTAAACTTCCCCAGCTGCTCCACTGCCCTCCTGCTCTGTTGTGCTACAATTCCCATCACCCCCAGGATAGGGGGGTGCCAGGCTAGCAGGACTGCTCTGCAGAGTCTGCAGAATGATGGGGAAAGCATGAGAAGAAGAGCAAGCAGAGGGTCGTAAATCTCCTGAAAAGTGGGCGAATTGAGCACATTTGTCCCACGATAAAGAGATAGCAGGGAATTCCATCTGGATTCTGCAAGGCTGAACTCTAGGCACGGTTGCTGTGGAGCAAATCCCACAGAATCCAGCGGAATCCTCCCCTGAGCAACTGTGCTTAGCACTACGCTGTGCAGCCCCAGTCTTAAACTTGTGTATCTCAGACATACACCGTGCATCTGATAATAAACCCCACAGAACATCTATCTATTTCTTAGTCTTATATCCAATCTCTTTTCCTTTCAAGGAACTCTGGCTGGCTTCCCTAATGCTCCTCCTCTCAACAACAACCCTGTGAGGTAGGTTGGGCTGAGAGTGTGTGCCTGGTCCAAAGACACCCAGTTGGCTCCATGGCTGAGTGGGGACTAGAACCTGGATTGGTCCCACTGCACCGCACTGCCTCCGGTCCATGGATGTGGTCCTGAAAGCACACACCTGTGCTTGGCCCCATCCCTTGCTCTCACAAGAAGCCGGGGGGCGGGGGAGCACAGCTTTTTTCTCTGCTTGGCTGAACCGCTTTGAGTGTGTAGGTTGTGAAGGCAGAAAATGGTGCATGCAACTGGCTTCACTCCCAAGTGGACACAATCTACCTCACGGCATTCGGATTAGCAAATTAGCAAAAGTGGACTAGAGAGAAAAACTGTTAGGTGGATCCAAAATTGTCAGCTAAATTGGACACAAGTAGCCCTTTCTCGAACTGGAGGGAGGTAATGCGTGGGGTGCTGCAGGGTTCAGTCCTGGGCCCAGTGCTCTTCACCATCTTCATCAATGGTTTAGATAAGGAAGTACAAGGAAGGAAAATCAAATTTGCAGATGATACAAAACTGGGTGGAATAGCAAACGCCCCAGAAGACAGAATGAAGATCCAGGGCAATCTTGATAGACTTGAGCACTGGGCTGAAAGCAACAGAACGAGATTCAGCAGGGACAAGTGCCACGTCCTGCACCCAGGAAAAAGGAACCAAATGCTTGAATACAAGATGGGGAATATGTGGCTCAGCAGAATTGCAAAAGAAAAAGACCTCGGAGTTCTTGTGGATAACAGGCTAAATATGAGCCAACAACGTGATGCAGCTGCAAAAAGGGCAAATGCTATTTGGGGATGCATTAATAGAAGTATTACCTCCACATCATGAGAAGGAACAGTTCCCCTATGCCAGGGGTCAGCAACCTGAGGCTCTGGAGCCGCATGTGGCTCTTGAACCCCTCTGCTGCGGCTCGTCGCTCAAAACACGCGCCGGCACAGCCGCTGATCTGCTAGTTAAGTAAATCAGCTAATTAAGTAAATCGCACCATTCCTCTGCTAAACAAGCTTCCTGCAGGCTCTCATGTTACACCAAAGGCTGTTGAAAAGATTCTCTTTGTCCCAACCGTAATCTCCTTCATCTGAATGCTCCTTCATCTGAATGTTAAAAGCTGTGCTTGGGACCTGTCACAATTCACAGCACTTGACTGTTTATCTGCTAATCAGTCGCTAAACACACCTATATCTCTGGCACAGCTGCCGATCTGCTCCCCCCCACCCCCCACTCCTGTAGGCCAACCGTGGATAAATCGAAGAAAAGAAAAGTTTCTGAAGAAACCCAAACGTTTAATGATACGTGGGTAGATTCATTTGCTTTTACTGCTGACAAACTTATAGGGTTTGCTGTTTAATGCATGCAGCCCTTTAGCACTGACTTTGACTCTGCAGGAAGCTGGTCTCCTATTCAAAATATATGAAAGGAGTCCTACTAATTTATAATGTAAGATTAAAAATAACAGTTTTTAGTGACTGAACAAGAGCTGCAGCTAAATCATAATGAAGATATACATAGCATTAAGGTAAAAAACGATATATGCAGTGTCATGTTCATTTTAGATGTCAAAAGGGTTTTGCGGCTCCCGCTGTTTTCCTTTGTGTGGGAAACGGGTACAAATGGCTTTTTGAGTGTTAAAGGTTTCCGACCCCCGGACTAGACTCATCACTAGGCAGACCTCACCTGGAATACTGTGTCCAGTTCTGGGCACCAAGATTTAAGAAAGATGCAGGTAATGAGAAAGGGTCCAGCGGAGGGCAACAGAAATGATCCAGGGTTTGGAAACACTGCCCTGTGAGGAGAGGCCAAGAGAACTGGGCATTTTCAGCCTTGAGAAGAGAAGACTGAGGGGGGGGGGGCATGGTATCCTTCTAGAAGGACCTCAAAAGCTGCCACAAAGAGGAAGGTCAAGATGTCTTCTCACTGTTTCCAGAGCGTAGGACATGGAATAATCGACTCAAGTGGTGACAAGCCAGATTCAGGCTAGATAGCAGGAAAAGCTTCCTCACTGTCAGAGCAATACAGCAATGGAACCAGCTGCCCGGAGAGGTGGTGGCTCTCCCACCCTGGAGACATTCAAGAAGAAACTGGGCAGCCACCTGAGTGGGATGGAGTGACTTGGTGTCCTGCACCAGCCGGGGGCTGGACCCAACAGCCTTCTGGCCCCTTCCAGCTCCACTATTCTATGATTCTTTGGTTCTATGATATCACCCACCTCACGAGACTTCAGCAGGATCCTTGGTGTCTGTTTTCCATATGCAGGCTGGGGTGTGGAGGGGTTGTCTGGGGGAAGCGAGTTCCTACCCACAGTCTGAGATGATGCAGCCCAAGCACTGGGCTTTGCCTTTCACCCACTGTGAAAGTTGAGCGCTCTCCAAACAGCCTCTGCATGGTAAAGTCATTATCTTCACATTACCACTGAGTCATAGCCACTAAAATTTTGCCATGTCCTTGATCCTCTGGGTTAGTGACCCCTCCTAATCACTTTCCCTCTCACTGCACTCCTCTGGTTTCATTCTTGTAAGAATTCAAAGTTCACATTTAATGGGGAAAGAAATTGTCAAACAGAGCCAAATGCTATGCTGAAACAGATACTTGCACTCTTATTTCCAAAATGCACAAAAGCCATCAGATTCCCCTTTCCTTCTCTGACGGATTCTGCCTTTGTTACTATTAAAAATGGACTTTCCAGAGATTTACCCACCCTTTCCTCCGGGTAGCTTGGGGCACTGCACATGGCTCCCCACAATAATAAATCATTCCAAGCTGATGTGCTTGTTTGTGCACACGGGGCTTGAGCTGAGCCTAAATTCCCCAAGTCTTGTCCATGCAATCTTTTCCCGCTGCCTCAGATCCTCTTAAGGAACTTCAGGGAGAGGTGCTTCTGAACATAAGCAGAGTTTTTGCTCATCCCAGCTGAGGTTCTACACCCGCTCCTCACACACCCAGGACTGGAGGCAAAAGTTGCACACCTGAGTGCTTGTTCCTCCCCTTTTAAAAGCCAACCCTTGCCCCCCGTTCTAGCACGTTTCCTCGGTTTTCTTTTCCCTTAAGAGTGAACTTACCAAAAAGCCTGCTGAGGAATGGACAACAGAGTCACATGGATGCAACTGTCAGGAATCAGAGTCCCTCTGAAATATTCGGTGCATCTGACTGCTTGTGAAAAGCTCAGCACTGACTCCTTGGGTTGCAGCCCGAAATGCTGTTACGAAATGCTGCTGTTCGTTTCCCCTCCCTCCTGTTGAGAGAACTGGATCGCAGAGCGAGGGGATTTCTCAAGTCCTTGGACCTTTCGCACCCACAGACGGCAAGCAAAGGTGAGTGAACTCTTCCCCAACCTGAACCCTGGGACCTAATCATTCATTGACTCGAAGCTGCCTGTCGAAACACCTACCAGGTTCACATTCCGAAGGGTGGCATGACACAGGCGTCCCCTTGGAATGTTCCTCTCGCGCTGCAGGGAAACGTCCCTTTTCCCTGCCATCCTCTCTCCTCCGCCTTGCACTTTGGTCCTCCTGGGACATCCCAGAGGATGCCCCAGCATTGTCCAAACCTTTCAGCCGTTCTCACCCGCTCCCCTGCCCTGGCAGTGGGGCAGGTCTGCTTGTGAGCATCCGGGAGGGAACCTGTAAGAGGTGGCAAGAAAGAAGAGCTGCCCCATGGACATGGGGCAAGCGATGGGAGGAGGCGAGCCACAAGAAAGGGAGGGCGGTTTTGTGCCCCCCGGTCAGTATTTGAGGCAGCTTCAGGGCTCCACCAGAACTGCCCTGGTGCTTGCAGGACTGGACCCACAGCATCCTGCAGCTCTCAGGGCCCTTACGAGCATCACCAGGGAGCCCTGGGGATGGACTATTAAGGCCCGGCTCTTCCCACCAGGAGCCGTCTCTGCAGTGAAGGTCCCCTGACTTTTTCCTGGTGCTTCCTGTGGCTATGTGAAACCTTGGCTGTGGACCCTGCGCTCTGGACCTGCGCCTGCTCCTGGATCCTGCTGCAAAACCAGCTTCTGGGCTTCGCTTCTCCTCCCGCTTCTGCTCCAAAGGTCCCCGCGCCTTGCATGGACCTTCTGGCTCTTGACTCCTGGTTCGTGCCTACCACCTGTTAGCTTGGAGGTCGGACTGAACATTGCTTCATATGCGGATTAGGGTGGCTAGTCCAGGCCCTCATAAGTTTAACCAGCTGCCATGCCTTGCAGCCCGATGCCCCCCTCGCCCAGCAACCTCGGCTTTCCCCGTGGAACATCAGCCCTGCCAGCAACAAGAAGGCGGGGGAGCTGCTCCATCTCATTTCCTCTCCAGGAGGGCAAGCAAAAGTGGCAGCAAGCAGGATCCGACCCCTGGGCTTCGCTCCTGAGCAGCTGGTTCTTCAGCCAGGCGCTGCCTTCCCAGCATGCCGAGAGCCCAACGGCTTCCTCTGTGCCCCTGTGGATACTCGGGGGAGAGTGGATTGCTTGGGGGCAACTCTGCTCCCCCCCACCGCCCCCGGCATCGCCAGCAGCACAAGGGAAGCTACACAAAGAGCTGTGTGGGCCCTTTGTGGGCACTTCCTTGGTGGGGGGACGATGCGTTTTTGCCGCTCTGGCCGAGGAACAAGCTTCACCAAGGGTTCAGAGGACACGTTAAGCCGTGGTGGGTTTGATAAACCTGAGAGCAAACTGGCATGCTTTGTAAGCCCTTGGCAAGGCTACCGCAGCCGGGCAATGAGCAACATGCGAACAAACCATGGTGGGATTTCGTGCTGCGTAAGCCCAGGCCAGGGGATCCACGGCCTCTTCTTCTCCTGGAAGGGGAGCTTGTCCGTTGCCACCACAGCGCAAACGTCTCACATAGCTCACACTATCTTTCTCTTCACTTAGGGTCCTACTTATCTCTAGCACCTGATGCAAGCAGCGTCAAAGGAAGGGTTGCTGCTTTTACCGACGGTTATCATAGCAAGAAATCATCCAAACGTAAGCGCAGCTCTGCTTCACAAGCGCTGCACGGCCTGCAAAGGTGGAACCGGAATTTTAAGGAAGGTTTGTTGGCAGAGCAAATGTCTTGTTTGCGGCAGGTGAGCGATTCCGAGCTTTGTGGCTTCAGTGGAAAGGGTGAGCTGATACGTAATGGGACGGAGCGGCTTGCAGACGACTGCCACTACTGCCGCATGCGACGCGCGGAGCATCTCGCGAGCTGGGGGAGCACAAAGCGTGGGCTGCTCTGCCTCCCATGGCACGCCTGGTGGCCACCCCTCCATCAGCTGTCGTGGTCCCAAGCCACGCCAGAGGAGCACCTGGAATCGGGCTGGGAAACCAAGACGGCCAGACTATTAGCACCCTTTGGCTCACTTGCACTGGGCTTCCAAGCCTGATTCGAGGTCCTCCTTTGACATGGTTGGGACACAACAGGCGACGGAATGTGTCTCCCAACCGCAATCCACACGGACACTGCCGTCCACGTTTGAGGTCTTCCTCTCGGTGCCGCTCCCAAGGCAGGCTCGGGTGCGGGACTTTCTCAGTGGCAGCCCCCCAAGTGTGGAATGACCTTCTGCTGTCCTTCTGGCACCAGGTTAAAACATCTCACTACAATGAGACCTTTAGGTTACCTCATTGTTAGTGTTGTTGATTTTGTATTTTGGGGGAAAGAATGGTGTTTTGTTGGATTACGGCCCTGTTTTAGGAACTGTTGTAAAAAGTGCATTGGCTTGCTGTCTGGCATGGAAATGAATCAGTGAAATGGTTGATGCTCTTCATTCTGCCCGGTTCTGGCCTTGATATGTCTGGAATGAAGCTGCAATTTGGATTTCGTATCTTATTCTTGTTTATCTGTTCTCATAACTTATCTTTTCCCTTTGGTGTCTTTGATTTGCACTGCTTGGTTACAGAACAACTAAAGCTTGTCCTCCTGCATCCACTTAATTGGAATAAGTCTACTAAGCTCAGCTGGACTTACTTGGGAGTAGACATGTGACTGTACTCCTGTTTTCACATTTAAAACTCATGTCAAAGATTATATTAACGTTACAGAAAAGACTTTGTTCCTTTTACTAGTTCAGTCATACAGTCAGCAAATATTTATAACTCCTTGTAAAAAGCAACACAAATGGCATGCTTCCCAGAAAAGAAAGTTTAAGGAAATGCAATCCGACACACATCTACTCTGAAGTAAGCCCCACTGAGTTCAATAGGGCCTACATGATCACCTCCTTCCCATAGTTTCAAGAGATTTAGATCTAATCTTTGCCCTCTCCTAGGGGATAGATTTCAGGTATTTGAAGAGCACATCTTTCAGAGAGTTTAAATTGTACAATCCTATTTGCAGGGATCTTCCGACGGAGCAAGAAGCATATTGCCTGGCACTTGCCAGTTCTTACGGTGCCCCCGCGCGTGGCTGCCCTGCGAAGTGTCTGGCCGTGACAGCCCAGCCCAGCTCTTGCAGCTCCTGATGGATATGGCCCCAAACATTCGTAGCTGGAGAACTCTGCTGAATCCCATTCATGGTACACAACTGACTGCGATCTCTTGGTCCTTTGCAAGCCTAGTACTGGCCAGTTTCCCCAGCCTGCTTTGGCCTCCGTTCTCAGCATCGTCAGGAAGCAACCAAAGCATCTGGGGAAACCAGTTTGGGAAAGCCTGCCCTATTTATATGGCTTACGCCTTTCTATTTATGTGGCTAAAGACCTCTGTCTATTTATCTTTGATGGTGAAAGAAAGGAATGCAAGTGTGTAAAAGGAGCCACAACTTTGTAAAAAATGCATAGGCTTATTTCTGTGTATTGATGCACATTGGCGAATGATCATTAATCATTAGCATTTAAACATGAGCATTTAAATTATAATTTAAATAGAAACCTGATGCATCTTGCTGAAGCAGTAAATACCGAGGCAAGGTGACCTGTGTGATCGCTGGCACCGTTCACAGGCAAGTTCAAGGCCCTGAGCTCCCATTACGGTTCTTTTACCTTTCATTCCACACAGTGGGGTGACTTTAATACCCCAGTTGTACATTCTGTATTGCAATTTACATGAATAGTCCAACTCTTTCCTTTAACATGTTCTCTCAAAGTGCCTGTTCCAATATGCCCCCAAAGTTCAGCTTCCTACATTTCTGTTTTCTTATGTCTTTATTTAATAAAATTAATATACCTGGAGTGAACAAGTCACCTGGGATGACATTGCGACCTCAGACAAAGGCGCCCAAAAAAGGCGCCCAAAGCAAGGTTTAGTTCAAATCTTCCTGGTCTCCTTTTACAAGATGGGATTATTAGCTAAAACTTCCAGCAAACAGATTGAAAATCCATGGAGGAAAACACATTATGATTTTGAAAAGCCAAACCATTGTTATGCAGAGAAAAGTCAATGGGCCTGCTATGATCATGCAGGTTTTCTAAGTTTGCATGGCCTCAGCAAGACTTAAAAGAAGAATTACCTGTGCTGGCTGGTAGGCGAAGGCCATGCTTGTGCTCTTTGCAACCCCTTGAGGGGAAATTCTAGCCAGAACAAATTTTTAGGAGTTTACATTTTTGTAGTCTGGGGCACTTTCTCCTGGGGTTCTAAAGTCACCCCAGAAGCAAAACCTGTTGGGTTTTTCAGAAGAGGGGATGAGGGTGTTACCGAACTCAGCCAGTCAACAGCTAGGGCAAACCCGGGTGGACCCCAGAACCAAGCCAAAAGGAGCCCGAGACGAGACTTAGAGCGAAAATCAGCTTTATTCTAGTGCACTATAGAATAAAGGGAGACAAAAGGGGACATTCAGTCCAAAGCAGTGACTCCAAAGTTGCACCCCAGTACATGCGTTTTATACCCTAGGTAACCAATTAGGTCACCTAATACACATCCAATGCATTGATACAATGTATGCACCCCCTCTCCTGCTGGAGAAAGAGTCCTTTCTTCTGTCAAGGACCAGACAGTTCCCATGCCTATTTCTTATCTGCTCGAGATTCACACAGGCTTGCCATGTTCTTACTCCCCGCACATTTGCAACTTTCATGGCATCTGCAACCAGTGTCCACTGTCCCTTTGATTGCATTCGAGGTCAGGCTGGCGTGTTAGCTGTGGGTTACACAAAGTTCATTTTGTTCTTATCCGCCCTCCCTTCTAGGACAGTATAACTGTAGTGTTTTTACTATGTGGCCTTCCTCTGGCCAATTACTTTTGGGGTGTTTTGGGGTGCTGCAATTGGCAACAAGGGTAAAGCTGGACTTGTATGGGAGAGGCCACCTCCAAAGCCCTTCAGGTTTGTGAACTGGGCCACTGGCTACTCTAGTCACCCGGCCACATTTGTGAGTCATCCAGCAATTTCATCTCCTCCACCCTCCAGTCCTGGGTCCATCACAGCTCTCCCATCCAGCCTCCTGTACGTAGACAAGACAAGCCAGTGCCCAAGGGCTGCTGCTTTTGCCCAACAGATGGCCGCCCCCCGCAAAAGGGTCGAGGCGGACCTCGAAAGGCTTCATTGAAATAGAGTACACCCATCACCCTTGAAGATTTCCTTGGCCATCAGGGGCTTGAGAGGATTGCCCACCTTTTGCAGGGTCATTTTTACCATAGGATTGAGCTGTTTTGATTTTGTTTTCAAGCTGCTTTGTTTTTACTCTGTGTTTTGTTTCTATGCTTCGTTGCAAACAGCCCAAACAGCTTCGCCTATGGGGCCAGATGTAGATTAAATAAATTTATTTAAGTATTTATTTGCAAGAAGCTCCTTGCAAACATATTATAATGTAGTAGCAGTAATACTTTTGCAAGAACCGCGCCACTTCTTCCCCGCCCGGGAGGCAGCGCGCCGCCAACAACGGCGCTGCAGGCGGCCATTCATCAGGGCGAGCTCTTCCGAGCAGCCGAATGCCGGCGCGACGCTTCCCCGACCCCTAGCATTCCAGCGCCAGGGAAAGCCCGACCTGCCGCCCGCCTGGCAGCGGCCTGCGCTGCGGGGCGAGACGCCCGAGCAGAGCGCCCCGCGCAGTCGCCATGGCTCCCGAGCGATCCCAGCAGCCCCCGCGGCGCGGCCCCGCCTCCCGCCGTGCGTCGCGGCGCCGAGGGGGGCGCGATGCGGGCGCGGGTGCTGTGGGCCTGGCGCGGCGCGTGGGGCTGCGTGCGCGGCCATGCCGCGGGGGCGGCGCGGCGGGGGAGGCCGCCCTGGCGGGTCCTGTTCTTCGGCACCGACGGCTTCGCCGCCGAGACCCTTCGCGCGCTCCAGGCGGCCCGGTGGGTCCCGCGGAGGGAGCGGGAGGGGAGGGGAGGGGAGGGGAGGAGGCGGCGCGGCCAGTGCTCGGGCCGCTGGCCGGCGCTCGCGGGGCCCGGGCTCTAGTGCGCGCGCAGCCAGGCGCGGCCGTTCAGCCGAACGCACCTCGCGGGGTGGTTGTGCGGGCGCGGGGAGGGCGAGCAGCGGGGCGGGGCTGGGGAAGCTGCAGGGGGTGCCGGGCAGGGAGAGGGGCGGGGCTTAACTGACCGACGGGCGGACTGGGCAAGCGGGCCTCGGGTTGGGAGCGCAGGATGCGGGTTGGCGGGGAAGCAGCGGGAAACGGGTGGGCAGGGCAAGTCTGAGGGCGGCGATGAGGAAGGAGGGCGGGAACCTGTCCTCTGTCCAGGCAGACCACCAGCCTTGGCTAGCAGGAGCTCTCTGACCTGTGGTGGTCAAGGGGCTTTCTCAGTTTCCGCTCCCAAAGCCAAGCCGTGCATTACTCCATGTGTGTTTCGGGTGTCAAAATCCTACTTGGCTCTCAGTGGCACAGTGCAGATTTTGCATGCAGGAACTCTGGGTTTGATCTCTAGGTAGGGTTGGAAGAGACACCTGCCTGAAACTGGAGAGCTGCTGCCAGTCAGTGTTGACAAAACTGGGCTAGGTGGAGCCATGGTCTAACTCTGCCTTACCCCACCTTGTGTCTTGCAGACACATTTGGACTGCAGCACCCAGAATGCCCAGTCAGTGGCCCTGCTGGATGGGAATTCTGGGAGCTGCAGTCCAAATGCCTTTGAAGGCCACCATGTTGGCATCTAACTTATACATCTACATTTCTGTGCTGTCAAGCTGGACATGCCAGGGGTTGAACTGGGGACCTTCTGCTTGCAAAGCCAGAGCCCATGCTCAGCTTGAGTCCAAAGCTCGTGGTCTGTATTTCAACCATGAGCATGGAGCCACATGTATAAGACATGCACACTGAAAGCCAATAGAAATGTAGAAGGCATTGGAGAGACAGGAGTAATAGAGGCTAAGTTAGGTTGGCCGAGCACTGCTTTTCACAGCAAAGGTTCCCAGTTCAGTCATGGACTTCTCTTAAACTGGTCAAGTAATAAAGGAACTGACAAATGGAGAGTTGGTGGTTCTTGAAATTATGCATAAGAGCACCTGGATAGCAGGCCAGGTAGCTAATGGGTTACCTGAACACAGGCCTCCCCACTATTGGCTTCTCTTCCAATTCTGCTATTTCCAAATTTGTGTCTCTGTACATCTAAATTAGCACAGAAATGTTATGTCAATCTGTGCCTTCTTTCATGCTTTCTCTGTGTGTGTTTTGGTGACAGGCAAGTGTCCACCCTGTAAGTACATACTCTGGCCTAAGGCAGCTTCCTGCTTTCCCATGGCCGTTCAGGTACTGGGGTGACGGCCACTTGCAGACTTTCACCGTGGATTCGCTTTTGTCTCCTGCTCTGCCAGGGAGCCCAGATTCGGCCCGCTCGTGGACTGCCTGGAGGTGGTCACCCTGCAGTCCCGGCTGGCAAAGGGATTGCCTGTGCAGAACTGCGCAGAGCAGTTTCAGCTTCCCGTCCACCTCTGGCCAGATGTGGGGCTGTGCAAGCACTTTGATGTCGGTGTGGTGGCATCCTTCGGGCGCATGCTGAGTGAAGACCTCATCCTGAGCTTCCCATAGTAAGGCTGCAATCACGGGGGGAATTGCGTGTGGTTAATCGCAGAGATTGGAAAACGGTGTCTATAAAAAGATTATTATTATGCTACCTGTATATTTATTTATTATTTATAATATTTGTTAAGGTACTTATATAGCTGCTGATAGCACAAATTGGCCCTCTACCCGTTCTTTACAAAAGTTCCGCAGATGGCATATCTGTTCACATTTTGTGGGAACTAGAGGTATAGCTGTCCAGACAAGTGATCTTCATACTTAAGATCAGCTGTTGGCATACAAGGAAGGACATTTGTTTTTTTTTAATTTTCCTGTCAAAGTATTTGCATCCCAGACTCAACCAAATCACTGTTATTAAAAGCCCCTGAAAATGCTGCCTGAAAGACCCCCTTCTTGGCAAGTGCTTCCTCAGCCTTAAGACCTTGTGGAGGGTCTTTTTTGCCCAGATGTTCAGAGGAATGCTGTGGAACAGGGCCTTTTCAGGGGCACTGCCAAGTGCGCTTCACTGGATAGACAGGCAGAATACGAGTCCAATAAATAACTAAAAACATGTCATGCCACGCCCGCATTATTTCCTTCACCTTTCACTCCTTTTTCTTTGATCTGCCCTTCCTACAGTTAAGCAGCAGGTAAATTAATTTGTGGTAAAAGGCAAAACGTTGTAACACTTGTCTGTGTAAGCAGTTACATAGAATATTATTTCCATTCCATGTTTATATCTTTTGGTGGTTAGTTCCGTTTTCCTGAATGTTAAGATGCTGGTTTTTTAAAAGCAATTTCTCAATGCGCTTATATATGTTGCAGAATCGCTGGTGCTCTTCTAACTTCCCCATGTTCTGTTTCAGCGGAGTGCTGAACGTCCACCCCAGCTTCCTTCCAAGGTGGCGTGGCCCTGCGCCGATAACCCACACAGTGCTCCATGGCGATGCAGTTACCGGCGTCACAATTATGCAGATCAGGCCAAAGAGGTATAGCAGCCCTTTCGTCAGCACAAACCATCAGTGCAGACATGTCATTTCGGGAAACTAATTACCTGGGTGCTGGGTAATCTTCCCAGGGTTTTAATTTACAGGGTGCTTTCAATGCGCTTTAAAAAAAATGTTGTGTGTTCAACATTTAAAGTGATATAATTGTACAAGCTGGGTTTCTCCAGAACTTAAGCACAGCTTTGTGGAGGAGGTACAAACAGTTGTTAGGTGATTTAAATCCTATGTAATTATCCAGGTGCCCGTCCTTTTGTAGCCAGAAGGGCACCATCAAGAGAGTAGGGAGAGATTTGCAGGGAGACTCGGAACAGAGAGGTGGGATCGGTGTGCAGTCGGTGGGTGGGGGCTGCCGACTGAGACGGTGCGGCACAGTGGGGGCGAGAAACGGAAGATGAGCGGAGAGCCCGAAGCCCGAGAAGGCGTGCACGACACTGTGGCATTTCCCTGTGGGTCGCACTTGTTTTCTCTCTCAAACCATTCAGCATATGCATTTTCTCTGAACCCAGTTTCGTCTCCGTCGTCTTACTTTCATAAAATTGTGTTTGCCACAGTGTCTGTTTTGCCCTTTTGCAAAGAAACAGATAAGGTATTTGTTCTATTTCAGACGGCTCAGTAATACAGCTGTTGTCTCCTGCCTCTGAAACGAAAGGAGAAGCTGTAAAAGTTCAGTGTCCCCAGTGTGTAAATGCAATGCAGTTTGCTTCTGCCCTTTCTCTCTTCTTGATATGTGAACCTGCTGGCTTTTAATGATTTTTAACCATATTTAGATCCAAGAGGAAAGTGGAAGAGTAATCCCATGTGTTGTGTTCTTAGGTTTGATGTAGGTCCAATTATTAAGCAGGAAACATTTGCTGTCCCACCCCATTGCTCGTCGAAAGAGTTGGAGTCAATGTTATCAAAACAGGGCGCAGACATGGTGAGTTAACTTTGCCTTTTTCTGAGTGTTCCAGAACCTTCATAAATTAGTGAAACGAGAGACAGAAACGAGATCAGTTTGAGGACTGAGGCACCAGGTTACTGGCGGGCAAAATTCTGAAAATAAATGCAGTTCCCTGTATCAGGAATGCGTGTGCGCCCGATTGCATGTGAGTCTCTCTTTCTTTATGTGTAATATCTTTTCTGGGTTTTTTTCCTCACAGTTGATTGCTGTTCTGCAAAATTTACCTGAAAGTTTAAGGAACAAGAGAGAGCAACCAAAGGAAGGAGTCACATTTGGTATGTGCTGGGTGTTTCATGTGTGAAGGAGGTGTTAGCCAGAGGACTGCTTTTCTGCAATTTTGTGTTTATAAACCACCCCTACAAGAACCACCCCTCAGGGAGAGGAGAGGAGTGGCAACTAGCCGAAGGGCCTTTTCCGCTGCTGCTCCCCATCTCTGGCACTCCCTCCCTAGGGAAACTTGCCTGGCGCCATCTCTGTTCTTTCAGCGCCAGGCAAAGACATGCCTTTTTAGGATTTTTCAAATGTTTAGCCTGTATGCTGTGGCCCTTTTTAATCCTTTTTATAGACATTTAATTCATTATATTTTAATTGGTTTTATAGTTTAATTGTTTTTTTAATGTGTTTTTACTCTGTTAGTATGTTTTGCATCGTAAGCCACCTAGGAAGGCCTCAGCAATTATAGGCGGCCTATAAATATATGTAAATAAATATAATAAAGGAGTGGTTCTTCTTAAAGCTGTTGCAATCAAATCATCAGTTTTCCACTCGGGAGCTTCTGCTGTTTCCATCCCATTCTTGGAAAATTCGGGAGGAGCAGCTGGTTTTTCCCAGGGGTCATTTTATGGCCATAGCATTGGGCAGGGTGCCTCTGTCCTGGATTGCCAGGAGCTGCGCTGCAGTGAAGGAATCTTCATGGTGCAGTCCGGTTTTCTTCAAAAGGGTCGCGAAGGTGTCAGGATGCAAGGCAAACGGTGGGTGTGTTCTCTTTCTTCAAAGCCCCGAAAGTCAGTGCTGCAATGAGCTGCATTCAGTGGGAGGAGCAAAGCGCGGAGCAGGTGCTGAGGATGCATCGTGCGCTGGGAGAAGTGGTGAGTCCCCTTTCTCCAGCCCGTCCATGACGAGCCCCAGTGGCACCGGAGGTGCTGCTGCTTTGGATTATTTTGGCTGGAATGAGCGTGAGCTGCTCTGCCTGTACATCTTACCGTGTGGTATTTTTCAGATGCCCTTGCAAACCTTGTGGAAGGGTACTCCTGTAAAGCTGTTGGATTTCGTGCAAGTGGAGGCATCACCTGACTTTGCTGGTATTTCACACGGATCCCTCAGCATTCCCCCCCATAAACTGGCACGTGCAGTGGTAGCACTGTCCTGAAATACTTCCTGGGAACAGAGGGTCGTTCCCTGCTCCCTTGCCCACGCTGCAGGGATTCCTCCCTGCCGTGCTGCCTGCCTCCATATTCCTTTCTAGGCACACCGCTTTTGATCTAGAAAGCCCTTGATTTAACTCCTGAACGACCTGCCAAACCTCTGTTTGCACTGTATCCTGTAGTGACCACCGGAGCGCCCTATCTGCATTTTCCTCTGTGAGACATAGAAAATTATCCTTAGTTGCCAGTGCAGCACTTGAGTGTCCGGCGCTGACTAGAGCAGCGCTTGAAGCATCGCACAGACCTTCTGCTTGACCTGCATTCAGGCGGCAGGGGCTGCGTCAAGGCGTTGCAGAGGCCCCTCAATCGAGCGGTTGCCCGCTGGGGAAGCCACGTGCCCAACATGCCTTTTGTGTTCAGACAGGCTGGCGAAGGAAGATGAGGCCGTTCCAGGGTCACTGTTCTACCACAAACAGCTGCAGACACTGGTGATCCGCTGCAAGGTGTGTTCATGCGCGTGTTCGTGCGGTATTTCTCTTCTGTTTTCTTCGGTGGGCATAAACCATTTTAGGACATTTTATAACCCCTAGCCTGAATGCTGTGGCCCTTTTTATATTGCGTTCATAGATGTTTTAATTTGTTGTGTTTTAATTGGTTTTAACGTGTTTTCTTTTGTTAATATGTTCCATGTATTGTAAGCCACCTAGGGAGGCCTCGGCAGTTATAGGCAGCCAATAAACAAACGATTCTTGAGCTGCCACACTGGTTGAACGATCGAGGGGTGGCTTGGAAATCAAATGTACCTTGAATTCACCTGCTCATGTTGCTCCTCAGCATGGCTGAAATGTATGCCATGCAAGGTACAGACTGCTATGGTCTTGCTGAAATCTGCCTTCTTGGATTTCACCAGCCGCTGCCCACACAAGTTCAAGCTTATTTCCATAGTCTAGAAAAATCTGGTTTAAAAAGGAATCATTGAGAATGTGGGGATGCGGGGTTTGGTGTCAGGGCCCATCTGTTTACAGCATCCTGCCAGCTTGCAGGATGAGTCTTCTTTGCGCGTGCGCTTCCCCTGTGCACATTTCCTTTTTCTTCTTCCAGGATAGTTGGGTTGGAGCCAAAGGCATAATACTCAAGAAGAAGCTGAGTGCTGCTGATTTCTACAATGGCTATCTGCATCCTTGGTTTGAGCGTAAATCTGAAATGCCTTCTGGGAAGTGCAGGTTTCAAACTCTCAGGCTGGCCACAGCAAAAAAGACCCAGCGAGGAGCAGTGCTGCAGACACAGAGCGCACGGTAGCCGTGAGACCCGGCTTAATTCCCGAAAGAGGCACCGCTTACGAAGCTTGGCAGGGTTGGAAACGTCTCAGCTTTGTGTCAGATCTGCACCAAAACGCAGTGCTGGAATCTCCCTGCAGAGGCTCCGTTTGAAACGGGTGGAAGGAATGGAACTGTGGCCCTGGAACTGTGGTTGCACCACTCTGTCTGTATGGAGTTTGGGCCATCAAGTAGCTGTTCATCCTCAGTACCTGGAACTGTGAAATACGTTTTCATCCCTGCCAAAGGGATTTCTGGATTCGTATCCTGACTTCTCTTGTGCATACATCATTTGTCTTTGCATTCAGGGTCCAGGTTTGCGGAATTAACCAGACAACGACGGCACGTTGAACAGTAAATAATTTGTGCACACGTGTTTCTCTGAATGAAGTGCTGTGTGTATCCTGCACACCCAATGCATTTTGGTGGGCCACACATTAGACCTATCGATTCATATAATTCTATCCATGTAAAACCATATAATTCTGTCCATGTAAAAGCAAATCCTTCATATATTTCCCACTCTAGAATGCGGGTGGAATATTTCTGGCTTTCCAGTTGGAGGGCTCCAGCTCCCATTATTTCTATCCCTCAGCTTGCTGGGGTTGATGGGCGCCAGAGTCCATGACATACTTCCTATGCTTTCTCTAGAATGACCAGGAATAGAAGAGCAAACCTGATGGAATGTTTAAAGACTGGACTGGCCAGGAGCAAGTTCAGCTTCCATTCTGCAGGTGTCCTGGAGTATATATTTTCCTGGAAGGATTAAATGGAACAACCTGTCTTACCTGGGCAAAAGCGCAGCATTGCTGCTGGGGCCAGCACGTTCCTCTGACTTCCGCGTTGGCTGCCCAAGCCCTCGCTGTGCATGGCAAATAAGCCTTTCTGTGTTTGCCTGCCTAGCTCAGGATTGCCTGCTCGTTGGCATGGTGTTTCAGGGCTTTGGGGAGGGAGGCCTTTCGCGCCGGCCGGTCCTGGAGATGCCAGGTAGTGCTCGTGGGACACCCCCCGTGCCAGATGCATACTCCGCAACCCCGCCGTGGTCTCTGCAAGTTGAGCATGTCCTGTATTCTCCCCCACAAATCTCGAGCGATATTCCATCCACCTGTCACGATGATGAGCATTTTGCTCGTTTGTGTTGGTAAAATAGTAGCTCGGCCTTTCTCCCTGGGGTGCCCTTTCGATTGTTGGACTGTACCTCCCAGCATTCCCCAGGCAGCACACTAGCTCTGGGGACTCTGGGACTTGCGGTCCCAGGACATGGTGGGCGCCCAGTGCAGCACCAGCAAACCAGCAGGTGTCCCTGAGCTGTTGGGCAGCATTACTGTTCTGGGGTAGTTTTTATTTTTGGTAAGCAAAGAGCACAGCCGGGCTTTCACAGCAGGAGTTCGGCACTTTTGCTTACAGACTCGTCTTGGACGCTCCCCGTTTCCAGGAGCGATGACCGATGGGCAAGCTTGTTAAGTCTCTCTGGCATGGTGAGGGCTGTCCATGAGTCCTCAGGTGTGTTTATTTAATCTGGCTGTAAAATTCTGCTTCAAAAGCCAGAGCTAAGAGACACCTCTTAGCACATGGCCTGTAAGCTGCCCGTTTCTAATGGTAGGAAAGGGCAGGCAGGATGAGGCCCGTGGAGCAAATCCAACCCTGCCTGCTCTCCTGTGGAGTTGAGCCATCGTACGTCTCCAAGCATCTGGAGAGAAGCGGGCTCATTCCTGTTCAGCCGCAGAGCTCACAGAACGACGCTGAGCGAGCGTCTCGCCCTGACCCACCTCCCTGCAGGCTGTGAGAATGAAAAGGGGGTGAACTTGAACTGCCTTGCACTCTTTCGGTGTGAATGTGGGATAAAAATGCATTGAATCTGCTCATTTTTAAATGGATGTTTCAAATAAATGCTTTAGGATTGAACACATACAACTGCACAGCAAATACAGAAATAAATATTATTGTTCACATTTCAAGTACAAATTCATACAGTTAAATTCAAAACAAAGGAATCGCTTCCTTTTTTATTGGTTACCATTTGCTAGCAGGGCTGCCAAAGCCAGTCTTACCAGAAAGAGAATTTACGTATGTTCTTTTACATCTGATAATTCATTTTCCTGCCCCTAATGCTAATTTTTAAACAGTATTGAACATTTTATAGAAATGCAAGCTCAGCGTTATGAAGAGAGTGTTAACACTTTCATCTGAGTGGGATGGAGTGGCTTGGTGTCCTGCAACAGCAGGGGATTGGACTCGATGGCCTTCAGGGCCCCTTCCAACTCTGCTCTTCTAGGATTCTATGCATAGCTCGTATTATAAATATGATTTTCAGAGAGGTGATCTTGAATCCATATGGATGGTCAAGTGTACCAAGTTCTAAAGAATCAACAGCCAACTTTTTTGGGGGGCGGGGTCCACAAGCCACATTTATCTGCCAGGTGGGTTGCTTGGTGGATGGGTCACCCTCTTTTCTGTTGTCTTCTTCATTCCCATAAGCATGGAACTTCTGAAGCATGGACAGGTCAATAATCGGAGGCCTGAAGTGACTGGCTGCGGGGCACATCCTGTCACAAGGTTGCTGTCGTCCAGCCCCATTCGAAAAGGGTTTGCTGGTGGTGCATCGTTTCAGCCAAAGCCGGTGGACTGAGGGCAACTGGAATGCCAGTAAATAAGGAATTCCACATCTCCATTTGTACATCGGTGTTGGGAAGGTTCTCGCATGTTGCCGTGTCACGTGCACTGATGCGTTGGCAGGAACTCTCGGATCCTTTCAGAGCTACTGGATGGGGAGCGGCTAGCAGAAGAGCTCACTGGGCTTCTTGGGATGTTTTCACGAAAGCGGCACCCCTTCCCCTGATGACAGGCCGACGGCTTTCACTGGACCGCCTGATCCCCGTTCTCTCCCTACCAGAGCTCGCCGGGTACCGGCTGGGCACATTCGGCAGCGCTGGGAACAGGTCTTGTTGCGGCGTATCTCTTTCTTGGCAGTTAAAAGTCAGCGCGACGCCCACATTGTTCTTCATAATCCTTGAAGACCCATCCGACGTTCCATCAAAACATCTGCCCAGAGCAATTTCCTTGGCTGTCCTGGGATCCTGGTCTGTCACTGTGTAGATCCCGTAGTTGTGACCGAGAGGGTCCAGAGGAGCCAACATGGTATACTGGCTGGAGTCATTATTGACTGCGAATGGAAGATGGTTCACAAGGTAGTCGTGGAGCATGCCGTTGACGCTCTCTCTGTAGCAGCTCCCCTGCGGGATGATTCTCACCAGGGTCCGGTCAACACGTTCCTGATCGTATAGCATGCCGCTGCACTTGAATTCCAGGCAGGCGGTGGACAGGTTGGGTTGGTTCAGGTCTCGGATGCTGCGCGTGTCCCTGATGCCGTACAGCCTGCCGGCAGTCTGCGGGTGGGTGCCGCCTGCGCTGCGGGACCTCACCGTCGCCTCCAGGGGCCCATGGATCTTCACCTTAATATAGCACGCTCTGAATTCCATCGGCTTGGGCCACCAAGCCAGGTAGTCTTCCGTCCAGTTCATGGGGTCGTCCTCATTGAAAGGGACGGTGTTGTAGTCATACCTGTCCCCCTCCACCCTGTAAAACCTGAAGTGTGCGGCGCTGTGCTGGGCCGCTTCGCACTCTCGCTGCTTCTCGTACGGGTAAATGGGCCCGTTGCTCTCTTCCGCGGCGTTGGGGGTGGGCTTGGCCACGCTGATCCTGAAGGCGGTGGCTTTCACATTCCGGTCCTCGTGGTCCGTCCGCCTGTACTTCAGCTTGTTGAGGTAGGGCTGCGGGACCCCAATGGCAAAAGGGTTGAGCCTTGGGGTGGAGGGGACAGCTTCAAGTTCTTCTCCCGCAAGACTTGCCATGACGTAAGCGCTGTAAGCGTCGGGGTTTCGGTCGTCGCAGAATGCCGGGACACAGGCCCCATTGAAGCCGGTGACGGCGCTGTCAAAGCGGCCCCAGGCTCTGGGATTCGATGAATATCCCGCCATTGGCTCCAAGTTGATAACCGAGACCACGGCCCCCGCAACTTGTTCGCTGGGCAGGAACCTCTCGCTTCTGTAAACACGCACCTTGATGTAGCACCTTCGGCTTTCGGGGACGTCAAGGTTGAACAATCTCCTTTCTCTTACCTCCATGTTGCCCACCAGGAATGTTCTCTCCTCCCGCTTCCTGCGCCTGCTCTGGTCCACTTGGAAGGCCCCTTCTTCCTCCCACAGGCCTGTCTGCGGGTTCAGAGACCAAAGCTTCATGCCTTGCAGGTGTTCTGGCATCCTGACTTGAGTGGAGTCCAGGTGAACTTTCACTTTCCCTGCATTGAGTGGCTCGTTAGCATCTTCATCCGTGAAATCCATGGAAAACATGCCATAGGTCCGCAACGGGAGCATGTCACCTTCGCCATCCACAAAATTCAGGTCACTCTGCACTGCAGCCGCGCTGGAGATATTCCTCGGGTCCAGGAAAGTCACACTGGCCTTCACTTTTCCTGTGTAGGCTTCCCCATTCTGCTTGTAAAAGGAGTTGGGAGGAATTTCCAGTTCAGCGATCGGATCATCTCCTTCCATATCTCCCAGGGGAATGAAATTGGTCTCGGTCGATTCCAGTGTGACGGGCGGCTTCTTCCTCAGCATCTTGACCTCGTGGAAGACTGACCCACCATGTCTGTTGAACGGCAGCACTTTTGTGGTGTTCACGAACTTTTGCAGGCGATCCACAAAAGTCAGAACCAGCCGCTCCGTGTTGGGCGGCACCTGAACGGAGAAGGTTCCATTATAGCCCGTCATGCTGACCCTTTTGTTCCCCAGGTATATATGACCAAACCTCAAGGGCTCCTCCGTATCCAGTGCCATGGCTCTTCCCTTGACAGTGACTTTGGGCTCAGTGCACCTTTGACAGCCACATTCTACAGTCACCTTGACGGGAAGCGTGTATCCGGTGCACGCGATTTCTCGTGTTTCCGTTTTGGAGACCCCACAGCAGTAAGCAATGGTGTCCTTGCACCGGAGAGTTTTGCCTAGCTTTCCAGAACATGCCTTGGATGGGCATCTACCAACGTTGTAGTAGAAGGAGCCAGTTGAGTTTTGGAAGCAGTCGGGAGGCAGGCGGATGCGGTAGCTCTCGGGCCTGGGTGCACAGGCAGCTTCATCCTGGGCTGTTGAAACAGAGTTCATATATTAACAGTCGGTGCAGGCATTTCTTTGTGAGCTCAGGGTTATTGATTTATGCAGGCAGAAAATCAGTCTGGACCAAGGAAATTCAGCTTTTCTCTAACTATAAACACTTTGAGCAATTTGAAACAGTTTGTGATCAAGTCTGCTTAAATGACTGAACTAGGTCCTGTAACAGAGAGCGAGCAATTTGTGGCCTTCTGGGTGTTTTAGCAGCTTACAACTCTCATGATCACTTCTCCTTTATTAAGCTATGTAAGATGGAAGCACAACATCTGGAGGGCTGCAAGTGGACCTTATCTGCATAATACTAGAGGTGAAGAAAGAATGCATAACCCATCATGAGATTATTCTAGAAGTGGCTGTTGTACCGCAATTCCTGCCTTCCACCTGGAATAGCTTTGCCTGTCCCAGCTTCTGCTAAAACTACAGTCTTAGCAATGGGTTTACCAGAGGGATAGCAACAGATCCTGTAGCTTCAGGTGCCTACAATGCCTTGAAAGTGGGGGTACATAACCTGCGGCCTTCGACCACTCCCTGTGCAGCCCCCTGTTGGACCCAGCAGTTCAGATGCCGCATCTGCCAGCAGCTTCCGGGTATCTTCTTTCATGCAAATAAACCGTACTAATTTCTTTCCTCTAGTGGCTGGAAAGTCAAGCTTGGCGTGAGACAGCCTGTTCTCAGTTCCTGCAGAGCTGGCATTATTGTGGGCTTGCAGAAACAAATGGAATAACCCCCAAGTGCTAGTGCTTTAGCATAAAGGTAGGATAACGACAGACTGGGGAAACAGTGTATTTTCTTATCGCCGGATGCTGCATCATCTGTGCTACCAGAATCTGCAAAGTGGCTCCCTCACGCAGAAGGAAAACGGCACAGCAAGCAAGCGCTTGGCTTGAGTAGTTTTCCCTGAGGTGCTAGTATGCTTGCAAGAGGTTTCTTGCCTTTCCAAAGCATCATCCTAAGCTCATTCCCAGAATGGGGCAAGGCAGTTCGGATCCATGTTTGCATTCATACGGGGGGCTCTTTTAAGAAGCAGGGAAGCCCTGTGGCACAAGTGGGAGCTCCCACAAACACAGTGGAGTCCGCGGAAGCAAAGTGGCAAGGCTGAAGAGTCAAGCTGCAACCTGAAGCAGTGCCGGGGCTGCACAGTTTTCCGCCCCCTTTGACGGCCAGGCCGATGCCTGTGGGAGCCACGCTGCTTCCCAGAGAAGTCTGCAGAAGAGGAAAAGACCTGCGTGCTGGCAGATCCATCTCCCACCAAGCACCGCCCCAAGAAGGAGATGGCTTGGCCAAGTGTGCCTGGCCGCAGGGTGGTCAGCAATGTCCCAGCCTTCATCCAAAGCATGGACCTAGGGGTGTTGGCCCCGGGCAACTGCAGGTGCTTCCTGCCCAGCCCTGCTGCTCCAAGATGGGAAGGAAAGCCTTTGTGAGGACACTAGAAGGCTGGCGGGTACGGCCCTTGTCTGCATACGGGCGTATTAGGATCGCCCTGTTTCCATGAGCTGTGGAAATTCGTTGCAGCCCCCGCAGGGCCCCCCCCCCCCCCCCGTTCAGCCACGCTTCTCACCTGCGAGGGACAGCGTGGCGACTTGCGACTTCACGGAACCTGCTTGGTTGCTGGTCTTGCAGAAATACTGCCCGGCGTGCGCCCTTGTCAGGTTCCTCAGCACCAGGTAGCTTTTGTGTTTATAGAGCGTGGGGTCCAGCAGAGTCTCATTGTGGAACCTGTGGAATTTGGGGGAGGTGAGACACACACAGTTTATAGTCTGAGCGTCCTCGCTGCTTTTCCCTGCGTGCCGCTGCTCTAGCCGGGTTTCCCGATTTCCTGGCTCTGGTTTTAGGTTAGGAAACAATGGCGACCGCGTGCCTGGAGCTCGGCTCCCCCTTGCCCGTCCAGAATAGCAGCCTGTTCTTTGGCGAAAGCTCTTTTTTCTCCAGTGTACATCAGGCAAAGCATAATCAGCAAAGAAAGAGTCTCTGAGCATGCACAGAGCGGCTCACTGAATCCACGCCAGAAACGACTTCCAAGAACTTCCTTCTGAGTAACCCGGGGGGGGGCACCCCTCTGGGAGGGCCCCTCTGGAGTCGGGCTGCCTCTTAGCCACCCACCGCCCCTCCGGTTGGCCAGCCCTTCTCTCCCCACATCACGCCACGGGGTCAAGAGTCCTACCAGGCTCGGCTGGCCCCCGGGCCTCCCCCATGGCCCCTCCCGGCAGGTGCCGCCTCTGGCTGTCCTCAGAGGCCCCCTGCACACCTGGGGAGGGCGGCCTCGAGATAAGCCCCCTGCCTCCTCCATCTCCTACCTGGAGGCCCAGCTGCCAGGCCTCTTCTCCCTGCCCCTCTGAAGTGTCCAAGTCTCCTTAGCCTTGAAACATGTGCTAAGAACAACGGCCCCGTCCATCCCCAGCACCACTGAGCAAGATGCTTGAGGCAGCGCTTTGCCAATCAAAAACAGGTCGGTGAAACTGGGTGGCAAACGTTTTCTCCCCCTGCCAGCACTGGATCTTTGAGTCCCCTGGCGAAATCGAGTGGCAACAGAGGTGGGAAGGGAGAAGAGGGAAAAGTACCTCTTTACATAACGCAAGCGCAGCTGATGGAGCCTCTCCATTTATGGAACTGCCTCCCAAAGAGGCTTTCCCGGCACCAAGCAAGAACTTTTTCCACCCTGCCTTGGAAATAAAATGCCCTTTGGGCTAGACTTTTCAGTTCACAATCAGTTTCCATTCATCTTTTCATGTTGATGCTTTATGGTCTGATTACGTATTTTAATGCTTTATCTGTTTGTGGGTTGCAGCTAAAGAAAGAGGGCAAAAAGACCCCACAATTTCCCCCACGAGATAAAGGGATGGCTGCTGGCGCCAGTGACTTTAGAAAGGGGTTGGATAAATTCATAAAGGGTAACACTGCAACCCTGGATAGGTCTACACAGACGTAAGTCCTACTGCATTCAGCAGGACACTAGGAATGCAAAGGAAACAAGGATGCCCCCTAGAACTGTAAGGACACGCTCCTGGGCACACTTAGCACAATGTCCTCCAACTCACAACGCCCGTCAGCAGCCTTTCTGGGTTTATTTTTCCTCGTGCATGAACTTAAATGTAGCGCGGCACAGTTTTTCCCTGTAAGAGGCAAAGAACAGGTGCTCCCTTCGTAACCTCGCCGGAGCGTCTTACCAAAGGTATTGCTGAGGGACGGGATCCCCGGCGGCCTGGCAACAGAATGAAACGCTCTGCCCCTCTCGTCTCGCTTTGCTCTCTGGCTGCATCACCATGTACGGCTTCTCTGGAGGAAGAAAACATCGCTTGCTCTTACTGACCTAGCGGCCTCATTTTACTTTTCTCTCTGCTGAATGCCGCCCAAATTAGTAAGCAAATCAGGATGCAGAACCTCGGGGCCAGGGGTCCAATCCTGCCCCACAAAGCCCCAGAAGGGCACACCTCCCTTCCCCCGCCCATGTGATGTCCTGGCCCATTGTGTGGTTTTGAAAGGTTAAAATGCCCCCACCCTGCAAGGCTTAGTCTCTGACCACGAGACCTTTCACTGAATCAGGCTGTTGTTTTTCTCATTTTGCCTTGCCCCTCAGCCTCTGATGAGGCACCTGTTCGCCCAGGAGCTTTCCTAAAATGGAGTTTGGCCCTTGAGCAGAAGGAGGCTCAGCCCACTGGCTTCGCACCATCCTCAGGCAGCGCATCTCGCAGCTGGGCCGAGTTCTTCCCCGCTTGGCCGGGACGCGAGCCGTGCCATCCGGCTGCGTGTTCATGAGATCCTTCACCGTGAGGGTATTGTAGTGCAAGCAACAGACTTGGAGAGGCCATCTGAGCCCATCCGTCTGGGGCGCGCAGGCTGCAACGCTCTTCACCTGCTCTTGTCAAGCGGATGTGGACCGAGGAGGAGTTCGTGGCGCTCTCGGTCACGGTGACCAGCGCCGTCGCGTAGTTCGGCTGCTTGACCTGCAGGACGGTTCTTCCGTCCGGGCACACGCCGGGAACCTGAAACAACCCGTTGGCATCCGCCACTGTCAGCAACTTGGCCGGCTGGGCTTGTAGGTAGATGGCAGCCCCGGCGGCCGGAACGCCATCCTGGAGGGAGGCCTTGCCGTAAAGCGTGTGCTCCTCGCACGTGCAGCCGCTGCAGTCGGCGTTCTCACGGCCCAGGGGACACGTCACGGTGCAGGCTGCGGGGAGAAAGGAAGCAGCTGGTTGCCCAACGCAGCTCGATTCTCTTGCATTGATTGTAAAGATTTTTTTAAAAAAATAATTCAAAGAAAAATCAGGATTGCAGTCTTTAGACCGGCCTTCCCCAAAGGACATCCCCTGGATGTGTTGGACTCCAACTTCAGTCACCCCTGCTATCATGGCTGCAATGGGCAATGGGAGTTGTAGTCCAACTCATTTGGAAGGCCAGTTAGGGAGAGATGGCTGAGATTATTCAATTAATCAGTTACAGAAAAATTTAGTAAGAAAATGTACCCCTCTCTAACCAAGCATTGTGTCTCCTCCTCATTCTCCTTCTGTATATTAAACATACTCCCAAAAAACATTTAAGATGATGCCCTCTGGGATACATGCCTCAACCTAGCGGCCTAGCAGTAGGCAGCATATAAATGTTTTAAATAGAATAAATACATAAAATGAAAGTGCATTTTTCTGCTTTCTCAAGTGCAGATATATGCATTAGTCGCTCAAGGGAAACGCACACCATGAATCAACTAAGCTGTGCTTAATTAGGATGACTATCATAATAAAAACACACTTATCCACTCCTCTATGCCTTGCAGAACGAACACTGAGCCTCACAGAGTGTGCTTGGACGGTGTCACCTGAGCACTGAAGAGACCGGCCTGGAGGCACAGAGGCCTCTGCCTGCTGCTGAAAAGATGCCCGCAAGCCCGGGGGCCGAGGGTCCCCCCCTCTCTGCCCAGGGAGAGGATTCCCCAAGCTGGGCATCTCGGTGCTCTGCCGTCCCTCCTGCCATCGGCTCTCTTCCAAGGCCAGTAACACAGGTGTGGCGCTGGCACTCGGTGTGGCCAGGTGGAAGCCTGGGAACTCCAGGGGGGCACCAGGGCTGATGCCCTTTGGAAGAAATATTTGGCTCCTTCAATGAAAATGACTTGCCCGGCCCGGCAGCTGTGCAGCCCTTTCGCCGCTGCGGGTTCTTTTCCTGCCATTAGCAGGAGGTTAGCGGGGAGAGGGCTGGACCGCGTGCCCAGGCAGTGGGGGCTGGAATGCCTCTCCAGGATGCACCCAGGTGGAGGGATGTGGGGGGGGTGGGCTTGCCCCGGGCCTGGTTCTGGGCTCACAAAGACAGTCAAGGGAAAGTATGAGGAAAGATCTTTGTGGGTGGACAGGCAGGCAGAGTGAGAGAATGTGAACTCTTTAAGGGTATCTGGGATTCTCCGGTAACTAGTTGAGAGGGGATCCCACACCCGATTTTGTGCATTTCAAATTACTTGCTTTCAGTTGGCTTTTTCCATATTTACAATCCCCCCGTGCAGCTTAGGCTCATACTTAGGCTTAGGCACTGGAACTTATCGCCCTCTGCCAAAGGCAAGGGCAAGCTCCTGGGCACGCTTGCAGTGCACATCGAGTCCTCGAGTCTTTCTGTGACCTAAGCCGAGAGCCCGGCCTGGGCATTCTTTCCAACCAAGCACCGTGCTCCCAACAGCAAGCCGCTGCCCCCAGTGGGGAGCGCTCCGGCCAGAGACGGGGCCACAGAGCTTCCCTGCAGCACTGCAGCGGGTGCCGTGGCGCGTCGTCAGCACCTGAGCAAGGGGGTCCGGAGCAGTGCCTTCCTTCCTCGCTCACGTCTTTGCAGCGTGGGTCCTGGAGGTTTTCTGCCAGGCAGACCCTGGTCCGAATCTGGATGCCAGTCTGATTGCACTTCGCAGAGCAGCTGCTCCATCGGGACCACGGGGACCACAGTGACTCCTGGCGCAGGGAGCCTGGGAAGAAAGCGGCGCACGCACCAGTGAGCCTCGTGAGCCCTTCCTTCAGGAGGAAGCAGCGGGTTGTTTCAGGGTCCCACAGGGACCCCAAAGCCTTTTGTTCTGGGAAATTTACATGGCCGCTCAGTCTAAATCAGAAGTCTCAGATTTACCTGGTTTTAACCGCTCTGTACTTAAATTGTCCTTCAGCCCATCATCCTGCTGTCCATCCATCAAATTTAAAAAGCCCATTTTGGAGCTCGTGGGTATTTCTCTGGGAGTTTTATTTATTTTATTTTATTTTATTTTATTTTATTTTATTTTATTTATTTTCCGGTTTATATCCTGCCTTTTTCCTACAAAGGGATCAAGGCAGCTTACATCATACACCACACTGGCTCTCCTGAACAATTTGGTGTCCTTCACACGTCCGACCTGATCATTTATTACCAGTTTAATTCAGACCTTGGAAGGGGGACACTTTCTATTCCGCTCCTGCCCCGTCTCAAGGAATCCGACTTTCTGACCTTGTTGAATGCAGGTTTTTGTGATGCTAAATTGTAAGTCAGCAAAGCTGGTTGCAGGTTACAGAGGAAGAGTTTTTAGAAGGCTGAGTAAAGAAAGAAGCACATTTTGCTGCCTTCCTATTGAACCAGCACCTTCATGCAATACATCCCAATGGAAAGTTGATTTCGGAAAAATGGGCATTAGGTGCCCTCCCTGCCCAGTGGCCGGAGTAACCCAGAGGCTTCCAGTGGCTGGTCCTTAAGCGACTTCTCGCCCTTAGAAAAGCTACGCTCCTCTTCAGAAAGGGTGTCCCTTGTCAGGAAAATTTGGATAAATCCTAGAAGAAAAACGTTGCTTATATGTGCTTTTGTGTTACAAAATCAAACCTGCACTCTTTCTCAAAAGCACAGCTTTCCAAGCTAAGTCACTAAGCTAATAATGTTTGTTGTCTGAAGAAAATGGCACTCCCTCCATGCACCTGGCCAATCAGAAAGGCACGGATGCATCACTCAGGGTCTCAGCCTTCCTGATAATGGAATGCAACACACAGGTTTATGATTTCAGGAAATACGTCTTAATAGCTGGAATTTACATGTCTAAGCAGACCCAGAGATGGGTTCAAGTTTCTGGAATTTACTCAACTGAAATGTCAATACACTGCAATTAGAAAGATTGTCACTTGCATGTTTTGCTGATCTTCCTTATTTGTTCTGTAGATGATGACCTCAGAATTTCATGGTAATGTCTGCATTCTGTCATCAATTGCTCTGTACCTGCATACGTGATCAGGAGGGTATAAAATGCCCTGAACTTGCATTGAAACCTCGCAGCTGAGACTGCCTCTGCCCGGTAATGCATTATCGTGAGTCGAACCTGCAGGGAACCTGGGGCTTCCATCAATAAAGCAGCAGAGGTTCAAAAGGCTGATCCTTCCCACAAACCCAAGTTTTTATTTCCTCCTCACAAATTGAAAACCGAGATTCTGTCACCCTTTGCCCAGGAGATTCCTGACACTCAGTTTCTCCCTCTGCCGTCTCCAGCCCTTGGTCTCCATTCCCAGAATCACCATCTTCCTCTTGGCTGGAATCAGCATTTTCCTATGATCAGCTTTTGAGGCCTTAAATGATTTTACATCTCTGCTCAAATGCTACGATCTGCAGTTATTCTGGACTGCTGGGAGCCACCCAGAGGACTTTGCCTATAATGGACCTATTCCCATCTCCTTCAGAGTTCCTGTGCAGGCCTGGGGTGCACTGGAGCGTTTGCAGCATCCCAAGAACCCGCTTCAGCAACGGCCCATGTCAGAGCCTCTTTGCCAATGGCGAGAATGAATTAGCAGGACCCGCAGGGAAGGCTGGACCACCTTGAACCCAGATGGGCGAGATCTCCTGGGCCCCTGCAGTGACTTGTGCCAGCCTGCTCCCGGGCGGTGGTCCTCACTGCCAACCACAAGCTTTTAGAGCATACACAGAGTGTTTTATAGACTCTGAGTCACATGGGCCCAGCAGCTGGGCAGGTGATGACGAAATAAGGTGATTGCAGTCAAGAAGGTGAGAGGTCTGCAGAGGGGGCTCAGTGCAATGGCATTTGATTGCAGGATATTAACATAACAATCAGTGAGGCACTGGAATTATTGTGAGTCTTGGCATGCAAATACGGGTGATTGCAATGCTGTTAACCTGGCAGCCTGGTCAGTTCTTACTGATCTGCAAAACAGCAGCCCTGGCAGCTTCCTGGGGGCCCCATCAGGTCCCTCCTCTTAAAGCAACAGCAAATGCCAAACAGTGACCTGGCTTGGAATTTTGGGCGCTTCCTGAGAAAGGGGTGCAGATTTGATTTTATAACACAAAGGCACATGAGCAACCCTTTTCTGCCAGGATTTATCTGAAGTTTCCCAACTCGCAGAAACCTTTCCCGGCAAGGTTGCTCCCCTCTTAGCCGTGTGCGGGTCGAAGCCCGTCTTGCTCAAAGCCCAACCCAGAACGCCCGGGCAGCACTCACCAGCTGGGCAGAAGAAACGCACGACGTAATTCAAGCACGTTTGCCCGGCCGGCTGCTCTTTATTCAGGCACCAGAACCCCTCCCGGGCGTTGGCGTGGACCACCTGGCCCGTGCTGGCGGCAGGGATCCAGTCCGTCGTTCGAGCTTCGATGCTGGTGGGGCTCGGACAGACCCTGTCCCGGTAGTAGAACCGGATGGCGTCCATGCGCTCGTAGTCGCCGTTGCCTCCAGGATGGTCGATGTTGAACCAGGCCGTCCAGGCTCCCTGGGCTGAATAACAGAGGACTATGCAGGGGCTCCGGCACTGGCCTGGAGCCGCTGGGGTCGCGGGCACGCCATTCCTTCCAGCGCCCGGCTTTTCCAGCTGGGCACGGGAAGTAAAGAGGGAGGCATCGCTTTGCTGCGCACGGTCTGCATTCCTCCAAGGAGGGCTGCACCGGAACTTGCGAGAGCCGGCTGGGGTCCCTGCTGGGCTATGCTGGGCCCGTGGCTGAGTGTCCCCTTGACCTACTTGCAAGGCTGTTCTGAGGATAAAGCAGAGAGGGGAAGGGCACTCGGCCCTTGCCGGAAAAGATGAGTAAGAGCCAGGCAAATGAGCTTCCTCATGGGGAACGTGCGACCCACAGCTCGGTCCCTCCGTTCGCCCAGATGCATGTCCAGAAGCACTTTGGACATGTATCTGGGCACTTTGGACATGTATCTGGGCACTTTGGACATGTATCTGGACACTTTAAAAAATGAGAGCCGGGGGGCTGTCCTGGCTATGGGGCTGAAGGACGACTTGAGAGGTCCCTGGTGCAGCGCTTGCCTCTGCCATCAAGCCCGCCCTTAGGCAAAAGTCATGCCTGGGGCAGCCTCAGTTTTCCCATCTGTGGTATGGGGGGAACGAGGCCGACTTACCTGGCACCGTTGTTGCAAAGAGTGCTAAAGGGGGGGCACGCTTCCGCCTCTCCCCACAGCCCAGCTGCAGAGCCGCCCTTCCCCTATGCGCCAGTCAGACACCGCCAGGATGGCATCCCCTGTCTGATATTTTGTTTTCCAGCAGAAATGGCCAGCCAGCTTCCCTTCGGTGATAGCCAAATTAGCTCAGCAGTGGCAAGAATGAGCATGTTTTCCTAATCTCCCACGAGTCAGTAGCTTCAATTTATTTATTAGAAATGGAGCAGCAACCGCAAGGCTTCCTCCTCTTTTCCTAAAACAAACTAACTCGAGATGGAAAATTACTTACTGTCTGGTCTGTGCTCGATTGGAAGGCCGTGGAGTTTCTGTCCAGGCTGGATCTTGCTGACGGATTGCCTTAAAACAGGTTCACCTCGGGGAAAGACAAGGCAGACAAGCATAAGCAAGCTTCCTGGAGAAGGTGGCCTCCCCGCAGCATTTAGCTCGTGCCACCCAGGGCTTGATTGCCGCAAGTGATGCAAGGGGCTTAAACCTTGTCTATGCGCTACGGATGTTCAATGGCTGGAAACTCTGCCTGCTAAATTCCCCGTGCGTGGACGAAACTTGGACAACCCGCGAGCGATTGCACATGTCCCAGGTTTGCACACACCTTCCGGAGCTTCCATGACTGGTGCTGGGGCTCAGCTTAGCTTGGGACGCAACTGTGGCTGAAAGGAGGCAGAAATGACTCGTTCCGGCTCCACCAGAATGCAGCGAGCCTTGCAGGGTAACATCAGGGTGGCGGGGGTGGGGGAGATCCCTCCTGTGTGGTGGGAGGAATTTCCTGTCTGCAGGACGGCCCCCCTTCCTCTTCTCCCTGAAGTCCTGTGCAAGAAACCTCACTCTTGGCTACTCTGGTTCTCAGCCATACACTCTTAGGGGCAGCTGGCGTGTGGCTCTCACTGGGCCGGCTCCAGGAAAGACTTCATTGCATCGCTGCCTGACCCGCTCATGGAATTTTATTGTGGGGGAGTGCTCCAGATGCCAGCCTCGCCCCTCATAACCCTCCCATGGTTTTCCACTCTTCTTTTCTGGGGAAAAACCTGCGAAGGAGAAAGAAGAGGGAATAGCTGCGAGAGTCACCCGGGGCATCCCGGGACAGGAGCGATTGGGTGGGGGATCTGTGTCCCCCGAAGCATGACTGCACCCCCTTCTTTGTGAGCCACCCCAGTTGGCAGCGGCTTCGTCGGCAGCCCCACAAGGGGGACACCAGCTGCAGCTACTGCGCCTTGTGCAGCTCCGCCCAGCAAATGGGCATGTGCGAGCGGCACTGCGGGGGTGCGTGTTAGCATTTGGCAGCGTGACGAGACAGCCAGGTTTGGTTTTATAGCCCCGTTGCATCCTTCTGCGCGGCACAAGGCGTCATGCCCTTTTCTGAAGCCAGTTCACAGGGCAAACAGAACGAGCGGCAAGGCGTTTTGTGCGCTCTCGGTTCTGCTGGCTTGGAACCACATGGAGCTGGCCACTGTCCCGCTTCCTGCTGGACCGTGGGTTTTATGGCAGAGGCCTGGCACCACTCTTGGCAAGGGTCCTTCGCAGGAATCGGCAGCCCCCACATCCGCCCCAAATGGAAAGCAATGGAAACTCTAGCACAGAATAAAGCTGCCTTCAGCTCAGAAGAACTCCCACCGGCCTTGGCAATCTTGAGCATCTGTCTTTAGACAGAAAAAAAGCCCCACAACTCTTAGTGTTCCCCAGCAGGGCCGTTTTTCTGCCTAAATATGCTCAGATGCTAAACTTGCACCTTGATGGGGTTTGTCCTTTTGTGGATTTCTTTTGTTCCTCTCGTAACAGGTACCACATTCTTGACTCCACCACTTTTCTGCTGATCCGTGTCCGGAAAGAGCAATGTGGAGAATGTGGCGTTTCCTCGTGAAGCTAAGATCCATTGTGGTCCTTTTGCATTGTTAGGATTGTATTCCTGCCATGCAATTGTGTGCATCTTTAGTCAGGAGTAAGCTCTAGTTACTTCAGTGGAACACACACCCAGTGACATGGCCCAACTAACAGAACAGCAAAATAAAGGGTGAACAGAGCTTCTTTTTAAAAGTCCTGCTAGCAAAACATACAATATATATTTATTAAGCATAGACAATGACCACCCCCCGCCCCAGAAAAAAACCACCACTGGATAAAACAGAAGCCCTTATTAGCAGTAAGAAAATACAAATAATGCCAAAGTACAAAAACAATTTAGCATAACAAATATCTAAAATGCAAAAGTAGACGTGCATATCATATAGAGGCAAATGTCCTTAAGGAAAACCTGTCCTCTTTTAATGACTGTTTGAAGGAGGTGTTAGGGCATGAATTGATTATATTTTTTATTTTGTTTATACCCCCGGCGGCTTAGGAGGTCCCTCTCCTGTCCATTTTGTCCTTGCAACACCAGCTCTGTGAGGTAGGCTCGGCTCAGAGCTAGTGCCTGGCCCCAAGTCGCCCCTGAGCTTCGAGGTCAAGTGGAAATTAGAACCCCACCTCCCAGAGTCCCAGTCCAACCCACCCAAAGCCCCCCGGCTGCATTGGCTGAGCTCCGTCCTGGTTTCCTCTCCCCATGGTGCTGAATCAGCTCCCTGGGGGCTCCCAGACCACATTATGTGGAGCAGCGGGGGAAGCCTCTGCTTTCCCTGCCCTGCCCCCCCTTGCTCATTTCGGACCCCAGAACCTCCCCTAAGGCTCCCTGAGCTCGGAGCCCTCCACCTGGAAGTTTGCCGCATCGGTTCTCTGCTCCTTCCTTCAGAGCACCCAAATTACGACACCCTTCCCAGGAGGAGGTAATTTCTGCATCTTTGAAAATGAAAATTGTGGGTGGTTGCAGTTTAGAAGAGAAGCCCAGGCCGGGAGGTTTGTGCCATCCACAAATGATCTGAAAGTACTCCCCGCCACCACCATTTTTCGAGGTTTTGGGGTAACATTTACTTGTTTTAGGATTTTTAAAAATTACACCACCTTGGGTACCTTGCAAAAAAAGAGAAAGGTATCAAATAATAGTTTGCTTTGCTGGAGATACCTTCTTGAGGACCATTTTTTCCTTCTCTATTTTGAGTCTATTTGTTATGCTGAATTGCTGCATTTCAAACTTATTAGTATTTTTGTTGGTGTCTGGTTTTATCCAGGTTTTTAATGGCTAATTATCGATAACTTTTTTAAATACAGAAATGTCCAAGACAGTAGGACAGAATTAAGGGTTAGTTCCCATGCTGATATGTATTATTTGAATCTGTGATCACCCTTCTGCCCCTTGAAATCTTTTTGAGATGTTCGCCTTTTATTATCTGAAATAATTTGGCAGTTGCTTGCAAGAGGCAAAGGGTTGAGAAAATCAGACGTTAAAGCTCGGCCAGCAGCCACAGGCCTTCCGGTCAGGTCCTTCCGCAGCGGGCAGGGCCCTGCCCGCCAGCGCTGCTGCTTCCCAGCTCCGGGAATCATTCTGACAGTGCTGAGTCTGCAGCGGTTGGGACCAGATGCAGGGAGCCTCAGGGAAGCAACTGGGAATATTTTTGGAGAAGTTAGCAATGCTCAGTTCCCTTCTGTAGCAGCCAGCAGTCGCGGCACTACGAGAGGGTGGTGTGTTTGTGTGAGACGTGTCCAGACAAAAGAATAATGTTGTGAATTTCACGGCAAGCACAACAGGCTGTTGGGCAGCCGAGCAGCTGGGCCAGGGACCCTGAAACAAAAGAGGTTTTGTCTGCTCTCTATCAAATCCTGTTTCCACTGATGTGTTCCAACCGACAGCTGCTTCTACAAGCTGCCGAGCAGAACCTCTCCGCGGAAACACGACCAGCCCGCACCGAGCGCCTCCGCCTCGGCTTGCTGAGAAGCGCCGCACCGTCCGACAGATGGCTTCCAGCCCCCTGCGCTTTCAGCCTCTCTCTCTGCCTTGGCCCAGCGTGCTTTGGCTTCTCCTGCCACGCGAATCCACTGCAGGGGGATCCTCTGGGAAAAGAAGGCCCCTCCTGAGACTTGTCTATCCTTGGGCAGGGCTGTACCATCTCGGAGTGGCTCAGCGGACTGAATCATTGCAGCTGCGGCACGAACACAACCAAGGATGTCAGAAGGGACGCCTGTCTGTTTCTCCCTGCAAAAGGCAGCGCCCGGGAGGCAATCCCCTCTGGAAAGCCTGGCACAAGGCAAGGCTTAGCCTTCCTGTTAGGGGCCCCCAAACCATTTCATCACCCTCAGCGACTCCAGCAGGGCCCTGGCTCTCTTTGGTGCCCACCTGTCCGGTGCCTAACGCTGCCCTTCCAGCTGGGTGTGTGCGCACACCTGATGGGATAAAGGTACACGAGCCCTGAGCACCTGTTCTGCCTGAGCTGCCCGGCTGAGCGGCCTTCCCCACACATGTCCTTCGCTTCCTGCTCCATCCCCACTCCAATTGTTCTCCTGAGGCTCTCCCCCCCCCCCCCCAGGATGGATCCACCGTGTGCCCCGAGGCGTTGCCCAAGCTCCCCCACCTCTGCTGGGCCTCTCCAGCCTAGCCTGGGCCGGCCCCGCCATTAGGTTCAGGGAGCTGGTTAGGACGGGCTCGGCAGGGCAGCAAATGGTTCGCCTCGTAACAGATTGCTCTGCTGCTTTTGCTGCTCAGAAAAAGGAAAGGTCTTGCGAGATTTTCTGCCCAAAATAACCGGGGTGGCCCCAGGTGCTAAGACGCACCCGGGCTTGGAAGGGCACCATTTGGGTCTTAATCTGGACGCCTCCGTAATGATTCCCTTCTGCTTCCCATGCTTCCTGGGCAACGTCGTGCCCCCCCCCCCCCCCCCCCTCCCCCCCTCCGTAATCCCCCTCGCGTCTCCCTGTTCGCTCCCCTTTGCTCTCGATGCAAACAGGGTTGCAAGCCAGAGAGGCAAGCAAGATGCTCGCTGGTCAGGGACAGAACCGGGCTGCAGAATGAGATGCTTGTGTTTTGGCGCTGAGCTTGGGCAGAGCCGCATGGCTGGAGGGGATCTGTGGGCCCAGGTCCGAGTCCAAGCCCTGCCTGATGCAGGAAATCCAACCCAGAGAGAAGCAGTTCTGCGAAGTGTCTTCCCTACCCCACCGCTTTGCCAGTTCGTCTTGCTGATTCTTTGGCATGAATTCTGCAGGGCTTAATGTAGGATTGTCACTACTCTCATTTCTTTGCCAAACAGGTCTTCTAAACCTCCAGGTCTACTTAAAGATGCGGGGGGGGGGGGGTGCAAGATTTTCTTCAATTGCTTTGACACTGAAGAAACACTAAATTGGAGCAACGGATTTGGAGGGGGGTGAAACAGGTTTTAAATTTTAATTGCCATTTCTAGCAAGCCCTGCTGAATAGCAAATGCTAGGCAAGAACAGTGCCTATTTGCATTCCAGCTGTGTGGGCAGGAGACGGGACACTGAATTTTTGTAAAATGTGTATGAAAGAGACCTTTCTTCGGTCCCAACCGCTAAAACAAATTTCTTCCCTGTGACAATGTTTTCAGACCCTGTGCCTTCAACCTCCACGAGTTTGCCATTTTGAAATCTTGAATGAAAACGGTCACAGCCGTGCTCACCGAAAATGCCCATCACTTCAAGGAGGAGTAAGAAAGGGGGAAGCCATCGCTGCGTCCCCTCCATCCTTCCCTCCGGATGCTCCGCTGGTTCTTCAGGAGCTGAGTTCTAATCGCGCTGAATGCATCGAGATGTTCTCGCTCTGATTTTTCAGTCTTATTCCTCCTGCATGAAAGAAAAACCTTGCGAGAAAAAATGCTTCCTTTGATACAGCCCGGAGTGTCCCCTTTGATCTCTTGGGTGTGTATGATGGGATGCCTGGCCCCGTCGTTATTTGTTTTTCGGCGCCAGGCGAAGACCTTTTTATTTAAACGTCATTTTAATTGTTAATATTATTTGCTTATTTTATCTGGCCAGGGTGACTTATTTTATATTGTTAATTTGTTTCATATTTTGAATGTATTATATTTTAATTTTATGTTGTGAGCCGCCCCAAAATGTTTTAAATAAATAAATAAATTCCAAGGCGCATCCCTTCCCTGAGCACCGTGCCTGGAGTTAGGCTCACATGTCAAAAATTTGGGAGCCAACAGAGCGACTTTGCTGCAACTTATTGCAGGATCGTGTGGATGTTTTCTCCCAAAGTCCTGGCATCACTTTTTGCGTCTAGAGCAGGAAGAATGTAGCAGACGGGATGTCCTCGCATTTCTATCTGCTTGTCCACTTAAGTTTCAGCACTAAATCAGTTCTGCAGATGACATTTTCCTGAAACCTCATTGGCGGCCCCTTTTGAAAAGGATTAAACGCCTCCAGAACACAGATGATTCAAGAATGCTGAAATGGCTGAGCTTGACCACTCTCATCCATCCTTGTAACTTAATCCTGCCCACTAAGATTAGACATTCTTTAGGACTCATGCTAAGAAAATAAAAAACCTTTTCATAGCCAATATTGTTTGCAGTCAGATAGGAATGTAGCCAGAAACTATGCCATTCTTGTTAAGTCGTCCAAACTTAATCCCTTCCCCCAGGCCCAGTTTACAAATAAATTTGCGCACAGACACACACAAGGTATGTTTGATAAGTACTGATGGAATGTCAAAATTGGTTTAAAAGTAAGGTTCTAGTCCTTGTGGTGGCTGTTTTTTTTAAAGATATTTGCTTTAATATTTTAAAGATATTTTAAAGATGTTTGGGATAGCAGTCTGGGAGAAGACCAGTTATGTCTCTCTGGATCCTCTCCCTCCCACAAACAGGGTGGAATCCCTATCTGGATTGTATCCTACAGAAGAAGATACACAGGATTCGAAATCTTGTCCCTCAAGTTTTGGAGGTTTCCATAGGTCTTGCCCACCTGTCTTCCAGACTAACTTCACACACATGAGGGCTAGAAACTTATTTTAAAATGAGACAGCACGTTCAGGCTCAAGCTGTAATGCAACCTCACCCAAATGTTATGATCTTCAAACCCAAATTTTGCAATACTGTTTTCAGAGGAACGTTTGGAAATTCTCTTTCTTAAATCTGTCTTCACCCTTAGGTCAAATTCTGTGAGGCTTGCACTTACAAGCTCTTTTTTTGGCCAAACACAAATTTGGCTCTTGATAATGGCTCTTTGAACCCATCCCTTGTGCTTCTTGTATCCTCTGTTCTGTGACCGATGTAACTGAAGTCAAAATGGGAGGAATATCGGCAGCGGTGACTGCACTGTCCTGGCTGGTGACCTTCTGTGCCTTCTCCCTCTTTGCATCAAGATGGACTTGAATTTTCCAAAATCTGGGCTGCAGAATACGTCTTCCTTCTGCCTCCCAACATGCTGTCTATTGCCCAGAAATTTCTAATTGTAACTTGCTACCCAACTTACATAGCCTTATGCAAAGATTTCACAAATCCTTCATATTTCATATAAGTATTCTCAGTTCTCGACAACAGAAAAATCACGGCATCATCTAATCTGCATGAACAGCAGCCTAACTTCTCTCTCACTTTCTTTACATCGCAAACAATGACAGCACATGGAAAGAACAGCCCTAAATGTCAGCGCTGCACCATTTAAATACATCTTCAAAACTGAGTTTATGACGGTGAAGCTCAGATTTGGTTCCCTTCAGCCAAGTGCTAAGAAGTTCATCCTGCTAAAAGAAGTGCAAGCTGAGCTTACCTAAAGCTCGTGTTCTGGCTCTCCCTCGAGCTCCTGCGCAAAGGCATCCGGTCTGAGCGTTTTCTGACTGTGGGGGTCACTTATATAGCCTTGCCTGCAGCTTCAGGGGTGGCATTGAGCCACACAGATGGAAAACCTGCTCTGACAGCGAGGAAACGAGCGAGCGCCTTCATAAATCCTTTTAAAGGAGGGGATGCAAATTCACATGTTTTGGTGCAATCAGGAAAACTGTAACAGCCAGAAGGCGAATCGTGCTGAGGAGACACAGAAATGTGAATTATTGGATCACTTGTAGCTTCTCCTTAGAGTGCCCACGCTTCGAACTGCGAGGTCGGCAGGGCAGCTCCAAAGGGGGCCACACAGAGGACTACTGCCAGCAGCATGGCTTCCAGCCCATTTCCTGGAGCCCCGATGGTGTGTTGAGACCAGTGTTCAACAGGGTTTGTGGGGGGGGGGTTAACATTCCCCCTCCAGCTTGCTGCAATTCAGCCCTCCCTGCATCTCCCCCGTATTACTGTGGGAAGCACTGGGATGATCTTCAGCAAGGTGCAAATACACTGAAGAATTTGTTTTATTTACATTGATCTGGAGGAGCGATTCATTGACTAGCTTTGAAGTTAAAGAAATCCTCATTATCTTTAAATTTGCATAGAGGGAAATAAAGCTGCATCCACATCCCATGCAGGTTTGTGTTGAGGACTTGCCGCCACTCTCACCTCGTTCCACGCACCCGAGAAAGCCGCACAGCGGGTTCGTAATGCCCAGTTGCCCCCTTTTGCTCTGGCCCTGAGCAAACTGAGCCAGGAAGCTTTGCTTGGGACGGATCCGGTCTTAAGGGCAGGAAGGGAGCTACCTGTAAAGCCTTGGAGAAGGCTGCTGCCACCCCCTTTGTGGCGATCTGAGCTCTTGCAACGAAAAACAGAGGACCAGCTGGGTTGCCTTAGCGGGTTCTAAGGAATCTGTAATCATCCATTTAGCACCCCTGACCTTTGCTCCTCTTCTCCTGCACGCCCAGTCGCTGCCCATTATACCTTTATCAATTGCCGATTAAGCTGATTTTATGTCCACAGAGTGCAATGGTAAGTCAGTATGCTTCTTGGCCTGCGTTTGAATTCAAGTCGGAGGCAGGCAGGACATGGGAAACTTGGAAGTCTCGTTCTTTTCAGGGCTACCCCTGTTCTGAGTTTTCCCAGTTCTGCTGCAGGATGGGCCAAGACCGAGAGGAAATGTTTGCAAAGTTGTCGTGGAAATAACAACCGTCTCCAATCGCACTGAATTCAATTTACGTGTGCGCAGGAAATGAACAAAAACGGATGAGCTCACTGAACGCTGCCGCAATAACAAAAAGGAGCTATCCATCACTTTGTGGAAATTGGCATGATGCGCTAAGCAACGTGTTTTGGATGCAGCTTGCCCCCACCACGGGGTGGCTTCTTTCTGGCTGCAGAGCTGCCCCAGGAAGTGTTGGACTGTCGCAAGTTTCCGTGGCCACCTCTGGGGCTGCGGTGTGGCCTGAACCTGAAAGACACAACGAGCGGGAAGGTGTGCCGAGCGGTTCTGAGGACAGCTGTCAACGTGTGTGACGGGGCAGGGGCTGAAGCGCCTCTCCACGGCTTGGCCCTCAGCACGCCGGCCCAGCAGAAAGGGGTTGCTGAGCCGCCTCTCCCTGCTGGACTCTGGCCGTTGTTCCTCAGGGCCACGTGGGCCTTTTTGGACAGCTGCCGCCGCAACTTCATTGTGGAGGTGCTTCAGCTGCGTCACAGGGGGCCCGGGGGGGGGGGGGGAAGGTGGTGTGCGGCTTCCTGAACTGTGGCCCCTTTCTGTCTTCAGCACCTGCCACCCTGCTTACTCTGAGCGACAAAGGAGGCAAGGGATTTCGAGTGTCCCAAAATCCAAACAGCACCTCAGAACACGGCCTTGTTGACAAGAGACCCACCACTGCTCCTCCCCGCAAAATATTTTTGTCTCACCCGTGACATTCACCTCCAACAGAAAAGGTGATTTTCAAGTAAATTTTAGTGTTAAGCAGGTGAAAGTGCTGAGAAATGGGCCTCATTCGTCTGGTCCCCCCCGCCCCGATGGCTTGTTCACAGTCGGGGGGCACGTCAAGCCCTTCTCAGCGCAGCTGCTGTCCTCCTCAAGGCTTGCTTCCCTCAAGCTTCCTGATTCACCTCGTGTGTCACGTGGTAGCAATTTAGGCACATGCATCACCTTCTGGAAATGAGAAATTCTCTTTCCCTTATGGAAGGTTCTCCAGCTTCCCAGGATGCACCGCGGTCCCTCCGGCCTAAGGGGGTGCTCTCCCGAATGCTGAGAGACACAGACTGGCCCAAGATGTCATCCAGGGACCTTCATGTCTGCAGATGGGACTGGGGCCATTTTATCCTCACAACAACCTTTTGGAGTGGGCTCGACACACAGAGAGAGGCTGGGCAAGGCTGTCCATCGTAGAGCAGGGATTTGAGTCGGGGAGTCCCGTGGCTGCAAAGAGCTCAGATCAGTCCATCCTAGAGGAGATCAACCCTGACTGCTCTTCAGAAGGCCAGACACTGAAGCTGAAGCTCAAATACTTTGGCCACCTAATGAGAAGGAAGGACTCCCTGGAGAAGAGCCTGATGCTTGAAACAATTGAGGGCAAAAGAAGAAGGGGGCGGCAGAGGATGAGGTGGCTGGATGGAGTCACTGAAGCAGTTGGCGTGAGCTTGAGGGGACTCCGGGGGATGGTGGTGCACAGGAAGGCCTGGAGGAATGTTGTCTGTGGGGTCGTGATGGGTTGGACACCACTTCGCGACTAAAAACAGCAACAACAAATCTAGCCTGGGTGTAACTCCCATTTGACTCAATGGGATTGCTGCAGAATATACGTTAAACACCGTTTGCTGCCGTGCTGCCCGCAGCCACAGCACAGGAAAGAAAAGGAAAAGGGCAAGACTGGAGCTTTGTTATTATCGCTCATGTTGTCATTG